GTTGAAATGTTTCCATCATTCATTCTAATGCAGATCATCATCATCATCATCAACACTAGAGTTAGATTTACTGATATCGGACGTGGCCAAACTATCATCGCATGCGCTGCACCCACATTAAATTATTGCTTGCATGGAAATCATACTATTATTATTTGTTTCTTGATATTTTCCCACCAAAATAAAACCAAACCGTATTTGTACGACATAGGATTTTCATGGTGGTGGAAATATCCCTGTACCACTTTCCTTAGTTTCAAAGACACAATATCGAGATAGAGACGAAACATTCCAATTTTCAACCTAGAACCAAAACTATGGGAATGTCACAGGGATTCAATAGGCACCAAGTGGAAAATAGAATAAATAAATAATCAGAATTTCAGGGAAGAAAGAAATAGCAGCAGGCAACAAGCTACGACTCACCTACCCTAATTCTTAAGCAAGCTACAGTGCTTCTAGTTCTAGGTGGCCTTAATTAATTGCTAGACAACTAACTATACCAAAACTGAAAAAGATTCAATTTGGGTTTCTAGACACCAAATTAGAAAGTCCCCTAATCAATCACAATAGTAATATCCCTTAAGTCCTTTGATATGCTTGGCCAGAAAGGGAGTATATTGGGCTATGATTTGATAGTATATCTTTGTACTATTGGAAGATGGCTACTTCCAATTTTATGGAATGTGTTCCTAGGTATTGCATGATGATTACTTTATTTTTGTATGGATATGCTTTTTATCTCGTTTAGTTATAGGGATGACAATGGTCGATTTGGAATAGAGTGCAGGATTTTCAGTTTCATTCTCACTCTCCATTCTCAACTCTACATTCATTCATTCCTGTTTTGAGGTGCTTTTGCATATCAATTCCAACATTCGTGGTGTTATTAGACCGTGGTTATTAGATAGTTAACGGTAACTCCCGTCCTGCAACCATTACAAAAAATTTAATAAAGTGAACATAATCAAGATTAACATGTATGTCATATTTGTGTTCAAACAATCAATAAACCTTACATTATTTAAATGTATGATGAATACACAAAAATATTCAGATTTTCTATGAGTAATATTACTAATATGGCATTTGGCCCTTAGGCTACTTTCACTTTGATCACTAATTTTTTTTTTTTGAAAAACAGAAAATTAATTAGTACTTAGTAGCAATGGTGATTCGACATAGGGCTGGGAAACGGTGCGGTCTGGTCCAGACCAGACCATATATACGGTCTATGGTCCAGACCGAGAGACTAAAGTATAGACCACAGACCATACCACATACTATACGGTCCGGTCCAGACCACGCCTATGCGGTCTGGTTCGGTCTGGTCTGGTCCAGATAGACCACACTCAACGAAAAATGAATAATTTGCTTAGTCAACCACACAAAAAATTGAACCAATAACAAAGAAAAAATATTGTTATTTGCCTTAAAACATTAATCCTAACATGCACGAATAATTTTGATACTCTAAATCTTATTACATAACAAAGATACAAAGTAAAAGCATCCCAACTTGCACCATAACGTCATAAACATTAACATAATATCATATGGAGACACGATTATCTCTACTCTCTCGTTAAATGTGGTTGTGAATGAAGGAGCGACGAGATTCACAAAACTAAGGTTGAGACTTGGGTGTCGTTTTGGGAGTTGGGAGAGTGGTCGAATGGGCTGTTAACACGTATTGACAAGTTAGTTGGGTCCACGGTTTGGTCTGGTAAACCGTGGTCTAGACCAGACCAGACCAAGAGATCAAAACATAAAGTAATACAGACCATGGACCAGACCAGACCATACTTAATGGTCTACGGTCCGGACCAAACTGTGCGGTACGGTTTGGACCACGGTTTTTCTAACGGTCTGGTCTATTTTCCCAGTCCTAATTCGACATGAAGCGGACACATCTAAATCCATCCGTCATTCACATAGCTATTTTCCCCTAGAGTGGAATACTACCATTGTGGGTACAAGTGACAAAACCAAAAGGGAAGTTTAACTATTTTTCCAATAATAGTGGAAAATTATCTTAATCATTATGAAAGATAAAATAAATAATAAAAATTTATGTTGATATGTAAAAAATATAATAATTTGAGTAACAAATGTCTGAGCAATTTGGGCTCTCGCTTCCTACCTTCCTTTTTATTATTAAAACATGTTATAAGGCGGTGCTACTAGAGAAGGGGAAAGGAAAGCTTCGAAACTAGGAATCGAACACAAAATCTCACAAAGGGAAGTGCGCCGATCCACAAACCAGGTTGGCCCGCATTCGCCTCGCTTCCTACCTTCTCTTTGTGTGAAAGTGTATTTTCTTCTCCCCTATCAGTGAGCTAATTTATTCCTAGTTGATAAAGTTGCGATGCATGATTCTTAATGTCGTCTGTAGTGCACAAACGAAATTTATCTGGCCCTACAGCCAGGATCATGACCTCTTACAGAACTCTTACTTTGTTGGCGATGTACGGTTCTATTGTCTTAAAATTATGTAGGACGTTGAGGTTCAACTGGTTTTTGCAAAACCAAAACGAAAATTAATGACGTGTGCAGAAAAGTAAATATATAACTAATTTGGATGGACAAGAGAGCAGAGAAGGAAGGTTGCATAGGCAAGCTCCCCCTAGCTCTCCTAGTCACGTATCTTTTGATATCTTGCGATATACAAGCTGTCGATTTCTTATTTCATTATATCCCGAAACATTTACGCGACCTAAGTAATGGGCGGCAAGGAACCTGCGGATTTCTAATTTCTCCCTTGAGGTGTCACGACATTCGATTAAATGACGTTCAATCGAATATGACCGCCATTTCTAGTCATAGTCCTAAGCAACTTGGATTTCGATCCATGCACCTCGAAGGAATGCAAGGTTAATTAAGCACTCATTCGAATCGAGAAATAATGAAATATAAGAAATCAAGCATCAACACATATGAAATATAACAATCGTATTAAGCCAAACATAGAGTTTTACATTACTAGAACCCCTAGGGTTCATATACCTACGCAACTGAAGGAACTAGCCAACCATGGGGAAGGGTTTCTAGGCGACTCGATTAAAATGAAGTCCCCAAAACACCACTCGAATCGGTGACACCGGTAGAGAAAATAGGCCATCGTCGTTTCTGACGCCGATTCCTCTGTGAGGGTTGGTCTTGCTTTATTTCTCGTCTCCTCCTCCTGAGTTCTACCTCTAGAGCTCTATTAATAGATCTTCGATTAGGATTTCTAGGGAGAAAACTCATAGCTCATGCATCATTAAGCCAATCAAAAGTCTCCAAACACGTGGCCTGCAAATCAGGAAGCTCCAGGGTAGCTTTCTGACGAAATAGAAGAGCTATGTAAAACAGCGCGAACGACGCCATTTTCCTTCGTAGGGCGTCATTTCTTTAAGTTCGTACTCTCTTCAATTCCCGACTCCAGCAACTGGATCTCGGTGTCCCCTACGACTCCCAAGTGGTCCACTAGTACGCTTTGACCTAAAAATGCACAAAATGCTAGCAAAAGAGCATCAAACCCTCAAAAGCAATCTTAGTGTCATAGCACAAATTCAAGATATTGTCACGATAATGATATGAAATGTATGCACTTTGGGTATTAATACGAGAGTCTAGAATAATCAACTCTACGTGTCATCAATTCTCATCTTGTACATGTTTTTTTTCATTAAGAGAATAATTTGTGAGGAAGAAAGTCAAACTAATGATCTTAACTTGTTCAGTGCTTGAGAGTTCCCCAACCCTCGATAGTTATAACTTAATATCCTCATATATTCCTCGAATGTGGTAGGTTCTTTGCACCCAAAGAGCCCTCAGTCGCAGTTGGGTGCCTTGCATCACCCACCTTCGTTAAATGGGACTGAGATGTGGGAAATCGAACCATCGTTGGGTCATAGTACCTTGACTTTTGGCACGTAGTGGTCTTAGTTGTAGGTTTTCCTTTAGTATATGCCTTCTTGAGTCTTAATTGTATCCCATTAGTTTTCTTCTTACTAGTACTCTTTCCTGCTTGTTGTTGATCTGGTCCAATCTAATGAGTCGTCACACCTACCTAGTCGAATTGGTGTTTGCTGAACAAGCACTAATTTCTCGTGTGGCTTGTTATCGATCTTGCTGCTGGGATCGGAAGACTCACGTCTCCTTCTTGAGTGCTTCCTCATGGACTTCCAAGTCATTAAAGATGATTTTGTACGACAACCCAACCCTTAGGAAAAAAAATGCCCTATTAGGTATGAAAAAACTCGATGAATGAGCTAGATTTTCATTCTCAAAAGATTCTGGTACACATATGAAAATGTTGAGCAGATTCTTATACAAATGTATTTAGCCTTCATTTTTTATGTGACTTTTCATAGGTTGTAAAACATAACTATCTTTCTTGAAACTAACTCTTGTATTTACTATTCAGAACAATGTTGAAGTATAAGTCCAATTAATTATAGACTAACATTCTAAGTTTTGGTGCCATGGTTTTTGTTTTGGTTTTTTTTTATCCTTTTTAGTTTTTATAGTTCTTTTGGTGAAGAGACAAGTGTGGAGGGCCCTATACATACCAAGAGACAAAATAATTTCCTGTTTGGTGACACACCCTATTCTACACCAATCAAGCTTTTAGTTGCGTTAAGATAGAAAAATCCCCCAACTCTGTTGGGAGCCAATTAGAGAAGCCAAAATCACATAAAAGTGTCAGAGTGTATTGCATTAATCAGGAATTAAGCCACTTAATGAAAAGAAACCAAATCTTACTTTATAATCACTCTAAAAATTCATCTCAACCATAACACTGTACGTCAAAATGGAAATAACGCTCTGAAAAAATGTTTCAAGAGAATATCCCCCCCTTTTAATTAATTAATTAACCCCTTAATCCTCACCTAATCACAGTCCAAGTCCCTCTATATAGTCTTACTCTGATTTTACACTTTCCCTCCCACCACTACCACTCCCATTCCTTTTCCCATTCCTCTCCAACACAACAAAACAAAAGCAAAGGCAAAATGGGTCATCGAAGTTGCATTTCGCCCGCTTCACCAATGCTCTTTGTTTGCTGCTGCTGCCTTCTATGGCTCTTCCCGATTCTCGCCGCCGGCATCACAAGGCACTACAAATTCGATGTACACACATTTATCTTAAAACCTCACACCCTTCTTATCTTTGCATGCTTTAAGCTCCAAATGTGCTTTGATTTGCTGACATTCTGATGATGCTAAATTGTTTCGATTATCGAAAGATCAATTACACGAACCTGACGAGGCTCTGCCACACGAGAAGCGTCATCACCGTGAACGGGCAGCTCCCTGGACCTCGCCTGATCGCCAGGGAAGGCGACCGGGTGATCGTTAAGGTCGTCAACCACGTTTCCAACAACATCAGTATTCACTGGTATGCGTATGGAACAAACATGTCTTCGTTGTTTTCCTCAATTGCTCGTTTTTTCGTTTTGTGTTTCGAGTAATGTTGATGAATCGCGATCTACGAAATTTTTTTACAGGCATGGGATAAGGCAGCTGACGACCGGTTGGTCCGACGGGCCGGCTTACATAACCCAATGTCCGATTCAAACCGGGCAGTCGTACACCTACAACTTCACCATCACGGGCCAGAGAGGCACACTATGGTACCATGCACATATCTCCTGGCTGAGGTCCTCTGTTTACGGACCAATGGTGATCCTCCCCAGGAAGAATGAGTCCTTCCCTTTCCCCAAGCCCTACAAGCAGATTCCCATCCTTTTTGGTAATATGGAACTCTTCTTCTGCTTTTGTTGTTGGTTTTTTTGTTTTTCCTCGACTCATCAGGATTTTTTTTCTATGGTGAACTTGAAATCAGGGGAATGGTTCAATGTGGATCCTGAAGCTGTCATTGCTCAAGCTCTTCAGACCGGCGGCGGCCCGAATGTGTCCGACGCTTACACCATCAATGGCCTCCCTGGCCCTCTCTACAATTGCTCTTCTGCTTCAGGTCTATTTCTCAATCAATATCGAAATTGCAGGAAAAAAGCTTCAATCTTTTCTTCTTTCTCAATATCCCCTGTTTTTCTTTTTTGGGTGATCCAATCAGATACATTCAAGCTGAAAGTGAAGCCGGGAAAGACTTACATGCTCCGGCTGGTCAACTCTGCACTCAACGACGAGCTCTTCTTCGGCATCGCCAACCACTCTCTCACCGTCGTCGACGCCGACGCCGTTTACGTAAAACCCTTCGAAACAGAGTGGCTTCTCATAACTCCAGGGCAAACCACCAACGTACTTCTCAAAACAAAGCCGCATTCCCCTAACGCCACTTTCCTCATGGAAGCCAAACCTTACTTCACCGGACAGGGCACCTTCGACAACTCCACCGTCGCCGGGATCCTCGAATACGCTCCTGCAAAGAAGAGCACCACCGCTAAACTCCCCGTGATGAAACCCACTCTGCCTTCGATCAACGGCAACTTCAGCACCCCTCAGGTGGCCAATTTCACCGCCAAGTTCCGCAGCCTGGCGAGCCCCAAATTCCCGGCCAACGTCCCGCAGACCGTGAGCCGGAAATTCTTCTTCACGGTGGGGCTGGGAACGACGCCGTGCCCGCAGAACACGACGTGTCAGGGGCCGACCAACACCACCAAATTCGCGGCCTCGATCAACAACGTCTCTTTTGCTCTGCCTTCCGTGGCGATGCTGCAATCGTACTACGCGGGGAATTCGATCGGAGTTTTCAGCTCCGATTTCCCTCAGAACCCGGCGAATCCTTTTAACTATACGGGTCCGGCGCCGAACAACACCAACGTCGGGAACGGGACGAAGGCTCTGGTTCTGGCGTTCAATACGAGCGTGGAGGTGATTCTGCAGGACACCAGCATCCTGGGAGCAGAGAGCCACCCGCTCCATCTCCACGGGTTCAATTTCTTCGTCGTCGGACAAGGGTTTGGAAACTACGACCAGAACAAAGATCCGGCGAAGTTCAATTTGGTGGATCCGGTGGAGAGGAACACGGTAGGTGTGCCCGCCGGCGGGTGGGTGGCAATCCGATTCCTGGCGGATAATCCAGGTGGGTTTTTTCCCCCGTTTTTGAAAGCTAATTTTGGGTTGTGTTGGATTGGAATTGGGTTTCTGATTATGTGGTTTTGGTTGCAGGGGTGTGGTTTATGCATTGCCATCTGGATGTGCATACGAGCTGGGGGCTGAGAATGGCGTGGATAGTAATGGACGGACCTCTGCCGAACCAGAAGCTGCAACCGCCGCCGGCGGATCTTCCCCAGTGTTAGCAACAGCACTCCATTTCCTACTCTTTTCCAAGTGTTTCTTCTTAATTCGTCATCTTCCCATTTTGGGGCTTCCTTGGTTTCTTATTTGGTTTGTTTTTGAGTTCTTGTAATGTTCCTTTGCTGCACTGTTTTTTGCCTTTTTCATTTTCCTTCAACAATCAACACCGGAGACTGTTAAAAGAGGCAGCAGAAGCCTAGAATCTTTGTTGTTTGTACCCTTTCTTAATTTAATAATGAGATTCTTTTGCGGCGTGAATAATTAAATAATAAATATTGATTCTGCTGATTGAAGATCAAAAGCACCAGTGGTCTAGTGGTAGAATAGTACCCTGCCACGGTACAGACCCGGGTTCGATTCCCGGCTGGTGCATTTGTTTTTCTTCTGCTCTTTTTGGCATACGGGAGAAGTTTGCTTTTGGTGTTCCAACTTCCAAGCTCCCATTTGTGGTACAGATGAAAAATCAAGCGACAGGAGTCTTGAGAAAAATAGTTTCTACGAAACCAGTATTATTTGGGACCAGAAACTGCGGTAAGCGAAAAACAGATGGCTAGTGCTTGTGACTTGTGAGCAGTAGCAGCTCCACACAAGTGAATTTTTACAGTTGACAGGTCGGAGGGGAATGTAGGTGTGCAGCAAATGCTACTCTACTGCAGCATGAGAGAAGAGAAGTATTGCTCGAATTCTTGATCAATGGTCGGCTTTCTGACCTGTGGCTGAGGATCTGCATACAAGAAACAAAAATGGGCAATAACATCCAAAATAGGCACAAGGAATCACATACAGAACTAACTATAACGATGCTTCTGAATCCAGCAACTTTACCTTGGTCAACACTCCATCTTCCGGATGAAAGGACATAAACATGAGAGTTCGCTCCATTCAAACCAAGAACATCATCCACTTCCTCGTCTTCGAGAGGGATATTTCCTCCCTTGTAGTACTGTTGAGCATATCCGAGCATTCCATCCTTGTGATCATATGCTTCAAGGCTGTCATAATAAAGATGTGGGAGTTCCTTCCCGTTACTAGGATCTGAAGAACACTGAGGATCCTGTGTAGAAGTCTCGGGAAAACAATTCAACGACGAAGTAGAGGCTAGACTGCTGCTCGGCCATGTATTTGTGATCTCTGATTGCGGTTTAGCTTCACTAGATGACATGGTACAGGGATGTGAATCGACAGCAAAACTGTTGCTGTCGTTAGCAGATTCATAATCAGACATCATGTTGTCGATGGAATTCCCCTGCTGCTCGGCATTTTCCTTGAGTACATGACTGATTGTGTGTTCCACTTGATTTTTCTCATCACCGGGATGAACCCAACAATTATGCTTTGGTAGGGGAAGACCCAATTGCTCTGCGTTCAACTTCCTTTTCCTGTCAATACAACAATGCGATGTTCAGTCCAGTACTCAGAATCATACAAATCAATGAATCATGGGACTCGAGTACCAAAAGCATAGTAGCTTGGGCCATTGACTGCTACAGCACAAAGGGGGCAGCCAGAGCAGGAAGTCCAATTAGCAATTCACATCAACCAAATCCAACGTCAATTTAATGAAAACTTCATTGTTGGAAGTATGGTCTGAGAATAGGATACACTAACAGGCTTACCCCATTCCCCACGAGCAAGAAGTACTTTTAATCAATTCAAATCTGGTTAGATATTTTCAGCCAAATAATACCATGGGGTCAACTCTTGTGGATTCTGACTGGGAAAGAAGGAGTGGAGAGAAAGGGTTTACTTTAAAAACCCTCGCAATTGCTTGAACACGACAAGTGAAACTAGATCTCGATCATTAACCTCGAAATCGCATTATTTAAATCTTACCCACCAGAGAAAACCAAAAACTATAAACTTGGCAACTGTTGTAGCTGTGATGATACACAAAAAAACAGCACCAGACTCGACAATTTTACACCAAATCAACGGATCTCAACTCTAAACTCCGACCAACTTGCGCCCATGAACTCTGAACTAAAAAAACAGAGGAAAACTCAGGAAAGGATGCAGAAGAGTAGCAAAGCTTCGATCTTTCGAGGATAAAACTTGAGACCCACGAAACCTAACCTGTTGAGATACGATGGGTTATCGTTATCTTCTGCATCCTGCATCATCGGGACGAGAAAAGAGGACATGCTGAACCCCTCACAAACTGGGGAAGTGCAGACTCCTGTGTGAGACTTTCCTTTTTCACTTTCTCCCCTTCCCTGGGTTTCTTTTTCTTGTCATTTTTTTAAGGATGCCCAAGATTTATAAAATCCGTTTATACTTTCTGAGTACATTTCCCTTCTGTCCTCTAACTGGCGAACTATTAGCTCCCTATTCACAGCGGCAAGAGCGTGGAAACACGTAGGGATTTGATTCTGACCACGTTGCATGTCGAATGCATCCAACGGACGTTTTGGTTGTAAGATGATGGCAGAGCGCGTGGGATGTGGTGCAGAGAAGACCATGCGGTTTCCACGTGGGCTTCATCCCGACTGCGGGATACTATTAGTTCAGCTGGCGGGACCATTGTCGTTATTATAAACTAAGGGGTTGTTTGGATGAAGAATTGTAACCGGTCAATTTGACGCTGAGACGATTGTATCAAATTGACTTGTTCGCCAGCAAAAAAAAATTTGATGAATTAATTTTCCTGAGGTATTTTGAATTGATCCGTTTTGAGTCAATGTCAATTTGCCTGAGGATTGGATTGGATCTAAGGATGGCAACGAAACCCGAACCCATGAGTACCCTACCCGACCCAACCTGGCCAACGCGGGTAAAAATTCGTGTTGACGGGTTTTGGACCGAGTTCGGGTTTAAACCTGTTCAATATTCATCGGGTTGGGTTTGGGTTTAGGTAAACCCGACCCATGAGTACCCGTCCACAATCATATAATTAATTTTTCCGGTATATTTAATATTCTAAACAACTAATCTTCTTTATGTTTGTGGAGACATGTCTAATTTTTTCTTTCTAATTGTGTAGAATGAAGTCGATATTATCAAGTGGAGAGTGAAGAAGCTTAATTGACAAGGAGGAAGAAGTTTTCAAATCATGTTGTTTATGGATAATTTGTGATTTGCTTCAATTTTCTTGAGTTTTCTAGACTGGTGTTGAACAATTTGTATGGTTAATTTGTGATTTGCTTGAATTTTCTAGAATGTTGTTGTATATATGGATAATTTGTTTTGAGAGATTGATATTTGACTTTTATTTTTATAGGAACTTGTTATTGTAAATTTTTTTACAACAAAAAATCCATGGGTACCCATCAACTCGCGGATACCCAGCGAGGTTGAGTTGGGTTTGAGTTTTTCAAACCCAGTGAATTTTACCCCAAGTTTTTTTCACGGATAAACCCATGGGTTTGGGTTTGGGTTTGGCAAAACCTGACCCAACCCCACCCATTGCCATCCTTAATTGGATCTAATGAATTGGTACATTGATCTATGTATCCAAATGATATCCAAGTCTTAGACCATTATGTAAACTTCTGATTGGCTTGCATGTGAGGAAGACAGAAAGCCATTTATTGTTCTATTTTTTGTCAAGGGTTTGAGCTCTACTCATAGGAACTCAACTTGGAGTTAGATCGGAATAAGACAAAAAATCTACGGTTTATGAGTTTATATGACTAAACTAATCACATTTCATTTATTTATAAGATTATTATATGTGTGCTACACGTGTTCTACATCTTCTTTCTAAATCCATCCAAATGATCAACAAAAAGATATCAACAACCTAATTTACCTTGTCTAAGTTGAAGGTTGCCTACTTAATTGATTTAGTAACTTCCGTCATTATCTGTGTTGTAAACAAAATCACAAGGTGATAGAGTGAACCAAAGACGAAAGATCCTCTGTTGTTGGTTATAAAAAATTTCCAGTTCGGGGAGAACAGTAAGAACCCTTTGGTGTAGTATCTAAACAAAAGTCGGTGAACTACATTCTACAATTTTTTTTTTTTTTGTCTCTTTACTTCCCCATTTGGCATGGCTTTCCTACTTTAATCCTGCTTACTGTACAACCCGACCAAAAAGAGAGAAAAAAGTGTCTTCCTTCAGTGTCATTACAGCAAAATTTCCTCGTTCTGGTGAACAGCGCCGAGCTTCATTTGGAGTTATCAGCCCATTTCATTCGCTATTCTGATGACGGATGCGTAGGTGCCAATGACAGCGCTCAACAAGCCCACAAGTACGCTGAAACCACAAGCTGCCAGCTGGTAGAAAATGATTACAGACAGTTTTAGCGAAAACAGGTTACAAACTTCAACCGGTGTTCACCAAAATGATACACGCATGCTCTAGTTATGGAACAAATTCATTTACCTCTAACTTGGTCAATCTGTCCTGGAATATGCTGACATAACAAGCACACGGAAGGACGATAGCCTGTAATTTGAAAAATCACAGATAAAAACTAAGATTGAGACTTGACAGAATTGCTCGATGGTTCCGATTCGTTTTAAGGAAAGTGGCTCACCAGAAGCATTGCAAGGAAGGATCCACAGAAGGCCATCACAGAACCTGGAAAAATTCCAGAGAAGATTATTTTCTGATGACTTTGGAAAGAAAGGTCACTCCTTTCAGCAGGTGGTTGCAAAAAGCTTACCAAAGAATGGAACTGCCAGAGCCACAAATAAAGTTGATAGTACTAAAACCGTTCTGATTCCTATTGATGCACCATAAGATCTGAACCTGCCGGAAGGAATGAGTTCTTCTAAGCTCAAAGCAACTGGCATCATGGTCAATGCATATTTTGTCATTGGGTTCACAACCTGCAGCAGGAAAGAAGGATACCTTAATTATATACACAATTGGTTTTCAGGATAAAAAATCACAACTTTCAAGGTCAGAAGGGCAAGAACTCTACTGCTGTCCAGACTGCGATATTGGAGGAAACAAGTTGTTCAGGCATGTTCAGGGTAAACTGAGATTTCACTGCATCACCAAACAAGAGATACCCGCATATCGCGACTGCAGTGTACATGAACCAACAGAAAACAAAGCTGCAAAGTCGAATAATAATCAAGTCATGTTAGATAATTATATATTTATAAAGGACGAGGGATTCCAGTTCTCATCGTCTTCACCTGACAATCAAAACTGAAGGAAACTTGGACGGTTCTCTCATCGAGTAGTAAATGTTTGGGAAAACAGCATGGCCAGAGAAGCAATATCCATATATACCAACAGCAAAAGGTAGATTTCCGAGGTCGATAGCTGTTCCACTTGAATGCATTCCAACTTCATTGGCCATCCCACTCCACACCAAGCAGCCAGCTAGTAGAACCGATGCACCTACTCCACCAACTTTTTCCACAAAAAAAACCATCAGTTGGAAGACCGTACCTCGTCTTTGATTCCAAGTGAGTGGAGGAGAACAAGGAGAAGTTTGGAAGAACCTGAAAGGTAGGACAGGAGGGTAAGGTCTCGGAGCCAAACAGTTGGAAGAACTATGAGAGTTGCTGCAATGGGGAAGATTCGCTGAGCATCGAGATGCATTCCAACCAAATCCATGCTTGTATTTGGGAACAATGTCGATAAGTTATCACTCGTCATGATTACATACTCCACACAAGCTGCCTACAATAAAAGCTCCCCCCCATTTAGTACAGAAAATTCAAGAGATCAAGATTTCCACCCATAAGGAAAACGAGACTGTAATACTTACGTATAACTCGAAGTAAAGAAGTATCTGAATTTGACAATCAAAACAAAAAAACACAAACAAAAATCAGTCAATTTTACACAAACAACCGTGGCTGAAGGAACCATGTCAGCATTATATACTCACAGAGACGAGTAAGCGACCCGGTAATCCGAAAGCAGCCTGAGCAATGTCAGGATAAGTGCGAGTAAGAGGAGAGCTTTCCAGACATTCCTTTAACAAGCTTCCAGTGTAGCAGCATATGATCCCAAAGAGTAAAAGTATGAAGAGGCTAAGCCACCCTCCTTGTTTGACTGCATATGGAGTAGCAAGCAACCCTATCCCGCATAAAATATTGATCCCTACAACCTCAAACGAAAAGGGGAATCTCAAAAAGTCATTACTTGAAAAGTTAGGGAGAAAATCACTATAATAGTGTTTTGTTTTTTTTTTTCATTTACCATTGAGAACCGCTTGTGCAAACGAGCTTTGTTTATTATCGTCCTCCGCCGGTGCCTGTGAATGTGGAGATGCAGATGTTTGCCCCACGGGAGATGGGCATGAAATAACTATTTTCCCCAAATCCCGCTTTGGGATCAAGGATTCTTTCAGGAAAGAATCCGATTCGGAATCCCTCAACTTTGAAGGCGACAACGACCCATCAGTGTCTTCCTTCAGGAAGGAAATCGAGGAAGCAGCAGCAGCCACATTGGTGAACATGTCCATTGATGCCCTGAATTGTTTCGCGTAACACGATCCAAAAAGAGGCAGAGCATTTAACAAATATTCTATGGGGGCAAAAAAAACAATATCATTCAAGGAAGAAAGGAATGTGTGGTTGTGTGAGAACCTGAAGCTCTGAGGCCAGGTAGGAGTAGTGAGTTCCATGCTGTGGGAAGAATGGTTTGCATTGGGTGAAGATGAAGTGCTGCTCCCCGAATCTGAGCCATTGCTATCGTCGTCAAAAGTTCTCTCCGCTTGGTTTTCTTCATCGTCGGTCTGGAACTGATCTTCCCGATCAGGTCCCGTCCCCAGATCCTCCTCGTCAATCTTCATTATTTGTTTTTAATTTCTCAGTTCGACATTAAGATAGGGAAAGCGAGAAACCCGAGAGAAAGCAGAAACCATAGAACAACTGAACATAGCATGAACAAATAGGCTTGTTTGTCGCATGGAATTACACGTATAGAAATATCATATACGCTTTTTCCTCGGAGATGGATACCAATCACTCCTCATTCTCCGAGTTCCCTCCGTAAACATATATCGGAAAATAAAGAAGAAAAAATATATATGGATAACTCCTATACTCGAAGTTCTCCCACCACCATTGATCTAATCTAACATTCATTATTAATTCTGCTAAAATTAATTATTAACCTAGAAATATAATTATTAACTTCTTCCCTTAAATAATTATAGGTACTTTTAGTGGAGTGCAACCGTTCGCAACGGTCTGGACCGGACCAAACTAATGAGAACCGCGATCCATTAGTGAAAGACATCTTAGGACCAGATCGAACCAACATTACGTTCTCACTAATCCATTAACAAAAGTAAAAAAATCAAACCTATTCAAGAGAACCAACTCCTAAAAAATAGCCAAATCATACATAAATAATTACAACAAATTTCCTTTTAGGTTTCCTTTGTTATTGCTTCACCATCACCCGCTTCATTATTTTCACTAGTAATAACGTCATCATCTCCATCACCTACTTCACCATCTAGCCCATCAATATATTTTTTCTTTTCTTCTCAACATTGTAATGATCCCAGACTCTATTACCTTCACTGTTGACAGTCTCATCCCTCTTCTAAATAGCATCAGCATCTATATTACCGGCTCCACTACCTCCACCGTCTTAGGCTTTTTCTTCATTCAAACCTTAAATGCAATGATAAAATGCTTGCGAGTTGAAATATCATTTTCAAGCCATCAGAATTTACCTCGTCGAGCTCACGATCATCGGTGGAGTTTTTTTTTTTTTTTTTCTTACTCATCCTTATGAAATGAGTACCCATATTGTCATGGTTTATATCATAAAATCAAAATTTTCCTATTAGTTAACTTGGATTATATTAATTTGGATCTAAAAAATTGTTGCAGGTTCGAATCCTATCAATTATGATTTATATTTGTCTATTTAGTTTTAGCTTGGTGGATCTTAAGAAATTATAAATATATTATAAATAATTTATGAAGTTTCTTAATATTCGGATATATTATAAGCATTGCATTCTAAAGTTCAAAGGACTCTTATTAATTAATATTATTATAGTTGAATATGGAAAAACCTATTATTATTATTATTATTATATTGTTTACCGTGTGTTTATTCATGTATTGTATACTAAAACTATAAGGACACTTATCTGGGACAGGTTACGGTGGTTACTATTTTATAGTAATCACCGTGGTTACTAAGGGCAAATTGGGTATAACAAAAAATTTATTAATGATCTTTTTTTAATAAATTACATTTTAGGAAATTACATAAATATATTAAATACAATTTTCTCTCTCTCACTTCCACAATTTTTCAGCCTGATCTCTCTTCCTTCTTTTTCTCAATCTTTCCTTGATTTCGTTGCTGCAACAACAAAACAATAAATCATACCAATCCATTAAAAAATACTACCATTGTACAAAACATCAATATCATTCAAGAAATAAAAACACTACCATTTCAGAAAACATATACCATTGCAGATTTAATCACTACCAATGCGACATAAAAAACACTACCATTTCAGAAAACATCAATACCATTGCAGATTTAATCACTACCATTGCAGATTTAATCACAACCAATGCAGATTTAATCACTACCAATGCGACAAAATCAATACCAATGCGACAAAAATAATACCAATGCGACAAAAACAATACCAATACGATCATAACACTACCACTACGGGGAAAAATGACTACCATTTAAAAAAATCACTACATAAAAAAAGGACTACCATTGAGGTAAGCCTTCACCTCCGGTATACCAGAACCGGCGGCAGCCAAAGCTATGATGAGGGTTGCAAACAGAGGACGTCGGCGGTTGATTGAGGTAAGCCAACAGCAGTCAAAGCCCAAAAAAAAATTGGGCAGAAACGAAGAGAGGGAGAGAATCCAGAGTTCAATAGAAAAAGGGGAGAAGAAAGAGGGACCTGGATGCTTCGCTTCCTGCGTTCGGCCTCAGCGCGCTTGGCGAGATCGGCGACGCACCGGAACCGCCGGCGGGGGTTCTTGACGATGTTGACAGCTCTCCGCCATCGCATCAACGCCTCCTCCGACGGATTCTTGTGGTGCAGATCGAACTCCTTCTTCAAATCGAACTCCTTCTTCAGGCAGCGAGAGCGGGGCCGACGAGGCAGAGGTTGATCGAGAGCGGGAGCGACAGGGAGAGGAGGGAGGAGACGACGGCTAGGTATTAGGGTTTGAGTAAAATATATACAGTAATCAGGTGTGGTATGTTTTTTATTTCCTAAATTACCCTTAGCTAATCTTAATCATTAATTTAAAATTATAATAAAATAAAGATAATGAATGCTATAGATGTTGGTAGCCACCGTGATTACTCAAAATTGAATAACCACCCTAACCTATCCCACACTTATTATGTTTATCATAATAGTTTAATTAGAAGTCAACTTATTAATTACATGGCGGAAAATCTATGCAAAAAATTATAATTTTTTTAATAATTAGAATGAGGAATGACAAATATATCCTTCCTAAAACCACTAGGCTGGAAATTCTGAATGAAACATGTTCTCGTGAAGAACTTCTATAAATTAGTGGTAGGATTTTGTAGTTGAGAACAAAGAGTCTAGACAGCGTAGTGCTGAACAATGTTGCTCTTACTGTAAGAATTTTTCTTTGTAGTACAGAGCTGAGAATTCGGAGTCAAAAGCTTGGTTCAGTATTTAATATAGTAATTAAGTAGCAACAATGTGAAAGCTATCAATTCCTCAGGGTCCATTTGATTACTGATGTTTGCATAAAATTGTTCCTATCCTTCATAAATCGTCTAATTCTTTTGTTAGAACACGACTATTCTTTTGTTCCTTCCTTACAGGCACATTAAGCCATTCAATGAAATCTATTCACTCTAAAAATTCTAACTCCCAAAGGGAGAGGTGAAACTAGAGATGCACGCTAATTCAAATATCTGTAACTTTCTGGGGAGAGAGGAAGAAAAAAAACAGACTTCACAATATGAAATTTGAAGAAGCACCTGTCCCTTGTGATGTTAATGCTACAGATGCTACGAAGGTGGCCAAGCTGGACAAAACACTGGCATACTATACTTGTAGCTCCATTTTGGACAACCGAATACCCTGCCTGAAACCAGCGATACTTCAATAAGGCAAAATCGGTTGGCATATGAAATTCAAACTTCAGAGTATCAATTTTTAAAAAGTATACACACCTGAATTTAAGGTAGTTATGTCCTCAATCATCAGTAAAGCAGTCAGCAGATTAACAATGATTGTAGCAGCATACTCGATCAGACTATCTATATCGACTTTGAGCCAGTCAATGCCAGTGTTTGATATTTCTGCCATGTCCCTAACCATCACAAAGTTGGACCTCTTAATAAAGCAAACAGAAAACCTGCATTTGATATTTCTAATCAAGCCTGCTGCCAGTCAATGCGAGTGTTGCTAAGTGACATTCACTAATCTTCTCGTTGCATTTCTTCACCAACTTAACAGAAGTGGCAAGTTCGTCCATTTTTATTCAAAAACTCAATGCTTCTTCAAACATACAACTAGATGGCTTTATTCCGGGCCTAAGAAGTACCAACAGTCTAGGAAGTCTTCATCTTAGGAAAAGAGAGAATCGGGTTACCGGAAGAGGGAGGAGGCAGAATGATACGATCACCGGGAGAAAATTCCTTCACTGTTGAGCCCACAGAATACACAACTCCAATCTCTTCGTGTCCTCCAACTGCAGGCACCGGAGACCGTAAATCACATACTTCTACTCCAACAATTCAGAAATATGAAATGCCTGGTACAAAATTAGACTCTATAGGTCAAATATATGTGCGATTATACCTTCAATTCGATTGATATCAGAAGGATTAACCAGTGCAGCTAGCATCCTACCGCAAATATCGTTCTCTTTCACTTCCACCAGCAACAACTCGACCATCCTAAGTGAAGTGAGCACACTTACACAACTATCACGTCAGTGCAATGTCAACCGTTAACCTAACTTCGTGCACCGAAGTTCATATAGCGGGTCACCTAACAACGGAATCGGGCGGGGCGTGCTGGTTGTAAACAATGGCCTTGGATGGCGGAGCCATGAGTGCTACCAATCAATACAGCCCTGCCGAGATTGGAAGAATCAATACAGCCAATCAATTGGTAAGGAACAACTGAAATCTGATCCTCTTCGAGCCGCCGAAAGCTTATCTCAAATGAAACCTTCAGAAGATCAGACATGGGATCAAAGTGGAGGCCTGAGTGAGGGGTGACTTACACAGTTACACTCCGGGATTAGAGGGAAAAGGAAGATCAGAAGGAATTTAGCCGCCGTGCAAGTCCTTCAAGGATGTAGTCGAGGAAACGCTTCTGCAACACTATTTCAGTCCCTTAATCACCGAAATCCACTCTGTCGATGAGCTTTCTTATGTCCCTGCTACAGTCTCCCAATCACAATTAATCTCGTTGGAGCTCTCGAGGGAGCGATTTCACCAGCTCTCTAAAAGCCGCGAGCAGAAACGAAAAGAAATTGATTGGTATCCAGCGCCTGATACAACCACGGGGCATGCGGAAGAAATCGACCGATCGGCCTCCTTCATCTTCGGCATCTACACACAACCAGCTAATCCTCTGGTGGCAGCACCAGACGGTGATGGGTCCCGACGGCAATGGTGAATCGCATTCGCAGGACAGGAGTCAAGCCTAGAGTGCGAAATTGTGAAGGATGCAAGGTTGTCTATGCGCGGTTGGAGCCGCGGGTTAGATCCATTTTGACCCTGACCCGGTGAGAAAAACAGACCACACGCATTCGTCGGGTCGACCGCTATAAGGTATCGGATAGGAGGTCAAATTCTGTCATTTTTTTCTTTGGTTATCGAAATGCGCCTATTTTTCGATTTTTCTTTTCGCCTAACTCAATATTTGGAATTCTAAGTTGAACATTTGAATATTAATGTTATATAAGTGTGTGTGAATTTTCACTATATGTATGTTGGACTAAGTACGACATGTTATTTTGGTGGAATATTATATGTTATAATTCATATGTTAGATGGTATTTGATATAATTTATCATGATAAGTACAATATAATGACTACTTCCATATTTTCGGGCTAAAACGGGGGACCCATTGACCCACTAGCTCGACCGGGTCAACCCTCGGGTTGACAAATGGCAACAACTACACTTGACAACCTTGACCGACCCGCCAGATACGCACCCAAAACCGCCCAGGTAGTGACCATTTTACCCGTCCGACGTAGGTAAATGGCGGATTCGAGTATTGCCCGGAATCTGTGAGTACCGGATAACGGATAGCGATGGATCTCGTGGTATCTGCTCCGACACCGCTCTGTCTTCCAAAACGACGTCGTATTGGATCTCAGTATATAAATTAAACGAAGGACAAAGAAACCCCATTCCCTTCCCTACTGTCTCTCCATCGATCCCCTAAACATTCATTTCGCTTAAAATTTCCACCGATTCCCCAGGAATTCCTCTCTATCCAGGTTGTTTATACTTCGATAATTGCCAGTAGGCAATCATTATCCTGCAAATTGGTTAATTGGAGGCTAGTTTTGCTGGCAATTTCTTCGAGGAACAAAATGCAGAACCCTAAAATGCTCGTTTTCTCCCTTTCCTTTCGTATTCTATTGCACCTTCTTCTTTCTTCTCATATATACCAACCCTGCGATTAATTTTAGGATTACTGGTAGGTCTCAATACTTCCTTATTTCATTACCTTCATTCTCCTTAGAGGACGGTTGAGGTAATCATTAATAAAACTTCGTTTCTTTTAGTTTATTACTACATTAGCTAGGTCTTTATCAATCGAGGAATGCTAATGTGATTTTGTTTGTTTTGACTTTGTTGGAGTTCATCAGGTTCGCATCAGGCATCATCTCACCATCTGCATCTGGTCAACAAATCCTCGCTCTCCATATTACAAGTTAGGCATAGCCTTACTCCAAATCAACTACGGATTGTAATTTTGTAATCTGTATGTGTTTGGACTAAGGGTCTTGGACTAGGGATTGTGCAGGTTGCATGTGTCGATTGCATGTGCTCTGTTTGAATCATGGTGGTTGATTGATTGCTTTTGTTTTATAGTTTATGTAGATGGACAGTTCATTTGAAAATGATGCTTTTAATGTGAATGATCCTCTTGTGCTTACTAATCAAAAACCCTGATGGTAATGCTAATCCTAATGCTAATAGTAATGTTAATGATAATGGTAATGCAATCTCACTGACTTACTTACGGAATCTCAAATCTCTAGTAAAGGTAATGTTAATGGTTATGGTTCTGGTAGTGATGTCTTGGCAAATGGAAATGAAAATGTTGAAGTCATTCTTTAGGAAGATCGTAAATCGATATCTAATGTCCGGCCACATTTTGTTAGGGTGAAGTTTAATGGGGAAATTAAAGCTAAGTGTAGATACTGCAAAAAATGACTAGGTGGTGATACTAGTAATGGAATCTCCCTCCTGTGGAAGAGGAACTATTATAAAACTTGTACCCAAAGAAAGATACATGATGGTAGACAAAGAGTTCTTGGTCTTGATTATAAACCATCTGGAAAACCCCTCTTATCTCCTACTCAATTCAATTCTAATGTGTCTAGGAAGTAGTTGTGTTCTATGATTATGGTGCATGGGTATCCCCAAAACATTGTTGAACACTTGGGGTTTAAACGTTTATGTTGTTCTTTGCAACCACAATTCACTGTGCCTTGTAGAAGTACAGTAAATAAGGTTCTAGATGGTCATATTGGTAGAATTGCAGGGACTACTGATATGGGGACTGCAACCAACCCAAAAAGGGGGTTTACTGGCCATTTTACTAACAATTCTTCTGGTCATATTGGTCGATCTAGCCCCAAATTGGTTTGACCCAATTACTCCGGTTCAACCAAATTCCAACGGTAGTATGACAAGATAGATGGGGAGGACCGGAGGAGGATGAGGAAGAGGCGATGGTGGTGAATGGTAAGGAGACATGGTAGAGAGGAAGGGATTTGAGAAATTTGTTTCATAAAAAAATCATTTGTTTGTGTTTATTTGAGGGGTCTTTTCTTATTTCATAATTTTATTTTCATTTTTTAATTGTAAATAATATATAAAAAGTATTCGAATTCAAATTTTTTAATAATTTTCATGATGACATAACACGTTGATCGTCGGTCAATATTGTGTCATCAAACTTGACTGTCAACCCACAGGTAGGGCCAACATAGTTCAAATAGTGTAAATTGCAGGCCAATAAGGGGATTTTAGAAAATCCTGGACAAATTAATGTATTAGTATAAAGTTCAGGTCATTTTAAGGTACCGACCATTATTTTTCTTAAAAAATTACATTTTGGAAATTACAAATTGAATTTCTATTAATTTCATTCTCTCCCTCAATTATGCTTCTTCGTTCTCCTCTTTGCCTTTCACTAGCGACCTATCTGTCTTCCTCTGACCTTCTTCTCGATTCTTCTGTCTCCTCACAGACATACTAGTAACAGTTCAAACGAACAAATACCATTGCAAAAAAAAATACCAATTGAGGAAAATAACACCACTATGTAAACAAAACCAGTACTACTATGAAAATATAAGAAAAAATCAGTACCAAATTGAAACACCACCACTATAGAAAACAATGCAAAAGAGAAAATCAATACCAGTTTAGAAAAAGGCCTAATACCAGAAAAAGGCTCATAGTTTAGGGTTTAGGTCACTTGCACCCCTATGTTTATACCGCGTCACTTATGTCCCAAAGTTTAAAGTCTTCATGTCAAAAATGTCCTCTGATATTTTGTTGACCGTTAGACTTAAGGGTCAACCAAACGACAATCAATATTTTGTTGACTTTGTACCAACGTGTCTGCCATGTCACCAATTTGACAAAAAACAATTTTTTTATTTTTTTTTTAAATTCACCCCCGCCATCACAGGCCACCGCTCTCTACATCGACCCTCCTGCCATTTTCCCATCCCTCCCAGCTGCCGCCATCCCTCCCCAAAACCCACCGTCCCCTGAAATCGCACCCCCATCTCAGCATCTCCCTCCGCTGCGACGCACCCCATCTCAGCATCCCCATTCTTCTCTGTTTGCGACTGGCGCCACCGCCGGACAGAGCTCAACATCCCAGAACGAGCAGCCTTCAAGCGACTATCGTTGCACCGCGATCATCCTCCACTTGCAAATACCCGTCGATGATGGGTTCAGAAGCCCGATATGGATTCAATAGACGATCTGTTTTCGGTGAAGATTCGGCAATCTAGCCACCAACAATTCCCACATAATTTTTGACAACCGCCAGTGGATGTGGGTTTTTCTCGAGCTCGCTTTTGCTTCCCGGCGCCGTGACCTCGATTTTTCTCAATCGATCTGGTTGTGCCTTCCTAGCGCTCGATCTGGATCTGGTCCCTCTTAAGGATGGGAGTGCTATTGTCGACGACAGAGGAGTAGAGGAGGATGGGAGGGATTGAAAGACCGGGCTTGGGCTTGGGGTGCTTGAATGGGCGACTGAAGGGGTTGACGAGGAGGATGGTCGGCGATGAATATTCTGGCTGGCGGCGACTAGGGTTGGGGAGCTTTTCTCGAAGGTGGAAAGGAGAGAATTGGGGTCGATGAAATTGAAACCCCATGCCACCTTTTATTTCCTTTTTTGCTTTACTTACTTTTACCTTAGTAATTCTGTAATAATTTGTCAAATTATAATTATTTTTTATTGATATGTCGTCGGGCAATGGTTGACCGTCAAAATATAATGGAGTAAGTTAATGGACTCTAAACTTTGTGACATAAGTGACGCGGTATAAACATAGGGGTACAAGTGACCCAAACCCTAAACTATGGGCCCTTTTATGGCATTAGGCCTTAGAAAAAAGCAGTACTATTATGTGAACAAAACAAAAACCATTACTATTCATAAATCCAACCTCCATTTGATAAATAATATCATAATAAAAGAACTCATATATCTGAATTTTGAAAAAAAATACAAAACCAGTACCAATGTATTTGAAGGGAAGATAGAATGAGTACCAACATATATAATAAAAACCACTACTAGAATAAAAACCAGATATACGTTCGAAAAAAAGAAGAGAAAACCAGTACCAGAAACAATAACCCTATAACACTAGACCAAACTCATATTAGGGATGACAATCAAACCCATGATCGCGTGTACTCGATTGTTCCCTACCCAATGAACGAGGGAATCCCCGCATAGACTTGATATGGGACGAGTATGGATAAAACTCACAAAAAGTTTGATGTGTATGGGGCGGGTATGGTTCTAACCTCCACTGCCCCATACTCATACCAATACCCCGCCCACCAAGAACATTTCTTCACATTTAAAAAATACATGGATCAAATTGTAACCTATTAATGATAATGAAGGTAACTCAAGAAAATTGTAACCTAGTTCGCCTTTCCTTCAATTCTCCCTGCACTGTTTCACTATTCCCTCTTGTTAATAAGATAAGTATGTTAGTTAATTATTACTTAGTAGATGTATCAGAGTCAGAATTCTCCGACTTGGAAAATATTATAATACTCTATTTTATGAATTAATATAATAGATATTTTAGGATCGAATAATTTTAATGGTATTCGGAATTGATTATATATATGTTGACTTCATGATAGAGTAGGTCCGTTTGGTATTATTATTTAAAGTTTATACGTAGATTCTTAGGTATAATAATATTGAATGTACGGGGCAGGTATTACCAACGGGTACAAGGATTGATTTGAAAAACCTTCTCCATATGGATATGGAGCGGATACGAGTTTGGATATTTAAAAATAGGGATGGGGATGAGGAGGGTTTAGACAAACTCGCCCCATTGCCATCCCTAACTCATATATTTGTCATCGACGTTCTATGTAGTGAGATTAGTCGGCGACGAGAAAAGACCGACGGAAAGAGAGACATTTATATAAAGAGAACTAACATGTAGAAAGCAACTCGGAGAGTGTAGAGACACGAAGAGACAAAAACATGTTGCTACCTATAAAGGGTTTGCATCCTTATATTCCTAACCTTTCGAAGAAATTAGGAAAGAAAATATGGTTTACTTCAGCTTTTAAACTTACATTTTATTTAAAGTGAAAATAAAAACACTCAAATTACCTCTGTTTATTCGTTAAAAGTACATGCATGGCTCGCTAATTCTTTCTTTTTTCTCTAAGAAAAAATATGGTGGATCTCGTAGATAGTGATTTAATGATATTAGAGGTCGCAAATGGATTGATCCATGAATTGGTGGATCCATGGATCAAATGGATTGGATCCAATGGATTGGTGGATTCATGGATTGGATCAAGTGGATTGGTGGATTATCCATGAATCCAAATGACATCCTCAACCAAGGATCAATATGTAAAAATGTGAAAAGTTTAGGTACTAAAATGTCATGATGAAAATTTTTAGATACCAAAACGTAATTTTCCAATGATATTTTTTCGTATAAAAATTAAATTTTGGGTATCAAAATGTAAAATATAAAAAGTATAGGTATCAAACCGTAATTTGCCATTTGGATCAAATGGATTGGATTAGGTGAATATTCTTAATGGATTGGTGGATTGAATTGGTGGATTGGATTGAAAATTGTCACCTCTAAATGATATCGATCATAATTCCTTCAAGGCAATAGAGTATATATCCACCGCACCATCACCAAAGTAATTTTGAGACAAATTTTCTTTTTTTCAATATCATAGAAATCAAATGCATCCAAATCACATAATAACAACATATATATATATAGAATAGAGAGCAAACATGATGACTATCTCTAGCTAATAGTACTGCATATCCATCCGTCCATACGATCCATACCATACATACCCAATAGCACCATACTAAATGACAATAACACACTCATATTCATATATAACTAGTACTGAAGTAGCTAGAGTAGGCAAACTCCGGCCGGCAGGCGGCGGCGGCGGCCGTGGTAGACACGGAAATCAGAGGTGTGTACCCTCCGGTGGATGGTTCCTGATGAACCGGATGGTGATGCGACCCTCATTCCCCACGCCGCAGTGACAAAGAGCAGCGCCAGGATCGTCCAGCAGGCGGTTGCCGAAGTAGAGCAGCATGTCGTCCGGCTCAATCTCCAGCAGGCCCATGGTGTGAAGCTTGTCCAGAATCTCCCCCCTCACGTAACCCACGGTGGCCGTCTCGTAGCAGAGGATGAAGTCGCCGCCCAGCCACGGCGGGTAGCCCTCGTAGTGGAGCATCACGCGGATTGTGTTGGGCTCGATCTCCAGCAGCAGCTTCGCGGTGTCTCCGGCCTTGATCCCGTAGGAAGCCAGCGTCCGGTCGTCGTCGTCCATCTTCGCCTGCTGTTGCACCAGCGGCGGCAGCACGTACAGGGTGAGCCTCCAGGCCGAAACGTTGAGGTCCGACTCGATCCGCTGCTTCACGTCCATCACCGTGGCCGAGGTGGGGAAGGAGTAGGGCGATGGGAGCCGGCCTCCGGAGATGTCCAACTTGCACTGATCAGCGTCGCTGCTGCTGCTGCTAGCCATCTTCTCAATTGGTAGGGAAAGGTTTGACTGATCACGACGGTGGATAGGGATGCTTAAAGGGGTTTTGAGTGTTTGTGTATATATGGTAGAGGGTCATGCCAAATAATAGGATGAGCTTTTGGAACTAGATCTCATCACGATAGATTTGTGTTTCATTTTTCGACGGCCAAGCTTGCATGCATGCAGTTTAAACACTTGTCAGTCTGAATATGGTCTAATTTGCATGATTATGAATCCATCATCAAATTATTATTTTTCAACTACTGTGATGTAAGTGTGTATTGGAAAGTTCCAAACTAAAGAGCACCTAGCAATCCGTCTCTAATAATTTACCGATGGTTATTTGTTTCTCAACTGCCCTCAATATAATGCGATATGCATGTATGTGTTTGTTTCTTATTTGCTTTGACCATCGTATACAAGATACCCTAAAAAAAAAAATTCGCAGGAGGTTGAGATATGGTTCAAAATGAACTTTAATATGTAATAAAATAAAAATGATTGTAGTATTGTAATTTAAAAGGTAAGATCTTTATAACATACATTTAAAATATAATTATTCAGTACTTCTCCGATTTTTCATATTCTCCACGAGATCATTTTTAATAGTAATCTTACATTTTAGTGTAGTGGCAGAGTCAAACAATAATCTTTTCTGCCACGTCAACGTCCAACTCAGCGATATGACTGTCACGTCAGAGTCGATTAACAGTTGATCGAACGGAAAGTTGAAGGTTTAGATATTAAATTGTTCTCTAATTTTCGTATTCTCCACGACATCATTTTCAATCATTGTCATAACTAGTTCATTAAACCTTTCTTGTGCCGTTATTTAATACAAATAAGACTTTATACACACAAGCATAACTTTAACAATCATTATAAGTGTATTTTACATATATATAGGGAGTTCTACGGTAACCAAGGTGAAATCCGGGGTACCGTATACACCGGCGGATCCAGGGGGTGGCCATCCCAGGCCTCGGCCCAGCCCTCTCTAGATCCGTAGTTACTATAGTCCTTATGAAATTTTTTATTTTAGACATTCAATCCAGTGTTATTTTATGATTAGATTGGGTTTAACTAGAAAAATTATCAAGTTGAACATATTCAAATCACTATTCTAAATTTAGCCTAGAAATTTAGCCCCAAAGATTATGCGTCTTAAAAAAACAATGAAACCTAAAATTCTAAAAAGTTAAAAACGTAAAAGACTAAAAGAAATATGAGGTTTGTTCCCTTACAAATTTACTAAAGCAGCTGGTGTGCAGGGATGGACACACAATGTAAATTGATTAGTCGATTGATTTATCTAGTGTTGATGCTGCTCGTTTCAACAGCTACTACGAAGAGAACTTTTTTAACAATGAAACATGTGAGAACTGATTTGCTCAAAAAATGAGCGGTGAATTTCTCGCCGATTGCTCAAGTATTTTATTTGAAACAGTGTATACTATTGGTATGAATGTAAACTTCATTATTGATGCATTTCCTAAATTAAAATACAGTTGTGTACAATTTACATTGCAAAAAACTATAATCATTATATCTTTTTTACGGTTCTAATTTTCTAATGAAATGCGGCCCAGTGCTCTTCTGTGTTCTGGATCCGCCGTTGACCGTATACCTTGAGTAAAATGTATCCAGAACTTGAATTGACTGATGTTTCAAACATGATACTATACTCTTTGCAAGAACCGACGTGGCTCCCCAGCGGCCCAGCCTAGTACATTCTGCCATCACAAGCTGTTGGGCCGGGAATTCGACTTTTCTTCTATTCGGCCCAGAACCAATCCACGACTACTAGAAAGCCCAAAAGTTTGACTATGTCCGAATCCAAATCGCCTTCGGCCATCTTCCCCTCCCGGCAAGTGCGCGAGGTTTCTGGAACTCTGTAGAACTTTCCGGAGTCACCTTCTCCCGTCATTCTCCTGGTCGACTACTCGTTCGCCTGCTTCTCATATTTCGCGTTTTGCTTCGCTCGCCGTATAAAGCTCAACTCTTTAGTGGTCATCCGTATCAGATTTTGCTAAAGAAGCTAACTTTTGTTTTGCGGAGTGCTTTTTCTTCTAGGTTTTCTTTCCCCACCTTTGTGAATTGATAATGGCGAAACCAGGACCCGACTGGGATGGGTTGCTCAAGTGGAGTCTTGCCCACTCTGATGGAACCGGGTCGAATCGCAGCCTCAGGTGATGATGCTAGCAGCTTGCTCTTGCTAAATCCTTTTCCACCTTTCTGCTGTTTAGAAGTAAGTATGGGGTAAAAGCTTTCTGAATTTGTATGCTTGATTTGTTTTAATTGCAGCGAGGAGGATCGAAGATGGTTCACGGAAGCAATGCAATCTCAGACTGTCGATGTGGTTAAGCGGATGAAGGAGATTACGCTGGTCATGCAAACTCCACCGGAAGTCTTGGAGGCTCATGGAGTTACTCCGGCGGAGATTGAAGGTACCGTGCTGGAATTTGCTTTGCTTTGATCTAATGATCTTGAATTGTTGATTTCTGCTGTGAGCTCTAGTTTAGGAATTAGGGTTGCTTCTATTCTTTCTATTTAGCTAAGACTGCAATCTTCCATTTGGCAGATATGCTGGAAGAGCTTCAAGACCATGTGGAGTCTATTGACATGGCCAACGGTGAGTCTCCCATGTCGGTTATTATTCTTGGTTAGGCTAATTGCTTGTTCCTGGTGCATCATTGTACACTTGATTGTCGTAATTATGGTGGTCAAAGGCATCTAAGTTGCTCTTGCCTGTGTTACCTTCATGCTGTATCTCCGTCGTGGAACTAATAGGTTATGATGCGAATGATATATGGGGATGACATCTGTTTGATTAATTACCTACCTTCGTTCATGACAGATCTTTATTCTATTGGTGGTTTGGTACCTCTACTTGGTTACCTGAAGAACACACATGCCAACATTCGAGCAAAGGCTGCAGAGGTAGTATCTACAATCGCCCAGAACAATCCCAAAAGTCAGCAACTGATTATGGAAGCAAATGGGCTTGAACCTCTCTTGTCTAATTTTGCGTCAGACCCAGATGTAACTGTACGAACCAAGGCACTTGGTGCAATATCATGTAAGTTGTGTTCTTGTATGGTGGCCTAGATTGTGTTAGAACTTAGAAGTAACTAGTTTCGACTACCCATCAGACTTTGGTGAAGCACTTATCAGAAATCTCTTGCCTTGATTTCAGCCTTGGTCCGAAACAATAAACCAGCCATCACTGCATTCCGCCTGGCTAATGGTTTTGCAGGCTTGAGGGATGCTCTGAACTCTGATAATGTGAGGTTCCAGAGGTACGTTTGAAATACTTAGCCTACATTTTTCTTAACTTATGCTATAGCTTCAACAAGGTTGCTCATAGTTGTCTGTCAAATTACTGCAAATTCCAGGAAAGCATTGAACTTGATCAACTACCTCTTGAAAGAGAACACAGCAGATTGCACCACTGTAAACGAGCTGGGATTCCAACGCATACTCTTACACCTTGCCTCGAGTGAACATGGAGATATTCGTGAAGCTGCCCTTGGTGTCCTACTGGAGCTTGCTAAGCACGATGTGGATGTGGTTGGCAGGTCAACTGAGGAAGATGAAAAATTGAAGGCACTTCTCGAAGAACTGATCAAAGGTATTAGCTTGATGTCCCCCGAAGATCTTGGTGCAGCTAAAGAAGAGAGGCAACTAGTGGACACTCTTTGGGAAACTTACTTCAACGAGCCCTCATCCCTTCGTGAGAAGGGCCTCCTTGTTCTCCCTGGAGAGTATGATGCGCAACCACCTGACGTGGCTAGCAAGCAATTTGAGCCTCCTCTTAGAGCGTGGGCAGCAGCAAATAAGGACACCACCGCTGAAAAGAAACAAAATCCCCCACTTCTATTATGAGTTGGCCCTGCCTCAGGATCTGGCTAATGTCTCCGGCCCTAGAGTGCCGAGCAAAAGCAAAGAAGCATGAGGTGAAGCAGAGTGCAACTTTCCATCATTGTCAAGAGTCGAGACTCCTGTATTCCTGCAAATCTAGTTTATTGACGTAGTACTTCTTTGATGTTAAGAGTTTAGCTTCAGCAGCACGTTCTCTTGATTCCTGGCCATTTCCTTCCTCTCCATAGAGAATCATCACCTGTTGTATATTTATATCGTTTGTTCATTTTGATACTCAACAGTGCAGGGAACTGAGTGTTCCTATTCTATTGCTAGTAATTTTCACGTAAGTTATATGTAACTTTCGTCTCTGAAGTATCTGTTTTAACTATTGAATTCCTCTGTCAAAGCTAGTTTACTGATTAGATGCCAAGTCAGAGCCCAGAGACAGCGATGAGACCCACTTCATTAATAGATTTACCAAAATGGGTCAAATAGGGTAGCCAATTGGTAAAAGTGGAAATCTGAATAGCTATCACAGAGAATGATATAGTTGAAAGGCTTCAATAGTAAACCCCAAATTTAAGACAAATTACAGATATCTCAATTTTCAAATCCATGAATTGTAAGTGAAACAACAATGGACACAAGAGATAACACTACTATTATCTCCAGAACTATACTAAGCGGGAGAGGAATCCTTTTCCATCCAAACTGAAATGCGAAAATTAAAAGACAACTGAGATCAAACATGACTACTGTGAATGACCCAAATAAACTGAAAATCCTATGCAGCTACCTAGCTCCGCCATAACTAGCAGTTTGGATCCTCTCCCCCCTTTTTCCTCTTCACTTAGGAGGGCAGAAAGTGATGACATACCGCGAAGCCCTGCACTTGTTGAGACTGGACGAATCATCAAAAGCATAACTATAAGCCTTGGGGCAGATAGCCTTGAACAGATGTGCGAACAGGGTAGGCTTGCAGGTATTTGGATTTGCATACTCCCCAGTACAACAGTACTTGGCAGACTGCATAGCCAAGCAGGCACTCTTGCAACCCACGACTCTGCCATCTTTGCTCCTCAATTCCAGGGCCGACGGACAGCAAACGTTCACGTCGACCTCACAGGAAGCGACCCCACAACCGACACCACCTCCAACGGGCGCCATTGAAACCGGCAGGTTGAACCCGTCCACCAAACTCACGTCGTAGAAATGCAGGGGAGAAGACGAGGAGCCCAGGGTCATTTCCACAACGGTTGCTGGGGGCACGCCGCCGAGTCCCTGGCAGTGAAGCATCCCAGAGCAGTCTCCCGTGTCGCAGGAGCCTCTCTTCCCACTCGGATCGAAAGAACAGCCCTGCCTTCCCCAGATTCTTCCCGACCACTTCTGAGGCACGTCGAAGACTACTTCTTCACCGCTTCCCAGGTGGAAGCCGCCGTTCAAGGGCGTGGGCTGCCCTGCACTGCCGAGAATTCCAGGCCATATGCTCTCCTTGCAGTTGTTCACCAGAATCAGTTGCTCCGCACCTGCAAAAAAACAACAAGGAAATCGAAGATAATCACAAGATCAGAACTTGTACATGGAAAAAGCTGCTAACTTCGAGAAGAAGAGGTGGCCATGGTGGGTGGTGTTACTTGTATTGGGAATGAGAAGGAGCAGGGAGATGAGAAGGGGGAGGAAGAACGAAGAAGAAACTGGAATTTGCATTTTTTTGGTTTTGGTTTTTGATTCTGGAGCTCTGTTTGAAGTTCTGAAACAGGGGAAGTTCGTTGAAGATGGAGATTTGTGGAGGCAGAGAGGTGTTTAAATATAAAGGCCGAGACTTTTTGTTTGAAGCAGTGAGCGGAAGTTAAGGAAGGTGGGGGAAGTGGATTTGCTACATGGAAACCGCCATCAGGAAAATATGAAGTGGATAGAGTCACTCCTTCTCCCTCACTTTTTTTCTCTCTCTTCTTTCGCCCACTTCTTCCACTTTCACTTTCACGATCAAAGGGCATATATCCGTTGCTTGGGATGTGGGCTTCTTTCCTAAATCAATGCTACCATTCCCTTTATTATTCTACTAACTTAATCCTATGAAGCTAGTAGCAATTAGCAAGAGCATACTGAAATGGAGACAAAAAGAAGCAAAAGCAGAAATCCAACTAGATTGGCTTCGACAAATGGAACCTACTGCTAATACCGAAGTAATTCTAAGGTTGGTCCTTTTAAGAAAGAAATAATATGGCTACCCTATTAAAGGGCAAAAGGAGAAGCTAGGTTAAGGGAGCATAATGATGGCTCGTGAGGCTTAACTTTGCTCTTCTTCCAGCACAAGTTCTTTCCTTGTGTAGACCCAAAGGGCATCCGCACAACACTCCGTTGAGCAGTTTTTCATTTATTCCTGAAGCAGTCTGGCGAGGCGAATACCTTCGTCAGAATGTGCTCTGTCGTAATCTTCTGCAGGTTTTAAATAGTGGCATCCTCACTTTTCCTGATGAGACCATTTAATGAAGCTCACTTCCCAGGTAACCAGTCTCCCCCGCCACCGAAACAGATCTCCAAGCTGAAGATGAAAAATCCTGCTTTGAGAACAAAGCCAGCGACAAACCATCTGCATGAAAATCTGAATTCTGTTTCCAACAAAGCTTGAAGCTTTTTGTCAGCTCCCAACCTCATGAGAAGATGTTAAGAGCAGCAGCACACATTCATAAACCAAAAAAGCTCCCATAACACTGTTCTGTTTTGAGTTGGGATCTTAAAAAACTCATATCCCTAATGAGATCGGGACTCAAATTTTCCTGATGTAGTCCAAGTATTTCCCAGAAATTAGATCCTTCAATTTATCACTGAAGGAATCCCTGCTATCGTCAGCTGAGGACAGAACAGGAGATACCTTCGCAACCAGAATGAAGTTTTCTCCATTTCCAACGTCTATTTCATACAACTCGCTGAAAATTCCTCTACACTGCTGTATCAAGTCATCATATACCAATCTAATCGAGGGAACAACATTCACTACCAGAATCCCGGATTCAGCAAGGATAGATCTCGCAGCAAACACAGTATGCCTCTCAAGAAATTCTACTGGTGGGGCAGTGATACCATTCCAGGCGTCGGAAGAGTCTAGATCAACCAAAACCACATCGAAACTGCCACTCTCAATGAGACAGCTATTTTCCTTACTATCACTAGATTGTTTTCTTGCACCAGCCAGTTCATCCACAAAATCAAAGGCGTCTCCTACATGGATGGTAATTTCATTATCATCAAGCCCGAAGTACTGCTTGGCGATTCTTAAGACCTCCTTATCCATTTCCACTCCACAAACCTGAAACCCCAATTGGGATCTCAGGAAACTTAGCAGAGCTCCACCACCAATTCCCAAACACAAAGCTTTTGGCCTAAGACCATTTCGAATTTGTGTTTCGATACAATTAGCAATCAAGGAAAGGCTAGCCACCATGGCAACAAAATAATGTTGAACCAGAACACCACAGTCAGGCTTGAGGCTCACATTTTCACCTATCTCCACACTAGAACTCGATACCAAAGCTGGAATAAGCCTAATCTCCGTTTGAACCAAGTTTGGCATTCTCTTAAACCTCAATTGCCTCCGGAAATCGCGGTTGCTCCCATGATTCTCATCACATTCAGCCGAAGTATGCTCCATCTCGAGCTCCACATCCTCTACAAGCATTTCACCGACAAATTCCCCAACACTCGTCGTTAAGACCCTCCTAGAAATCACATTGTCTACATATTCACAAATGGGAACATCGGCGAATCCATTCTCTAACCCGCCAGCGCCATCAGTCTTGGGGGACAGAGCCTCTAGCAGCGGTTTCAACATACTTCGAAGCTTTTCCAAAAATTGGGTACCTTGGCTTTCGTCATAGCAAGTGACGGGCGACGAATCGGGATCATCGGCGGTAGGGTTTCTTCCAAGCAGTACCAGCCTTGAGATTCCGGGGAAGGAGAGGAGTAGCTGGAGATGGCCGGCCTCCGTGGAGAAAATCCAGTCAGATTCGCGGTTCAGGGGAACAAATAGTGCTGCGACTTGAGATGGCCCACGGAGCGGGAAGGGTGAATCGAGGACGGCGATTCGGAGGAGGCGCAAACGGAGATCCGGCCGGGGAATCGTGAAGGAAAGGAAGCGAGAGGGAACTATAGATTCGAAGACTTTGACGTCGAGAGCCATTGCGATATCCGGCGGCCGTTTGATCTGAGTCTTTCTTCTATTACTCTCGGGATTGAAACGACAACGACATTTTTACTTTTCAGCAGATGAAGAGCCGTTTCAGGTTTCGCAAAGTCGAATGATATGTGATTCCCAAAATACATAATTTGTTAAAAAAAAAAAATCTAAGAAGTACAAAATGTACGGATTTTAGAAATAAGTTCAACAGATTTAGTCACTTTTATTAAAAAGTTTAATCCATTAGAGATTCCGTCAGTCACATTAATACCACGCTACATGCCCCATTGGGCAGCGAAGCGATCAAACGGCCAATAAAAGTGATGACACTTATAAATCCGTAGATCTTCTTTTTACCTCCTTCACTCCAACTTTCATTTTAATTTTCTCAATGTGTCAATGCGCTAGTGCATTATAGATGAGAAATCACCATGCATTAGGAAGATGAAGATTATCCATGGTTGTTTTAGGTATTACGAGACCTCGTGCCTAGACAATCACTAGATCACCAAACAAGAGACATAATTACTACTATTGCAGACGAGAAATCACAAACAATAGTATGTCTATCAGTAAGATTGAAGCGGGATAAATCCAAGTCATTTGATCGTAACTCGATTTGTTTTTCACTAAGCAAACTTGGTTGCACTAGGTGAAGATACCCTAAGCATCATTCCCTTTACTTTGCTTTCAACCACTTTAAGCTACTTCTCTTTACTTTATGCATAATAAACACATCACTTGAGGCACCTCAACCCCAATTGAAAACTCGAAGCATCTATAGTGGAAATGAAGTAGACATTGTTGGAGGTCGTGTGGAATATGATCTTAGATATCTGTTGAGCTTATAATTATTTCTTGAGACAAAATCGTCAGGGAACAATATCTTTAGAGCAACTCATCCATTTTTGGCGGAATAAGGAAATGGAGGTATTTGTAGGGTCTGGGGGTGAACGGTTCCTGCCAGACTGGAGCGATCAAGGTGGGGCCATTAATCTAAAAAACGATGAACAAATATCTTTCTTTATCTTTGGTAATGTGTCGTGAGGAACAAGGATTTGGTCAAGTGGTATCACCACTGGTCTTGAACATTGAGGCCTCAGGTTCGAATCTCTTAAAAAGCACCTAACTATGAAACAAACCTATCTATATCACACTTATAAAGAAAATAATAAAGCTCTGTTATGAATCGCTTCTAAGTCAAGTGGTCAATCGTCATGTATCGTTCATCCAGCGAGGGGTGGAGTGATACACGTCGTTTCGCCTATATGAATCAAATGCTTCTAGCGTGAACAATGTTGATCACTTGTAAGTGCATTGTCATGCTATTGATCGCTTTTCGTGTATCCATACCATTTTCCATACCTATTTGAGTTTCGGGTATCCACAGTTATTTATGAGTAATAATTTCTCTTTATAACTCATAACAACATGTTAATATATACACGTATACTCACATTACATAGGTGAAAAAGTACTATAATAATTCATTATAATTAAGAAAATTAATTTCAAACAACATAATTTCTTGAAAATATTATATTTGTATGCTAAATATAAAATATATTAAGAAAAATTATGATTTATTTCTTGATAAAATGCATATGAATGTGTATAATTAAGCGGATTCTGGTTGGTTAGTGACAAAATCATGCTCATCCATTATCGACAATATTCAGATTAGTATCTTACTCGTAGCCACTAAAAATCTTTTGGATTCCAATTTAATACTAGCCGATTACATCGGACTCGAGGAAATATCTATGATTTAAGATATTTTTGCCATCGCTGTCCATATGATATTGACAATTCGTAGAACAACTTTTTACATTTTGAGGGGGATTAGAACAACTCGTTGACTACAGTTGCGAACTTGCGAGTTACACCGCGCTGCTCCTGGTGGTGACATCATAGCACCGCTTTGAACTGCAAAATTGGATTTGTTCTAAAATGTAAAATCCACTTTGGCTTTCCCCCGCCAAACCTCACCGTTTTCGCTTTACTGTTCTCACGAACTTCTCCGATCTTCTGCCAGTCTGCCACCCTAATAGAATAGAGAAATCATCTGCCGCTGAATTTTAGAGGGTTTTCGAAATTTCCTACCGCCAGCGGTTCCAGAAGAATCGAAGGATTACATTTAGCAAGATGATTCGATCGGCGTTCAGACTATCCCGAGCTGCAACCACCGTCGCAAGGACGGCGCATTCGGGATTCAACTCCCGCAAGCCAGCAATTGTTGCCCCATCGGCGGCGGCGGCGTCACGGTCGCTTCACGAGAAAATCGCCGGTCCCAATGCCAACCCAGTTGCCATTCAGATGATAGACTACGCTCTCTCCCTTCCGCGCGTTCAAAAGTCAGGTACTTTTTTATTAGTTTAGTTTCCATTTCTAATTCCGTCCTTTTGTGTCTCGGGGTTTCTCAAGTGAGTTGTCAATCAGAGGAATCGTATGGGGAAGCTATGCTGGTGCTGGAGCAGTGCCTTGCTTCGCAGTCGAGTGATGTTGAAGATTTTGTGACCCAAAACTCCAAGGGAATGGTCCTACTCGCCATGGCCAATCTCTCGTTTGACAGGTTCTGGCTTGCTAACCTAGTTGTAGTCAATTTTGTGCATTAGTTTCTCCTGTGATGTTCATGTTGGTTGGTCTTGATGGTTAAGGGGGGACTTCAACGAGGCATTGGAGCATCTACGGAGAAGTCATGAGCTGGAGAAGACATCTTTGGGTGTTAAAGGTTGGAACTTTCTCTTTCTCTTAGGTACTTTTTAAGGGGAATTGGTGATACAAACTTAGTAGTTGTGTTGTGTTGTGTTGCAGTTGCTGCATTGGAAGCTCTTGTTGGACTGAGCTTGGAGTTGGGGAATGTAAGTCATCTAGACAATTTCTTCTCTCCCTTTGTGATTGGTGATGTTTTGTTTTTCTTACCCGGGATTCAGAATTTATCTGGAGATGGTTCTCCCTTATATAGGATGATGCTTCATCAGTGCTCGCAGATAAATGTTTAGAACTGTTGGAAAAAGACGAGTTAGCCAGTACCAGTGCCGGTTTTGAGGTTGCAGAAGCTCGTGCTAAGGCACTCAAAGGTTTTGTTGAGTTTGTTCGTGGAAATTTTCAAGCAGGTTTGTTGCTTCAAATGGCTTTGCTTTTCGTGGTTCTTGGTGCTAATATTATGCCGTCTAATTAACTCAAACCCTTGGCTGCTTGTACATAGCGGAATTACTGTTCGGAGAATTACTGGGAAATGATCACTGTGTTGGTAAGCATCTCAGTTTTGGCTTTTAAGCCCCCTTGCATTATACACTCATGGACTGCATTACTGTTTTCATGTTTTCTAGGGGGTGCTGCTTTATCATATGGAGAATTCTTACATGCCACACGAAATTTGTCAATGGCTAAGGAATTGTATCAGAAGGTTACTGAAGGAGAGGCTGGGAACAAAGGTTTCAATGATATCAATGCATTAGCAGCTTGCAACATGGCTTCAGATCAAGTTCAGATAGCAGCCACATGTGCCCTGGGACAGCTTGAAGCACACATTGGGTACCCTTCTACTTCGATGTGCTTCTTCTGTAAACACATTTACTTTTATATCTAATATCCGTTTTCAGGAAATTTGGCGATGCGGAAGAAACCTTAACCAAGGCACTGAATAAGGCTGAGTTACTATATGGTGCATCACTTCAAACTCTCCCTCAGTGTTCTGCTGTGAAAAGATTTCATCCTTGATATCTTATTAATCTCATTTCATTATCGGCTATATTCTCATGTTCCTGTTGTTTAGGTCCTCGCCACCCTAGGGTTGGAGTGGTCTTGACTTGTTTGGCACTCATGTTCCGACAGAAAGCGATACAAGAGCACTCAAGCTCTCTCTTGATTCAGGAGGTCTGATTTCTGACATTCAATATTTGTCCAGTCTTAGAATCTTGCTATGACTGCATCTGTCCCCGGCTTAGCCATTTATTCATAGAGTTTAATTCATTGTTTCTGTCCTATCTTAGAATCTTGTTATGACTATACCTGTCACCAGCTTCTCAGCCATTTATCATTTGCCTTTAACTCTGATCATTCACTCATATGCTTTTCATTTGCGCAGGGGCTGTATAGAAAGGCAATCGAGTTGCTGAAAGTCCCATCGGTGGATTCTGAAGGTACTCGAGAGTTCTTTATGTCTAAGGCCCTTTTCCCACTTTGTTTTGAGAACATTAAAACCCAAAGCTGATATTTTTTTCTTAAAACTTCCTAGTTAATCGAACAATGGGAGCTTGGAGGGACGTTGCAGCCCTTGCAAGAGGTAGGTTTTGAACAATTTTTCATCTTTGTTCTCGGATCGTTTTATTGCATGAAGCCACACAACAGTCACCCCACGTCGAGCCAATTAACAAGCGGGATATTTCGTACGACAATGCAGCTGGCTACGGAGAAGCACTTTGTGTTCAAGATAACAGAAAGAGTGAAGGAGAGAAGATGAAAAGTTGGGCAGAAGCTCATTGGAGAAACAGCCACTTATCTCTTGCCGAGGCGCTCAGAATCACTGAATACTCCAACAGAGTTCCAGTGATTGATGCTCGAACTGGTAGAGCTCTGTAACTGTAAGCTCATGTTTTCAAAGCAGAAGAATAACAGCTGAATGCTACTTGTTGTACACAAAATGATGTAACCATTAGAGACATCTCTTTGAAGAAATAAACTCTTCTGTACTAGTACATTCTCCCAGAAAGTTACCACATAGTATGTCAAATCCAAAGTTACAAAGATGAATACTTTTACAGAGGAATATCCAGGCCCTTCCCAATCTCAACTCCAATCACTTCAAGTATGCCTCTGTGTATTATCTGCATTATCAAAATCGCAGCAGTCAGAATCGGGGAAGTTCATTGATTCATTCAGCCAATAGAAACTCATAATGTGGAGATCGAACGAAAGCCGTCTTATTTACCAGCTCGACGATGAAAGTCCCAATTAGGCCAATCATGCAAGCCCTGGAGTTCCAGGTTTCAGCAGTCTTGGTAAAGCCTAGGAATGGGGCTTGGAACTTGGGCTGAACTTTTGGCTGCACCACCTACAATCATGGAAAAGCGAAAGCAATGTATTTTATTCAAGGGAAGGGGAGATTTTGGAGGAAGGAGAGAGATAGCTGAAAGGTAACAAACATACACCAGCAGGAAGCCTGGCGGCGTGGACTCTGAAAGAAAGCTGCTTCTGGGCGGGTTTGCTGGTCTGGGTGTTGAAAGGCAGCAGCAGGAGCTGGTGCGAGGAACGTTGAAAGGTGAGAGCTTTAGCAGGGAGAAGAGATGGCGACGAAATGGAAGACAGAGAAGCCATTGTCGTTGAGAAATGGAGCTCTTTTCCGACTCTGTTTTGTTAGTGTTCGGATGAATTTTCGAGCGTTCTTCGCTTCTTATCCACACGACGATTCTGGTGGGCCTGCTCATTCCAATTTTAAGTGGCTGTGGTGTTATTTTGGGGTCCCCTACTACCTATAATTAACAACATTTACAGATTACATTATAAACTATATATTAGTTACAATCAGGTCCTGAGCTAAAATCGAATAAAATAATATCTCCATTTGGTTTGTCCGAGATGTTCACTTTACGGTCACAAAACCGAATGGAGAGGCCACGAAAGGCGAGAGTGCACCTATCTACAGTGGAGAATTTAATGATAGAGGGCACTAAGGTCTCACAGTATGTAATTACGTATAGCTTTAGTTAGCGAATAGATTCAATCAAGACATCCCAAAGTTTCTCAACAATTTGAATGGAGTAAATTAATTCTTTTTCCCTTTCAACAGAATGTATTGTGTGCTTCTCCAATAACTAATTATCTTCCCATTTCCTCTTCTTCTTCTTCTTCTTGTTTCCAAGTTTCAATCTGCTCCCCAGATTCCCATTAAAAATAGAGAGATCAACATGGGAATCATCTTTACTACTGACACCACCACGGTCTGTACATAGAACAGTCACCGGACTCCAAGGAGACGATCTGCTGCTGCTGCTGCTGCTGTAATCCATCTCCATTTCCACCATCAGCCCATGGCATCTAATCACATCATCCTGCTCAAACAACAGAGTCAGAGAAATATTGCATTAACATTAGGAATTTTTTGTTTTTTTTTGTAAGAATGAATCCTTTTTGTTTTTGGAGTAAACTAAACCCCAACCTTGTGAATACTATGGTCTATGAGTCGAGAAATGATACGAGTAGCGAGATCAGAATAATGCGGGTTGGATGAAGCCAACTCTTGTACGCTGCACCAAACCGCTGATATGGCTACTGAACTTGGACGATATTCCACAAACTTGCACTCTGCAACCAAAGTTGGAATTTACTTTAAAAAAAAAAAAAATTCTTGGGCAGTTAGTTACTAACTTGATTAGAGAAGTCGTCGTCGTCGTCATTATTAGTTAGTTACCAAGCAAAGCCTCGAGGAGGAAACTGGTGGCTGTAGCTGATAATTCCTGCCCAAGTTTGTGTATCGGATTCGAGGAAGGACTCGAATCGGCGATGCTGATGAGGAGAGGTTCGAGGTAAGAGTAACTAGTGGTGGAGGCAAGCCGCCATTGCAGTGACTGTAAAAGCAGCAGTTCCATCTGCTGGATTGTGATTGGTCGGAAGCAATGATTCATCTCCTCCATCTTTCGAAGAAGATCCAATGTAACACATTAATGTTAATTCATTAATTCAGGGCCAAGTGGGGGGAAAAATGATTTGGGGGGTTAAGTAAGTAGGTACCTGGAAATCGTACAAGGAAGGTGCATTAGTCTCGTTGAACTTGGAAGCAACAGATAAACAGGCTACTGTCACTAGTTCCATCATCCATGTTTCCCATTCCTGCCATTTGCCATGTCAAGCCACAAAAAAAAAACCCTTAATTTACTCTTGTATTTTGGGTAATTGATTAATGTGACGCTAGTGTAACGTTTCGATAGTAATACTCACGAGGCTACGATGCATAGACATGAAGCGATCGAGATAGTTGGAAGCGCTGAAGACTGTTGAAACAGATAGATTCAGTCGACTGCACCACTGCCAAAAACACAAAAACAGAAAAAACACAGTCAGCCACCTAACAAGCCATAATTTTTGGATAGGAATGCAAGGAGAAGGTTAAGATGGGTAGAAGAAGAAGAAGAAGAAGAAGAAACCTTGATTAGACACTGAATTGCTGTGCTTCGTGCAAGCAACAAGCTGGTGGAGCGGCCAAGGCAGTGGAGATAGGCAGCTGGTTGAGGCAGCATGTAAGTGGCCTCCTTGTCAATGAACATGGCAACAGACTGCTCACACTCTTCCTTGGTGATACTGTCGACGCAAGTTGAATCACAGCAGCAACTTCCAACATTTCCGCAACTGGGTTCGTTGCAGCAAGCAGTAGGTGATGAGGTTGTGGGGCTACAGAGCAAGACCTCGTCACAGAGAAGAAGACTGTCCATAATACGTGAGTGAGTGAGTGATTGCAGAACATTGTGCATATGGCATGGCGGCAGCAATATATTATACACGAGGAATCAGAGAGGTGAATGCGGTTGGATGAAGGTGGTGGTGATGGTGGTCGAGGGTGGGAGGTTGTTAGGAGAATTGAGAGTAGTGGCATAAAAGTCGGGACACGTCCCTCATGAAATGGGATAAATGCTACGCTCGAGGGAAATGAAATGACATGCGCTGATGCGCTGCGCTGAGCTGGGGAGTAAGTTGGCCTTAGACCTTAGTAGTTTCTGGGCTGGACAAGGAGGGAGGACAAAACCAATGATATTGCGTGAACGCAAGGGGGAGTTTTTAAGCCTCCAATAAATGACCAACTCAACTGTCTCTTCATGATTATCACAACCAATATGCTTCCATCTTTTCTCTGTGTTTTTCTTTCTGTCCAGCGGAGTTTTCTGTGAAACCATAATCGAACCGGTGACCGGTGAGACTATTTGATTCACAACTCATATGATCGCTGTGGTACTAAAATGTTCAGACAGGTATCACAACATAACAGAAACTAAACCAGGTCAAACATCTATCACCGTTGTTACATCAACAAGGTTAACGAAAACCTATTTCATGTCCGTAGTCGATAAAACATTCGAACAGAGTTGCTTGCCCCGGGCTGGATCAGATTCTTCCTGCAAAGCCACTTGTACATACTAAACATTTCACACTGAAAGACGCAGCACAAAAGCTGATAAAAACTACTCAACATCTTTGGTGCTCATTATTCTCGTGCAACAAGGGGGGGCGGTGTCCGATCTCACTGTAACTCGTAGGACGAAAAACTGAAGCCTGTTTTCCCCTCGTTTGCCGATTTGAGTTCCAGCTTCTGAAACGGGCTGCAGATTTTGATACGAGTGAATATTTATGTCAGTCGTGGCTTTAGATAGAAAGAGCCAAGTCGTAACTATGGCATGTGATAAATGTCCGACTTTTCATCACAAAATATTGTCCATTTAAGTAAAGAGACAAGAGTCGCACGCCTAGGATCTACTAATTACCTGCTGTTAGGATCATAATAGAAGCCATTGATGGTAACATCAGCGCAAGAGAAGCATACATAGTAAAATCCAGCTATGGTTAATCCACAGTCAGTTCCGACGTTCACAAAGTACTGTTCCTTCCATCTCTAGACAAACAACAAAGCAAAGGTGATTTTAGTAAGATGCAACAGTGTTCCTTCTCTATAAACAATTGAAGAAACTACAGGAAAATATATTACCATGAATATGAATGGATAGTTACTCAAATCCAGAGATTTGCCGCCATCAGCCTGAACTTGACTCTGCAATGAATTCATCGAGTCCTTAGTAATTATTGCCAATATCACGAATCCAGAGAATAAGTTCCAACGAGCTTTACCTGAAACGGCGCAAAAGATGGAAACTTGGTCCAGTGCTTTATATCATCATCTGGCCTGTTGAGTACTTTACAGTTTATTAACAGTGACAGTAGCCATTTCAAGGCTGAATACGCAACTCAAAAGATAACCATGCAAATAACTTCAGCACCAAGAGTGCTAACACATATCATTGACCAAATACAGGAAAACTAGAATAAGAGATCACTTACATTGCCTCCCATTTCCCAGTGAAGAACGTGTAGTTCTTGATGTCAACAATCTCCCCTTCCCAGAAAGTTACCACCTGTGTAGTACTAGCAAATGAACTTTGAAATGGAACACACAACTCTCCCACTCTAGCATCTATGTATTTTCACAAGTTTATCAAAGTGAAGAGTTCATGAGTAGAAGACCAAGACTCTTAAATGAGATTGAAAGAAATCTCATCGTTTCCTTTAGAATGTGGTATAAGAGAAGCAATCACATTAAGATATCTATAAGAAGCGTACCATTGAGACCATGAAAAAACGGGAACTAACACCAAGAAATCTAGAGCTGGGACACAATCTATTTACCGGTGAATCTGCCTTTGGAGCATTAATAGTTTTCATAGCGCCACAAAGGCAACCCTGATCCAGACTAAAAAAATACAATTCTTCCACTCTAGTATATTTAATTTAATATGTTTATTAAAATGAACCACTTTGCTGTTGGATAGGATCGATACTCTTAAATGAGAACCAAGCGAATTTCATAATTTCCTTTTACATGCTCACTATATGCAAAATCAATCACATTCGCACATACCATAACTTCTGATTAAAATCATTCCAAAATAAAAGGACTGTAAGAAATCAATACTAAACAGCTAGGCCAAGGACACGATCTATTTGCTGGTGAATCTGCCATTAGAACATGAAGAGCTTGCATAGTCCCAAAGAGCTAAACCTGATTCAGATGATAGACTCATGACTATTAAACAAACTGTTTTGCAGTTTGATAGACTCATGACTATTAAACGAGATCCACAGGAGTCTTGTATTTTCCTTTGGCATGCTAATAACTGGTGGATCAATCAGATTTGACACGTAAACAAAGTCTATGATTACTACCATGGGGAAAAAAAGAGAGGAAGGACTAACACATCAAGAAAATAGAACTACAGCAAGGACAGAATGCCATTGGAACTGTATGATCTTCAATGGTTGCTCAGTGGTAACCCTGATCCACTCAGAAAACACAATTCCTCAAAACAATTAAATGATATTCATATGAGTCTCATCTTTTCCTTTCGAATGCTGATGATAACCAAATCAATCTCATTTCAGATACGGCACGTGCAAAGAAAATCAAAATTATGAAAACTAGAGCTAGGAAACGATGTATTTACTGGTGTATCTGCCATTGGAACATTAAGAGCTTCCATAGTGCCACATAGATAACCCCTATCCAAATCACATCCTTGAATTCGGACGTTAACTTTCCAAGCCTCTTGTTTTTGTAAGCTAGAAACATTCTGACTTCCAGAAAAGGCCTGTACCAACCAAATGATCATATGATGAATGAGTCATACACCGCCAAAGTTTAAACAACAATTTCGCACCAAAAGAAGGGACCAACATAAAAGATGAATTCTTTTTGCCAATTCAATATCATGGTATCACCTGCCCGACGCTCAACAGGGAAGAAATCTGCGGCGAATGGTGCCCGGAGTTCGGCCCTGCACAACCAAGCACACTTTCCAGCCTATATAAACGAGCATTAAACTCAAATCCAGAAATTTTCTGGTGGACGAATCCAAATTATATCATTTAGAGGTAATGAAATAGTGATCGAAACAATGATCGTTCGAATCTCAGCCCGAAAACCCTAATTTGAAGAACTCCAGCAGCCAGGGTGCAGTGAAGTACCTGAAACTTGAGAAGGGACTGAGCTTTCCACCACCCTGACAGGCATTTTGTCAATTAATCGGTCGGCTTGCTCTTGTGGAGAATTGCTGCTGAAGATCCTCTTGGAGAAAGCTCCCGGCGTTCCTCTAATCGGCTCCGGCAATTTTGGGGGTATACTGTGTCACTCCACTCGATAAGAAGGTAATTATTCTTCCAGTTCCAGGGGGTCGTAATGAGGCTCCCGCGTTCATTTGGCAAGAAAATAAAATCCGAACGGTGGTTCCATTTTCTCGCGAAACCTATTTCGACCATTGTTCCGCTAAGTGAGTTAATCCCTGTTTTCAGAACCAGATCGTACATTGAATTGGAAAAGTAATTGAACAAAGCATCCAAATCGTCTCATAAAAGAAATTATAATTTTATTAATTGAAGCTAAATTTTGGTGCCAGTCGATAGCGGACCATGTAAAGTAAACAACGAGGTTGGAAAATAAGAAGAGGAAACAGAAATAAAACTAATAATTCTTCTTTGATGGTCTTAGTGTATGTTAAATTATTTCCTTAAAAAAATTTGTGGTTAAAATAGTGAACTAATACACCAGTTACACCGTGGTGGTTCATCTGATTTTATGTTGAAGCGTGAAAATCGTTTGGTCCATCAATAGTCATCCAAGCAATGGATCGGCCTGCATATCATAACTGGTTTGGCGGGTCTACTGGCCCACCCGTTGATCTGATTCGGTTCTTATAGCAACGGTTAAACGTTAATGGTCGAATTGGTATAGTGAGAATATATGAAAATTAACTATACTGTATGTATATGTATAAATAATTTCAAGTCTCAATAAGTATTTAATAGTCGCCTTAGATAAAATATAACATAAACAGATAAATCAATATTAAAACATTTACACTTATATCCAACATATAGTAGAACTTCTAAGTTCTAACATAAATAAATTAAACATTAACATTCAAATATACATACTAATATTTCAAATATAAAAATTCTAACTAGTCAATCTTCAAGGATAAACCATACATCCCCGTCTACATTACATGAATGAAAGTTGTCTAAATATTTCATCAATCAGAAGATATTCAAATAATTTTTTTTAACTTCATCATGAGTGTAGGCAACAATAGGGATGTCAATTTTGACCTGACCCGTTTTACCCGATCTGTTTGGCCTGCTATAGGGCGGGGCGGGCATGGGTACCTCTCGTCGACTCGACCTGCCCTAACCCGCCCTATTCTCGACCCGTTCTTGCGTATATTACATGTAATCTTAGTCAAATTATCTAGAATTTTCATCATATTACCTCATTATTTAGCTATAATAAAGTTATAAATAAGTGAAAATCTCAATTCTCCAATACTTTAACTACATTTTATCATATTATGATTTATTTCTTGGTCTTTTAATGAAAATAATGAATATTTTTAAAATTTTCCACATAAGTTACATACACATTGGGTCGACCTGCCACGACCTGCGCCCCATGATAAATTACGTGACCTGAACCCGACATACCACAGGACGGGTATAGATATCGAGATACCCTGCCCGAACCTGCCCATTACCATTCCTAGGCAACAAATGTCCTCAAGTAAGCTACGTTATGTAAGATTGCAAGACATAATACAAATCAATTTGCAGTTTAGTGGTGAAGTTGTTGATTTAAAGTTTGAGATCCATTGTTCAAAAGTCTTATTTTAAAATTCCACTTTCTTTAACTTTGCTTTCTTTTGACATACTAACCAATGTACCGATAAGCTATTCAAACCGGTTGATTTCTTCGAATTTGACTAGACTTCTCTAGGATGGCGATTCTGGGTTGAACCGATTCAACCAATGAGTAGACCCGCAAGTTGACAACCATGATTTTCACCGTAGCTTTCCATATTTTCTCCGAAATAAAATGCATGACAATATCACCTAAGTTTTAGTTTGGTGTATATTGACCAGTGTTATTAAAAACGAACTGGGCAGCAACCCGAATTAGCAAGAGGTTTAACGTTAATTGAATAATAGGTGATCTACCGGTATAAAACAGATTATAAAACCAATTGACATACAATTTTTCAAATAAAATAATTATAGTTTCATGCTCATTTGAAATTTAGTATTGGTGTAGGAAAATTTAAAATTTTATATCTAATATACATAGTCAATAAAATAATTCAATATGAAAAAGTTAACCAATAACCATAGAAGGAATAGAGAAACAAAATCAGAAAAAGCCAGGTTAGGAATACCTTCCCTTTTACTTTTTTAAGTTTTTCTTATATGGCGATATGGCATAATTTTAAAACTCTCCTCCTTTTCCTTTATTTTTTTACTTGTTTAGCTTTTCTTATATGGTAGGTCATTAAAAACTAAAAACGAGAAAAACGGCAGTTTTGGTTTGGTCGGTTCTAGCAGTTAACCAGATCTATCGGTTACAACCCAAGAGACCATTTTTGTTATCGTTTTTAATATGTCAGGACCAAAATTATTGCAGGATTCTATTTTCTCGGTCTGAGCGAACGGTCCGAGCCTTTTTTGGTAATAGGGTAATGTGCGGGATGGGATTAGGTGCTAACTAGCAAAAATCACTACGGATTATTATAAAATCAATACAACATCTAAGCTAAATCACTACTAATTCAAACTAGTAGTAGCTAATTCAAACTAGTAGTAGTTTTTCACTTGGTTAGGACGGTGCTAACTATTGTACAATTAGCACCGTAGCCGTTCCCTCTTAGGCGAATCCCACATCAACAAAGTACGGGAGAGATCCATGGTTCATAAGTACGAAACCGACCTTAACTGACAAGACGCGTTTTGGGGTGAAACGAAGGAGTTCTTGTGAGAACTCCGAAGTTAAACGTGCTCAGTGCGGAGCACAACAAGGTTAGGTGACCTTATGGGAAGTCACCCTGAATTACACCCCAAGTCGAAAACCGTGCGAGTGTAGAGGCCCAAAGCGGACAGTATCTTGTCGGGAAAAGGTTCGGGATGTTACAGGAATGGGAAACAGTGCAATAAAAACAATAGAGTAATAGCGAAATTCTATTGTATGCAATGGGAAACAATGTATTCAGCATAAGAGTGTAAGTTATACCTCAATTTAGTGAGTTGTTATATACTAAGTTGTAATAAAAATCGTGGAAGTGGTCCTGATTTTCTGGAAGCTTTATCTATTTGAGCAACTGGACTTAATACTAATAGAATCTTAATTACAGAAAAAGTTTATTTCATTGAGTTAGTATTTGATTTCATTTTAACGTATAGTACTATATTAAATTTTATAATTTTAGCATAAATAATGTGTAATCAACGGTTGTGGAGGTCTTGTATTGAGATTCTTCGCACTATTTGCTTTGATTTCAAGGTGAAAAAAAAAACTCAAAAGTTAATGGCCCGTTTACTTGCCATTCCATTTCTGTTAGCTGCCACAACAGAAAACAAAATTAAAATGAAAACGAAGCTGACCATTTCCTGGAAAACAAAACCTGAAAAAACCTTGTTTAGCTGAGATTTTTGGTGAGTTCTGAAACTGAGTTAGATCTGACTCATATATATGAGAAGGTTTGTATTGGGTTGGGATGATAAAATAATAAAAAAATCAATGTACTAGTTCACTAAAACTAAATGTTACGTGCCATAATAACAAATGTTAAGAAATTTTAAGCGTGAAATCGACCATATTTCCCTAAAATATTTAGTAGAATGTTTGAATGGGAGTTTCAAGTTTAATATTTGAATTAAATTGTACGTCACAGTCTCACAGATCCCATGTTTGAATTGTTCAATGAGATGGAAACCTGGGCACATTATATTATATGGGTAACTGAATTTGTACTCATCAATTACTAGTAAGTCACCATAGTAGCTTATCAAACATGAAGCTAATGAGGTCTCAAGTAATTGCAAAAAATAGATAAGCAATGAAATATGAAGGAATCACAATCAAAGGTGAAAGGACAATAGGTGCTCCCGTGAAGCTAAGCCCTAATCATGATCATCACACGAAAAACCCAAAGTAATGTTCACGATTACTTAATTAGCTCGAACAATATCAGCAACCTTTTATGCTTCAATCTCTATAAATTCTCAGGCGGCCTTCAGCTTCATTCAAACAAACATCCAATTATCTCAACATGGCCAAGTTCACAATACTACCCATCCTTCTCCTCCTAGCGATATCTCTCCCACTACTCCTAGCCGTGTCAGGATCCATACAAATCACTACCGAGGTGGATTGTGGTTCCAGCCGTGGAGATGTCGAGGTGGGCTCCCATGATCCTATCGATGTCGTCGAGCCAGAGAGCGAGGTGGATGAACAACTGGAGGATGATCATCAGGGTTTCTTCGACGACGAGGAAGAGGCTGGATCCATGTCTAGCGACGTGGATCTAGAGAGCGATATCAATGACCAATATGATGATGAAGGCTTGTTTCAGGATGAGGCTGGCTCCGTGCCTAGCGACGTGGAGCTAATAGAGAGCGATATTGATGAACAACTTGGTGATGAAGGCTCGTTGCAGGACGAGGATGGCTCCATGTCTGGCGACATGGAGCTAACAGAGAGCGATATCGATGACCAACTTGATGATGAAGGCTCGTCTGAGGACGAGGATGGCTCCATGTCTGGTGACATGGAGCTAGAGAGCGATATCGATGATGACCAATATGATGATGATGAAGTCTTGTTTCAGGACGAGGCTGATCAGGATGAGGACGAGGCTGGTTCCACGACTAGCGACGTGGAGCTAGAGAGCGATACTGATGAACAACTCGACGATGAAGGCTCGTTTCAGGATGAGGAGGACGAGGACGAGGATGGCTCCACGCCTAGCGACGTGGAGCTTATAGGGAGCGATATCGATGAACAACTTGATGATGAAAGCTCGTTTCAGGACGACGACGAGGACGAGGCTAGCTACATAGCAATGCCAACAGATAACCGTGAACAGGATGATTCTGAACGATCAGAATCATCCTATTCGGATGATCATGCCGAATTTGACCCAGAGGAGAGTACAAGTTCGGAGGATAATTTGGGTGTTCCGGTAAGGAACGTGGTAACGCAAGCATTCTTCGACAGCATAATAACTGGAGTGCAACGGGAAGAATCCTGCTGCCGTAAAGGCTCGCGTCGACTTCTACAGGGACTACTGCAAGCGCTTCGGTGTCGCACCGGGGCCTAATCTCACCTGCTAATTATCAAAACATTTACAGCAGCATACTACTATTGAACATTTAAAACTTTGCCAATGCGTGTTTGCTTGTTTCGTCGTCGAAAGAATATATTGTTAAGAGTCTCTGGTTATATTCATGAATCATCAGTATGGGTGAATATAGAGGCTTATACTTGTCAAATTCTAATGAAAAACTTTCCTATTGTACTTTTATCTTTTAAGAATCAGAATAAAAGGTCTCGATCAATGAATCATATTCATTTTTTCACCTAACCCTACCTTTTAATCACTAATCTTTTGTACGGAAGGAAATATGTAACCAACTAATTAATTATGTGAAGTTCAATGGCATATTGAGAAAGCTGACATCATAGAATATAGATGGTTAGGAAAAATAAAACCACGTATATATGAGTATCAGAGTATATGCGGAAAAGAATGTTAAACAATATGCAAACTTAAACAGAAACATAATTTGACACAAGAATGACGTGGTTTCCTCGTCCAGGGTGAACGCGAGGCTAGTCCACGGCCGAAGCTGAGTAAAACTCGTAATAGTAGACCGAAGATGAGTAATAGTAATTATAGAGACACGTTGGTTTGATAATTAAAATTTGATGCCACTATACTGTGATCTTGTCATTGTTTGACTTTGCATTGTTAGGAGTGTTCGTTTTAGACATATCCTGAAACAATCGAGTTCATCTCATGTATATCGATCAATAGAACCAATACAACCTTAACCACGATTCAATATTAATTAAACCATCATGATCACCACATTTACACATTCAATGACACATATCATATGAACGAGTAATAGGAAAATTACATGTAATGTGATCTTGAAAATGCATATTATTCAACGAGTCCAACTTTATTTCTTAATGTGATTAGTCAAAATTCCCTCATACCAAATGATTATTGCACAACTGAAGGCACTCTAAATCCAAAATAGACTCTATAAAACCATCACTTTATTTTGTAGAAATTGATTAAAGTCATATTCTATTGAACATAAACCAAACTATCATATGAAATCACACTCATAATAGTAATATGCTGATGAGAACGATAAGTGTTAAAATTTAAACATTTGGTTAATAGGTTAGCTGGCATTTGTTAATTGTTATGTCCTTAATGTTCTATAGAAGTTTGTCTATTTTAAACCTTCTCATGGAACATGGTATCAGTAATGTTTTACTTGTGAAATCATGTTGTAATGATAGTGTATCACTATGGTAACATTGCCACTATAAAACTTTAATGACTTAATGTCATGTAGCTCTAAATCAAAATGAGTGACCAATGCCATCTTCGTGACAAAAAAACTCTCTTATCGGTGATTCAACTTATGTTAATCATCGTCCTCATCTCGTCTTATTTATGTCGATTACATAAAAATATTGACATTTCGTATATGTTCGGTTGGGTTAGGGAATATGCGTGGAGAAAGGGTGCAAGGAGAGGGAGCAAAGCCATGTTCAGGCTTGAATTCCACTCATGGCTCCTTTCATTACCACTTCGAGCAGCTTCCTGACAGAAGAAGGCAGCAATTATCTGGCCAATCTTGGCATGCATTCATTGGCAAGTAAATGGAAGGAAGAAAGCAAACTCAAATCACCATTTTTAGTTTCTACCAACCGTTTGTTTCCCGCAAGCAAACCCACCTCACCGCCTTTTTGTCTTTGCACGCATGCGGCATGCCAAACCCTTTCCTAAAAGGATTAAAAGGATTAAGGAAACAAAAAATTTCATGTTTTAGTAATGAACTAGCGTGGCCCCGGTCAGTTGGTCGGAGGAAGGTGATGTATGAAATTTGATAATGTAATGGGGTGTATAGCTTATTGTTGTATAGTTTTTTTTGGAAACACGTGATAAAAATAGTAAATTTTAGCAGGAAAGAGACATGAATGATGCAACGAATCAAAAATCGGCCTTATGAACCAAAATCAAGTACATGTTACCTTGTGAAACAATATTGTTTCTGGTAATATGATGAGGTGAAGTAAGTTTTATAGAAACCGAATTCCAGAAAATCAAATAAAAAATCGCCTATCCCGTAGGTTTTCGGGAAATGAGCATCTCACGATCGTTGCTAGCTTTTACTCGGCCCATTGGCCGATTAATTTGCTTTATAAAACTTTCAGCTTGTCATCATTGTGATTTCTGGTTTTTGTCAGGCCATGATAAAATCTAAGGAAATCAAGAACGAACAACACGATTTGGGATATGAACCGTCGTGGTCGTATCCCTAGAAAATGGTGGTAAATACGGACTCAACTGCCAAACTGGTTTGGATTGAGATGTTTATCGTGTATCAGGGAACCATGTGATTATAAATTAGACTTGATCAAAATGGGCCAAAACTTGAAATTCAGCCTGTTTGACCGACCCATGCCAAATTCTAATTATTCTTTACTTTTAAACTTTCTATTTGAAAATAAAAAAGAGTGAAAGAAAAGAGATGACTGCAATTCGCCATTTGCACATCACTTATTCGGGAATAAAACCATAGAATTTCAAAAGGAATTGAAAATGTTTAGGATCGTTTTAATGTTTAAAATAACCAAATAGATCTTTCAGTTTAGTTTTTTACTAACAAATACCAAACGATTCCCTATAAAATACACTATAATTTGATCATTATGATATCAAATAATTATATAATATATATTTGAAATGATAAAAATTGGACTAATTGGGTTGGTCGAGGTTGAACCATTGAATATCTTTAAAATACATTATATTTTAGCCACTAAGATATAAAATAATAGCATAATATATATTATGCCAGAGAAAATAGCTTGTTTTAGAATGTCAAACCAATGATGTACATTTGTTTTACTTGATGACCAAATCCCGTGTAGGTCTGGCCCATTCAACTCTTCTATTTTATGGTTAGCGTTTAGCCCATTAGATACCATCTATTAGTTTATTGTTAAATTTTTTATTTTTAGCAATAAAAAGAAGTATTGTTTTGTCTTTTCATATATATTTTATCACCACGGAGAAATAAAAGGGTTCAAAGAAAAAAAATTGACACTCCTGGACCCGTTTAAATCCGCATGTGTACGGTAAGTTGGCCCGTTCCACAGAGGAAAGAGAAAAAATTGGCACTCCCTATTCTATCCTTCCTACAAACGCTCATGGAGCAGGGAATTTGAAATAGGGGAAGGGTGTTTTACTCACTGCTATTATATGTTTTTAATTTAAAAAAATACAACAAATCTATTTAGTGTGATTGGTTATGATGCTTGCTTTTCTTTAAAATGGTCATCGTTCAAATCCCAATATGTGTTTTTTTAATGAATAAAAAAAGGTAATTATGTATACCAAAATGTCCTTCTTACTTTCACTCTTGTTGCAGGAAATTTGAAATGAGGCTCTCGTTTTTCCTTTCGGCGTATTATATTATGTGTAGACTCTTCAGTCTCTTGTGTCAGTGCTTTGTAACATTCAGAGTGAAGAGGAAATTTTGTATTTGAAGCTCAACCGGTTGCAACTTTTTTTGTTTTATGTTAGTTGTTGTTGCAGAAATGAAGAGAAAGTGTTGCAGTGAGGTCACCAACTTTGCAATTCACGCCTGCCTTCTTCCTGCTTTTTTTTGCCTTGTGTATTGATCAAGCGTTACTTCATTTTCATTGAGAATCATTGGCAGCTTCCCCCCTTTTTGTGTGTTTGTCCTTATCTTTCTTCTTCTGAATTCATCATTACGCGAACTGAGTCCCGCCTATTTACTTACAGCAGCAGTTCCAAAACAGCATGAGCAACTCCCATCTGCATTCTCCATCTCTTGACCTTCACTGCAGTGCAGAGCATTGAAGAATTTGTTTGGCAATGGCATCTTCTGAGCCGTTGAAGGTCACATTCAGCAGCCCGGCCAAGTACTGGACTGACGCCGTCCCGATCGGAAACGGCCGCCTCGGCGCCATGGTTTGGGGCGGGGTGGCCGCCGAGACCATCCAGCTCAACGGTAAGCCCAAAAAAAAAAGAAATTGCAATTTCTTCTCTTCTCTCTGGTTTTTTTGCCAATTTGCAAAATTTCTTCATATATGGCAGAGGACACGCTCTGGACTGGAGCTCCAGGAAACTACACTGACACAGATGCTCCCAAGGCGCTGGCTCAAGTTAGAAATCTGGTTCACGAGGCCCAATTCGTCCAGGCCACACAGGCTTCTGCTGGGTTGTTCGGTGGGCCCACACAGGTCAAGGCCCATTCTCTTCCCTTCCCTTCCAGAACTGTTTTGGTTTTGAAGAAATCGCTATTCACTGTTTTGGTAATCAAATTAGGTTTACCAACCACTGGGAGACATCAAGCTCCAATTCGACGGCTCCCATCTCGACTATGGCGCCTATTACCGAGAGCTGGACTTGGATACTGCAACAGCACGAGTTAAGTACACCGTCGACGACGTGGAGTTCAGCAGAGAGCATTTCGCATCCAACCCAGATCAAATCATCGCCACTAGCATCTCTGCGTCAAGCCCTGGATCCGTATCCTTTACCGTCTCCCTCGACTGCGCTCTCCCGGACCATCGGGTTCACATCAACGACGACCACAAAAACCAAATTGTACTGATCGGGAGTTGCAGTGGACAGCAGCCGGGTTCCACCGGGATTCAGTTTGCTGCCGTTCTCGAGTTGGAGATTAGTGCCGGCAACGGTGTAGTCTCGATATTGGATGACGACGACGACAACGGGTTGAGAGTTGAAGGTGCAGATTGGGCTGTCCTGCTTCTGTCTGCTTCCTCTTCTTTTCAAGGCCCGTTCACCGACCCAGCTCATTCCACCAGAAACCCGACCTCTCTCTCCCTTCTTGCGCTCCAAGAAGTTGCCAAGCTCTCCTACTCTGATCTATGGTCCCGCCATGTCAATGACTACCAGAGTCTCTTCCACCGTGTTTCGCTGCAGCTGTGGAAAAGTGCAGCAGCCGAAGCGGATGATCGTGCCGTTGCAGTTCGGACGACGGCGGAGAGGATCAGCTCATTCCAAGACGACCAAGATCCTGCCTTTGTGGAGCTTCTGTTCCAATTCGGTCGGTATCTGCTTATATCTAGCTCGCGCCCTGGAACTCAGGTGTCGAATTTGCAAGGGATATGGAACCCAGATGTTAAGCCTGCGTGGGAGTAATGTTCTGAATCCTGACTTCGTTTCCCTTCATTTCCTTTTGAGATACGGGCTCATAGTTCTTGGGTGCAAAAACTGTTTGCGTGGTTGCAGTTGTGCGCCTCATTTGAATATCAACCTGGAGATGAACTATTGGCCTTCCCTTCCATGCAATCTCAAGGAGTGCCAGGAGCCGTTATTCGACCACATTCAAGCTCTTTCAATCAATGGAAGTCAAACAGCAAAAGTAAGTAGGGGTATGATTCAACCAAACTGCACGTTGTTACGAAATATACTCACTCATCACGGCTTGCAGGTAAACTACGAAGCAAGTGGTTGGGTTGTGCATCATGTGTCCGACTTATGGGCAAAATCCTCTGCATATGAAAGAGATGCTAGGTGGGCAATATGGCCAATGGGCGGGGCCTGGCTTTGCACTCATTTGTGGGAGTACTACACCTACACCATGGACAAAGTAAGCCATTCTAATTATAATTGCTTCACCTAATTTATTTATCCTAGTTTTGTAGTCTCAAGTAAATGCTTGGTACAGGATTTCCTGCAAAAAACAGCATACCCTCTCCTGAAAGGATGCGCCTCATTTTTGGTGGATTGGTTGATCAAAGGGCCCCAAGGATATCTAGAGACCAATCCATCAACTTCTCCAGAACACGTGTTTGTTGCTCCGGATGGAAAACATGCTTCAGTTAGCTACTCATCCACGATGGACATGGCAATTATAAAGGAAGTTTTCTCTGCGCTTGTTTCTGCTGCGGAGGTGGTTAAGCTCTTATCGTGTTGCAGACATGAAAGCTTGTGGTTCTGTATTTGAGAATCCAGTGTAATTGATTGCTCTTGCTTCAGGTTCTGAATATGACCGAAGATCCCTTTGTCCAGAGTGTCCACGAGATTCAATCAAAGCTTTCTCCAACAAAAACTGCCAAAGATGGTTCCATTATGGAATGGGTATGAACATAACATGAGTAGAGTTTTAATGCACGGCTATGTTTATTCGGTTTAGATAATGAATAAGCCATGTTAATGCATACTGAGATATTCATGTGGGTGCACGCAGGCACTAGATTTTGAGGACCCAGAAGTGCAGCACAGGCACCTGTCTCACCTGTTTGGTCTGTTTCCAGGACACACTATAACCATTGAGAAAAATCCAGACCTATGTAAAGCTGCTGAGAAAACTCTTTACAAACGAGGTCTGTTTTATTTTGTTACCAGTGAAAAATGATTGTTTCAATCACCTAGTCGGTCGAGGCTCCTTTTGAACGTTGAGAAACCATTATATCAATGAAAATGATAATGCCACATTGCTACTTTCATACTGGGAAAAGAATATGCAAGCATGACAGTGATTTTCACATTTACTTATAGCTTTAAGTAAGTGATATCATATTTTCTTTAGGATAAACCAGGTTGAGACTGATACCGGTTATTATATTCTTTGATCTTGAATGAAAACAGGAGAGAACGGTCCTGGATGGTCAACTACATGGAAAATTGCTTGTTGGGCTCGTCTGAGGAACAGTGAGCAAGCTTACAAGATGGTCAAGCACTTGATGCAGCCAGTAGATCCGAATAAGACAACCATAGATTTTGAAGGCGGACTGTACAGCAACTTATTCACTGCACACCCTCCATTCCAGATTGATGCAAACTTCGGGTAAGCATGCACCACTGAATACCATCAATTGGTAAGAACATACACATATACATTGGAACCGTCTTGTAACATGTTGGAGGAATTCGTATTCAGTTTTACTGCAGCAGTTGCAGAGATGCTTGTCCAGAGCACAATGCTGGATTTGTACTTACTTCCTGCCCTCCCTCGAGAGAAATGGCCCAACGGAAGTGTCAAAGGGCTAAAGGTCCGAGGAGGACTGACTGTCGACGTAAGCTGGAGAGAAGGAGATCTCCATGAAGTTGGGGTTTGGCAGGAGAATGATGGTAAAGAGATTAATTTGGTCAAGAAAATGTTGCATTACAGGGGAAGAACAACTGAAGCAACAATTTCGTCTCGCACTGTTTACACCTTTGATGTCGGGTTCAAACTTGTGGAGGAAATATGATTTTCATGGGCTACATGTGGTACTAAGGGAATAAGAGAAACTCTGTGCCAAAAATAATAATGTTATGTGAAGTAATGCAGCAGTGAAAGCTAAATATATCTATATGAAGCTAGATAAGATGAGTGAAATGGAGCTATGTGATAAACCAATGAAGTGAAATATACATATAATACTCTACCATATGCCCAGGGCCGGTCTTGGGCGTGCTGTCCAAATTATGAGGGTCTATTGGGCTTATATGGTAAATTACTATTATGTAATATTGAGTTTTGATTGTGAATTTGGAATAATAAAGACTAATGTATTGCGTTTTGATTACGGGTCTAAAATAATAGATTTGGGAGGTACATAACAATATAGTTTTGTAGTAATCATAATGGATGCTGAGATTAAGAACAATATAGTTTTGTAGTACTACAAATAAATCATAATGGATGCTGAGATTAACAGTGAAGTGATTTACTTATCATTTTTGTAGAGGGGTAAAGAGAGAGAGCTTACCAGTTTTTTTGGGAAGCTGACCGAATTTTTGGGCTCCCACTTATTTTCTGTGTGCTATTTTTTTTTTTTTTTGCTTTTCAATGTAAAAATACAACTTAGAAGAATTTGGATCAAAGGAGTTATAGAGGGAAGAATATGGAGTTTTCATTTTAAAGACGAGGACCAATGGCCTATTGGAAATTACAAGTAAAGTCCAAGAAGAGTCTAATGGGGTAAGACTCGACCCAAACCAAAGCAAGAACCAGTGAAGGCCCAGTGTCAGGTCCAACTGTCTCCTAAGCAAAACCTGGTCAAAACACGAAGAAATCTTTAGGAAAGGTTGCTTATGGTGATGCAATCCTTAATTATGACCTAAGTTTAATCCCACTGAAGCTCAAAGAAGTAATGAAGGCAAGGGAAGGTGGAATTCTGAAAACGACAAAAATGGCTATGTATGGAGATAGCTTCGGCGTACCGTCTTTGAGAGAGCTGACGTGCTCGACTCGAAGGACGATCGAGTGAATATGGGAGTCGGAAATGAAAGTCCACAACTTGATAAAGATCGCCAAGGAGTTGGATGGGGTCAACTAAGCCTGACAGGCCTCCGACGACAGGCTTGAAGTTCGTCTGAAGACAATCTTAATTGCTTGTGATGGAAGGCAGCTTGCTTGTCTTAGACGAAATAGTGTGAAACACTAATTCCTTTACCTTTGTCGATTAGGATTTCGTGTTTAGGTTAGTTTAAGTGTCCTTGTTAGCTTAGTAGTAGTATTGAGTCCAGGTAGTTCTATTAAACATTGTAATTCATTCAAGTTTTAACCAAAGAAGTATTGTTCATAGAGTTTTACTCGGTGAATTTGCTCGTGCTAATTGGAGGATTCCAGTTACATCGAGTGCATCTCTATATTGATCAAGTATCCACCTTGATTGTGGTGGAGATTCTACAACTCAAATTGATCGACTATCTTCCCAATTTTATGTTGAAATTGCACGTTCAATCATCCATCCCAAAACCCTTGCTCTGTTTTTTGGTTTGAAACCCTTTCATCAATCAATCTCTTGATTGATCTTAATGTTATAATTCGAAATTTACATGTAAAGTTTTAGATATAATAATGTTAGGATGTACGGGGGCTATTACGTATCCACGATTGCCCGAAAACCACAGATTGGGGATGAGTTTGCAAAATCTTTCCGCATGTGTATGGCACAGGCCGTATATATAAAATATTTATTTATATTCATAAGATGATGTGCACTGTGATAATTTTTTTTTAAACGCGCTCATAATTTTTACCGAATTTCTCAATATCTATTTTTTGTACAAATCTTTCTATACAAATTTGTTTTATGTACAAAATTTTTCGATGTACAAAAAATTATGTATGTTATTTCTATGTACAAAATTTCTCCATAGAATAACCCCTTAACATTTCACTGTACAATAATTCACAACAATTTTTCCCTTATCGCCTTTCTATCCAAAAATTGGACAAGATTCAAGAGCAATGCACTACCCCTAATTATCTAGGAATCCCTCCATTCCCAAAACTTTTCCCCGCGCGGTCTTGTCCTGTGGCCGCCGCTTGTCCCACGAAGCGCCGCCGGTACACTTCCTTCGTATTTGCTTCCGTTTCCGGCCTGCGTCCTTTTATTGTTGAAGTGATATTATTTTGTAGACAATTGGGTTAAACCCTTTGCAATATGGAAAAATGCATCATCAGCACGCATTTAAAGGTATCACATATCGCTTGAGTTTTCGAGTAAATCACAGTACGTACAAAATAAAATTTATGGACAATGATTATTTTATAATGTGAAGAAAATGCATTGAGGAGTAAAAATAAAATAACTCAAACTTACCTCTATCAATGAGATCTGGGTCATGTAAATTGGTTTAAATAGGCTCGAATTAAGTTTGGGCGCTGCAGTTACGGATTTATTTTGACTTTGTTATGTACAGTCAAAATAATCGGGATAATTCTTATCCCTCAAGTGGGCATAACCGACCTTTCATTGACTAATTATTTAAAAATAATAAAAGATACACGCTAGGACAAACTCTTAATTGTTCATCCAGCCAACACAAGACAATTAATTAACATAACTAAAATTACGATTACAGAGTAACTTAATAATATAAGCTTATTGTACATGATTTAACAAGCATAAGGAACTTGTAACACGTACTGTTACACATCATAGTCAAGTTACATTATTTCTCCATTATTTAGTTTAAGGAGAAAACTAGCTACCTGTAGTCCTGTAGCTAGCTAGCCCCCGTCGGAGTATTTTTCCAAACGAAACGAAACAACCCTACGTACACTACACATACATTATATATTATTGTAGCGTTTGAATATAATATAATAATTAGCAGCTGATATTGGGTCCAGGTGTGATCCCAAAGGACCTGCAGTAAGCCCTGTAGTACTTGACACGCGCCGCCACAGCCGCAGGGCTCCCGCCGTTGCACTCGCCGCCGTTGACGCGGCGGATGGTAGCACCGAACCCTTGCTTCACAACGGGACGGACGCTCTTCATCCAGAACCACAGCCCCGTCTTCCAGGCAATCACGGCGTTCTTGGCCACGATGTCCGGATTCTTCAGCCCGTCGAAGTTGTTGGCCTTCCCGCACGCGCCGTAGTTGTAGTTCCACGTCAGCTGGATGGGCCCGCGGCCGTAGTACTTCTTCCCCGGAGCGCACGGGTACTGGCTCGACGGGGAGCAGTACGTGTTGCGAGCTATTTCTTCCACGTAGCAAAAGTCTGCACCCACAAAAAAAAAACATGCACAAATAATTTACTTTTCGATATTCAATTATTTGATCTTATATCATGTACTAACAAAACTTACGTCCGGTTTCGTGGGTGACGTGGGCGAAGAAGGCGGCGATCTCGCGCTTGGACCAGAGGGCGGTGTCGAGGTTTCCGAAGCGAGGGTAGGAGCGTGCGGCGGTGAGGAGGGCAGCGCGAGTGTAGAAGGTCTTGCCCTTGCAGCCGGTGCCTGCCTGGCTGAGAATGCGGTTGAAGAAAGCAGGAGTGACGACGCTGCCGACGGCGACGGCGTCGACGAAGGTGGTGGGGATGGCTATGGCGGAAAGGAAAATGGCCAAGGTGGCGGAGAGGAGTTGAAACTTTCCCATGGTTGGAATGAGCATGCAAGTTAGAGAAGTGGGGTTTTTTGGTGTGGTTAAATGGCGGGTGGGAATGAAGCTATTTATAGGCGTGAGGGAAGTATACGAACGCGGGACGCGGTTTCAGGTTAAGGAATTCAAAATGTCAAATCATCAAGCTAGGATAGGAATTACTTGTTATAAGTCTACGCTATAGATATATTATGATTGTCATCGACTTGATCACAGGTTCCGAGGGCAGGGTCGTAAATTTTCTGTTCTTATAAAATTGCTTCGTAATTAATCTCCGAGATTTGTGGGATTTCGTGCACACAAACACACATTAAGCTAGCTAATTGACTCTGTTCTGCTGTACTTTTATATGTGGATTTATAAAATATGGATTATGATGTAAGAAGATTAGAAGAAGATGTGCTGAGGTGTTCTTTCTTGCAATGAGAGGGAAAATCAAAAGTAAAACAGAACAAGATATGGGAAAACAAAAACCCCGATATGATAATGGGAATTTGTCCTACATATATAAGGGCTTGTTAGTCAAAGTCTTCAGGAACTTTAGTTAAATTTTACTTGAAGATCAAGTTTTACATGGTGACAATATTTCTTGAAAAGCTTCTTAAATGAATCGAAGAATTCATGATGACAAGGTTGTTGATCGACTAAGTCTTTGTCGTCCTATATGTAGCAATACCAGGATTATATTCATTGTTCATGGTAAAAAATAATACCATGATTCATTAGAAACAAAATCAAGTAGCATTAGACATTTAGGCTTCGTCATGCGTTGACACCAGACAGTCTTTGTACGATATTATCCTTTTTAGGTAAGCTTGCGCATATATGATTTTGGACACCTTTCGAAAAGGCATCTTATTAATTAATAAAAGAAAACTTTCCTTTATTTCTCCAAATTTGGCAATTGGATTGTACCCCCAACAATCCTCCCCTCCAATCAAGAATCAGAAACTTTGTGTTCTCCTCTTCAACAATTATCTTGATCTAACGACCATCTTGTCTCACCTAATTTTTCAATATAAGGAATCGCCATTTGAAGATCTTCGTTGATTTGCAAGAAAAATATAGATATCCTTTAATATTTCTGACACAAATCTCTAATTGCTAGGTTATAGAGTGATGGTTCACCAAATTAAAGTCCACCATTACAATCCAGATGTGAATTAGGTTATGATATCATTTGTTGGGATCACTCACATCCCATTAATTAATACAAATATACAATATTGTCCGCGTATAAATTTTCATTTGGGAACCATTCCAAAAAACCTTGTACTAATGGACACATACAAGGCTAGCTCCTAGGAGATTCATCATCATTTTAGTATTTTTACCATAACTAGAGTTATTAAAAGAAGTCGTTCTTATCAATGCTTTGGCCAAAAGGTTTACTGCTCAAAGTCTCATGGACCTGAATATTAACATGTTTAATTCCTAAAATATGAACTTATATTTTAAACACTTGGTATAATATTCATATGAAAACTTTAAAATCATGGATTTACATTATATTTAAAGCACAAGATAATGAAATAGCATAATTTCTTTTTACGTATTCAACAATTTAAATTATTAAACCAACTAGTGCTTAACATCTAGAGTGGTCGAGGACTGGATAAGGGTGTTAGCACCATGCTAATATAATTCATTAAAGTATAGCAAGTACCCATTCATAACAACTCCCTTCCCCCTCCCGTTTATCCGCACAGATTAGGGTTCCATATGCAAATTATTGTTTGACACCTAAACTTAATAGATTTAATAAAAAATTATCATTTTTTGTATATAAGACCTAGAAATATTGATAGAAAATTACATTTTAGTATCTATAAATTCTATTTCTTACGTTTTGATACCTAAACTTTTAAAAATTTATACATAGGTCCAAGTTTATGAGGTTTCTTGTCTTCTTTAAGAAATTTGTGGTATGTTATATGATGTTTATGGTATATTTTAAGTAGCTTATAATTTGATTTAATAAACTTGTGGTATGCTTAATAAGGTTCTAGTCTGCTTCATTGAACTTGTGATCTTTTTGAGAATTGTCTGCTTTAAAAACTTGTGGTCTCCTTAATAAACTTGTGGTATACTTTATGGAGTTTTTGGTCTATTTCCGGTAACTGGTCTACTTCAATAAACTTATTGTCTACTTTAAGAAACTTGTGGTATGTTTTATGAGGTTCCTGATATGCTTTAGGGAACTTTAGGTATACTTTAATTAAGTAACTTGTTGTCTGCTTCATGGAACTTGTGGTCTGGTTTATGAGATTACCGGTTTGCTTTAAAAAACTTATAGTCTACTTTAATAATCTTGTGGTATACTTTATGGGATTCTAGTTTGTTTGAGGGAACTTGTGATCTACTTTAATAAACTTATTGTCTGCTTTAAGAAACTTGTGGTATGTTTTAATGAACTTCCGGTATGCCTTTATGAGGTTTCTTGTATGATTCATGAAAGTTTTGGTCTACTTTGAGAAATTTGTTGTTTGCTTTAAGGAACTTGTGGATGCTTTACGAGGTTTCTGGTCTGATTGAGGGAATTTGTGATCTGCTTTGAGTTTTATGGTATGTTTTATGAATTTGGTGGTGTTGTGAGGTTTGTAGCCTGCTTGATAACCTTTTGGTCTGGTTTATGGCGTTTGTTGTGTGGTTTGTTGTGTTTCTGATTTTTGTTTCGGGGTATGCTACATAATACTTGTGCTGAGGCGCGTGATGTGAAATTAATGCACATCATTACATGTGTGTGCCTCCTAATATTTTTTTGAACTAATATTTAATAATGACAAACTTGCCCCTCCCTTTATAAATCACCATTAATTGTTGTCAACCCACTGAAATAAAGAAGTCACCAAAATGAAATGTTCCTACTGATTGGAGCTAGTTTTACTATCATACTAACAAATTAGATGTTCGCGCCCTAACCTATGGCTTGAGATAGGGTGAGTAACCCTTTGTTAATCACCAGTGAGTAACCACCTTAGGACCGTAGATCTAGGGGTGGATCAATCATGCGGCTGGGCTGAATGCGGGGTCCAGAAGGGCATTTTTGTCCGTTTATGAATTTTTATTTTTATTATATTCCAAGTTTAATGGACGTTTTTTCAAAAAAAGGAGACCACTTTTAATGACTGCTTTTTCAAAGGAGGAGAGAGAATCATTTCTCTGCAACTCTCTTTTCTCTTTCTCCCTTCCTTTTTCTCTCTCAATCTATCATTTCTCTTTCTCTGTTCCTTTTTTTTCTCTCCAATCTCTTTCTCCATATCTAGATCTGCTTCCTTCTCTTCTTTTTTCGTTTTGCTCTCTCCAGCAATCGACGAAGAAAATTTGCAGCCACCCTCTTTCATTGCGTTTTTTTGTCTCTTCATCAACTCGTTGGCCTCAATTTCGGTCTTTCTCCCTTTTTGGCGTTTGGTGTTCTTGATTGCGGAGGAAATGAGACGAAATAGAAGACGAGTTTTTTTCCCTCTCCCTCCTTCTGTTTTTTTTCCTTTTAGATAATATATATTGATATTATGACTCTATACCATATGGTATTGGGTGGTAACGAAATATATATTGATATTACCACACTATACCATATGGTATTGGGTGGTAACTAAATATATATTGATATTACCACACTATACCATATGGTATAGACTGGTAATAACTGGAAAAAAAATTTGTGTCAAAAAAATATCAAAGTGGATATCATTTTGAAGAGCATAATTAATCTGATCTAACTGTGCAAAAAAATTAAATTTTGACTTAAAACGAGTGAGAAATCGTCCGTTAAAGATTAAGAGAAGGAAAATTAAAGGTTTTTCGATGAGAGAGAAGGAGGTCCTGATGTGGTCGGTCAAAAGTCAGCGCGTCAGCAATAAATATGGGATAAGTGCATTTTACCTTACTGCCATTTAGCATTTAATTTAAATAAAAATGTAACTGACAAGTGGAGAGAGGAGAGAGGGGTTACTGATGGGTTACTCACCCGATCTGCTCCCCTAACCTATGCCTCTTGACTATTGATTATAGGTTTAGAGTCATGACTACCGTTGTTGTGGGGTTTTTTTCTTGGATTTGCCTCTTTTCAAGCGCTCCTTCTACATTGCTAGTTGCTACGTACGTACTAATAAAATTGGCTTTATCATAAGAAAAGGTTGACAGGAAAATTTAAACTATATTTTGTAATATGTGTAATTTCTTAAGCGAGAATTTCTTTCTTGCACTTATCATGATATGGAATTAGTCAAATACTGATTAAACAACATATAGCTGCCTGCAAGCAATTACTATATAGGTGGCCTGATTCCTCGTATTATTAGGCTTAATCAACGGGCATCTTGTCAGAGCATGGGGCAGTCAGCGCCTGAATACTGCGTATTTTACCATTCGATTCTTTGTTCTTATCTAAGTGGTTAATTAAAAGAAGCATTAATTAGTTCCGTGGTTGACTTGCTAATTAAATCAAATCTAACAGCCGGCTGTGGCGCAGATTGCGGGTTCAACTTCGATGCTCACTTCCTACTCGTTGGGCCGTTGGCCCATTCACATACCCACAAACAAGCCACTGCTTGCCAAGCTAGCTTGCTAGGCTTAATAGCTTCTCTGTAGAGAGCAAAAACCCAAATTTCGCATACACGGGTCAGTTGGCCCAAAAGTAAATTTCGGATCTATCTAACCTACGGGTAGGGTGGTTAATGAGTCAAATTATTCGCCAATGACTCAGTTTCGAACTCGATAAAAACTCGTTCGATTTAATATAAGCTCGATTCGTTTATTAACGAGCCGAGTTTGAGCTCAACCTTGTTCGGCTCGTGAACTAGCTCGATTAGGTGCCTTGCCGAGTTCGACTCATGATCTATCTCATTTTGATTACGATTTATGAGAAAATCGATCTCTTCTTATGAGTTGATTTGTTATATATATAATTGTATATTACACCTCATGTAATGCTTAATGAGTTGAGCATGTGAGCAAATATGTCTCGTATATGAAATGAAGATCGGTTAATCACATGTATCATATATGACATATACATATTATGGTATTTGTTATAATATGACTTGAATTTGATTTGGGTTTGTTTTGTGTTTTGGCCTATTTTGTTTGGGTTTGTGGTTGAGCTTTGTTTTGACCTTTTCCTTGTATGTTTGGAAAAAGATGTTTGGTTTTCTGTTTGGGATTAGGAGAACAGTATTATAAATACTCTTCACCACCTTAGTCTGTAGTAAGGTCAGTCAGGTTAGTTTGTTTGGTTTGTCCGTCCGGAATTTGGTTTGTAACATGTACTCTTCTCAAATCAATAAAATAATAAAATTTGTTCCCCCCTGCCTATGGATTAGCTAGCACACATTGTGTTAGTGAACCACGTTAAATTCATGTTCGTTTGTGTTGATATGGATTTTCGATTGCACGCTTATGTTCTAACAGTATTTAATTCATAAATTATCTTAGAGTTGAGCTCGAGATGAAATTTTGATCTTAATGATGAGCAAAGATTCAATAAAATGAGTTGGCTCATGCTCTCCTTGACCCAGCTCGTTAATAAACGAGTCGAGCTCGAGTTCGGTTCATTTATAAATGAACCAAATCTGAACAAGGCAAAGCTCGGTTCGGCTCGGCTCATTAACAGCCCTACCTACAGGTCCAAAATATGCAAAACCCAAATTTGAGAGGAAAGAACAAGTTTGACTGTTATTGTAATTAACACCCAAATTATTTATTTTAGGTTCAAACCATAATAAAGATACGGTTAAATCAAGATTCGAGACGAAAACCCAAATTATATTAGGATCTAAAGGGGTGATGTCTAAGTTAAGTTGAATAAGAATACAAAGCAATTTCGTCAATGCACTAGTCTCATCTAAATCGACCGAAAAAACCACGTAAACATCTATGTCGTATTTTGTTCCATAATTACTTCGTTTTGATTATAAAATTCCAATTAATTACGAATAGGACCGTACATATCTTAGGTGATACACAAGAAATGCAGCTCAAGTTGGAGTCATGTAAAGTGAAAAAGAGGTGCATGATATCATAGTAACATGAGTATGAATTAATTAAGTAATTAACCAACTTGCACAAAAATCAACAATTGAAGCTAGCTATTTGATTGTCCACCAAAAAAAAAAACGTAATCATTTTCATCTTAACTACTCTCCCAGTCCCAAGTAATTTTTACAAAACCCAGGGGGGAAAACTGAAGGATCAATCAATGGTCTCAAATCTCAACACCTGATATTATTTCCAGGGCTGACGCCCAACTGCTTGCAGTACTCTCTATAATATCTAACGCGATCCTCCACTTCATCCGTGTTCCCGTGGTTGCACTCCATCCCGTTGATCTTGTGGATCGTCTCCCCGAACCCTTTTCTCTCCGTCGGACGGACGCTCGTCGACCAGAACCACAGCGCCGACTTCCACGTCACCACCGGATCCCTCGCCACGATGTCCGGGTTCCTCAGCCCGTCGAACCCATTCGCCTTCCCGCACTCCCCGTAGTTGTAGTTCCACGACAGCTGCAGTGGGCCCCGGCCGTAGTACTGTCTCCCCGGAGCGCACGGGTTCGCTACCGCCGACGAGTCGCAGTACGTCCCTCGTTCTATTTCTTCCGTATAGCATAGGTCTGAAACAACAAGAAGCAGAATATAAATAGGTCAGATCAGATTATAGAACACATAGGGCCGATCCGTTGAGGAGAATCACAGTCCAAATAGTAAGATATTATTATAGATCAAAGACTAGGCCAACAGTACATTTGGTTCATTTTGGTCCTGTTTAAATGTCCATATTCATGAGACCAAGGACCGGATATGTTATGTTCGATTCAGTACAGTCTGGTTCAAGCATCAGTTTCATACGATGCAGTTCGGTACGGATCACGATCGACTGTTGCACGTAGTGATGCTAATTTGAATCCGCGTCCCGCGGGTATTACCCGACCTGATCTATGATGGGGCAGGTATTACCCGACCCGCAGTAACGTGGGGTGGGGTATGGGTATTTATTTCTGATCCACCTTGCCCACCCATCCCCGTTCTTGGCCCATTCTATCTCAATTTCTTAAAGTAGGGTGAGTTAAATAATTAATTACCTCCGGTCTCGTGGGAGACATGGGCGAAGAAGGCCGCAATCTCGCGCTTGGATTCCTCGACGGAATCGAGGTGACCGAAACGAGGGTAGGATTTTGCAGCCTTGAGAAACGCCCTCCGGGTGTAGAAATGCTTTCCCTTGCAGTTGGAGCCGGCTTTGTTGCGAATGTTGTTGAAGAATTCCGGCGTGACAAGGCGGCCTAACGGGACAGCCACCACGACGGTTGCCGGAATAGTTATGACTATGGCCGATACAAGTACGGCTACGACGTGGAATATTGCCGGTAGTTGAATCTTCCCCATGCTGGAATTCAGCAATGGAAGAAGAAGAAGAAGAAGAAGAAGAAGAGTAGCAGAATGGTAGAGGATATTGTAAGATGATGAATTCTAGAGGCGGTATTACTTGGCAACTTATATAAGAGTGATTGGGACTTGGGACTCGAATTTGACGATGCCTGATCTTGTCTTTTTCCATGCTCGTTGTTTTATGCCAATTATTGCACAAAAGTTGTAGTTACTCATCATCCAAAAGAGAGCATTGTAGTTGTTTATTTCTATGGACTGTGTTGTCATAACTGGCGGATTAATTAATTAATTAATCTAGGGAGATGGGAGGTAAAACTCAAAAAGAGAGTTCACATTTGATTCTTAAGGGAAAGGCTGAAGAAGTTTCTTGAATCCATGTCAGTCATTAGATTAATCAAGAGAGAGATGGGAGGTAGAATGCAAAAAGGGCAAACACGATATTCAATTGTTTTAAACATCCATTGAAAATTAAAAATGAGATAATTAACGACTGAGAAGTTGCATCCGCTAAAACAAATTCATCAAAGGAATTGGAGACGATTTGGGCGCCCAAGTAAGCAATCCGTCCATCCCGCTTCCCCTTTGGAACAATTTTATGCAATGTAGTCAAAATCGCGCTTTACAAATTATAAGCTTACGCCTTTACATTTCTAAAACACTTTTACTTAGAATCCTATTTCTCGCTTATAATTGTAGTCTAAATCTTCATTTTAAAGTTTAAAAGCCTACGCTTTTACTGTTCTAAATCACCAAATCGCTTCTAAATAGAATTCAATTTGACTGCATTGATTTTATGAACTCGTCTCCAGTGTCGCTTTTTTATGTTTCCCCATTGACAAATTACAATTTTTGTTTATTATATTTGTCCCCAATGCTCACTGATTTTTATAGCGGGCTATCAATAGGAGAAATAAAGATAGAAGAAAGTTTTCCGAAACAAATCGCTTGACATCACATGTCAAGTTTATCTTTCTCTCTACAAAATTGTCATAAGAGAAATTTTTAGGCCTCCCAATGAACATATATATGAGTGGGTGTAGTTTAACTTAGCTTGTCCCTAAAAGTCAAACAAATCATCAAACCACATGATATAATTATTTTTTTTTATATAAACTCCTTGTTTTCTTCTACCAAGTCTTTAGTTGGCGGTGCTTGGATTATGTGAAACTGCTTGCTCTTTAGGAGAAAGAAGACAAAAGATGAAACCTCTTAACGTTTATTTTATTTATTAATTCTCTCTTCCTTCGCAAACTCGCAGCAGATTCAACTGTTACGAGTCCAGAAAGCAGGAAGTCGAAAGTATACATAGAAGTCGATAATCGAACAAATATTACACCATAGTATATTGTTCGATACTATTTATTTATTTTATTGACTCCGTCGGCCCTGGTCGCCGCCGCTTAACAGCTGGTGTTAGCCTCTGGCTGGATCCCAAACTTCTGACAGTAGGAGTTGTAGTAGCTGACCCGAGCCCTGACGGCGGGCGCGTTTCCGCCGTTACACTCAATCCCGTTAATCTTCCGGATGGTGGCTCCGAACCCTTGCGGCAGCACGGGGCGGACATTTGTCATCCAGAACCACAACGCCGTCTTCCACGCCAGCACCGGATCCCTGGCGACGACGTCCGGGTCCCCGACGCCGTTAAAGTTGTTGGCCCGACCGCACACCGCGTAGTTGTAGTTCCACGTCAGCTGAAGGGGCCCGCGGCCGTAGTACTTCTTCCCCGGAGCGCACGGGTACTGGCTCGGGTCGCAGTAAGTCGCGCGGTTGATCTCCTCCACGTAACACATGCCTGTCGTATCGTACGAAAAATTATTTCGAAAAAATTTACGAGTAAGTCATACGTACTAAAAATAGGAGCATTTCTATTATGCTATATAGTACTGGTGTTTTAATGTACAACTTGAAGATTGTACCATAACGTTAAATGTATGAGTTCAGGTTGTACCATAAAGGAGATTTGTACAATTATGTTATGGTACAAACTTCACAACTTGAAGTTGTACCATCACATAAATGTACAAGTTCAAGTTGTACAATAAAAGAATTTGTACAAAAAATATATGTTACAATCTGAAGTTGTACCATAACGTTAAAGGTTACAATTTCAAGTTGTATCAGAACGTACTTCCGGTTTCGTGGGTGACGTGGGCGAAGAAGGCGGCGATTTCGCGCTTGGAACCGGGGAGAGATCCTCGGTTGCCGAAGTTGGGATAAGCGTTTGCCGCCTGAAGAAAGGCCTCGCGTGTGTAGAAGTTCTTCCCGGCGCAGCTGTTGGGTGCTTGGTTCTTGATGCCGTTGAAGAAAGCCGGGGTGACAATGTCGGCCACGGCTGCGTTTGCCGGGAGGGCTGCGGTGGCTGCGAGTATGGCTACGGTGGCGATGATGAGGAGGTGAAGGTTTCCCATGGTGAGAAAGGGTAGATTGAATTGAAAAAGGGTGTTGTGTGAATGAAGGAGGTGGAGAGTAGGGAGAGGAGCTATTTATAGAAAGAAGAAGGTTGGGTTGGGTGGGTTGTTGGTTTTGGAAAATTGAGTGCGTGGAGGGAGTGGGATAGACATAAGACATCATCAACCCTTTTGTGGGGGATAAAAAGTGAATAATGCCACCAACAAAAAATGAAATTTGGTAGGGGGAAAAATGGAAAATGTTCAAGAAAATCATGTAGAATTTCGAAAGCCTCCAATATTGAAATTGTTCATTACACTACATTTTGCAGTGTACGTTGGTTTTTGTAGACGTGTTCAACAAAAAGTTGGATGCCTCTTCCGGTTTCACATTGTTCTCTGTTCATTCCTTCACCTTTTGCGGGTGCCGGGTGGATAGTTCTATCATCATGATTCGATGACTCATGTTAGGGCTGACTATTTGGTTCGGGTTTTTTGGTTTTACCCGAAACCGGATCGTATAATTCGAATCGAGACCGGATCGGGACCGGATAGTAAACAATCCAATCTTTGGGCTTAGATTTGAGGTCAAACCCGTTTGAGACCGGATCGAAAACTGGATAAAGACCGGATAAGAGAGCTCAACACCCAAAACTTAAGGGTAATTTGCATAAACGGTCACAAACCTTTGCACTTAGTACAAAACTTAATCAACTCCTCACCCTTTCGGGCCTTAGGCCACTCAAATCCCCACAAGCTCAATATAAAATCAAGACCGAAATGGGACCGGATCGGGTCAAGACCTGACCGGATCAAAACCGGAATGTATCAAATCCAATCTTTGGTCCTTATATTTTCAAAAATACCGGACTGGACCGGATAAATTTGGACCAATTTAACTGGATCGGACCGTATAGCCACCCTAAACTCATACGGCTCTTTTGGAAAAACGATCGACCAGATGACACAAATAACTTGTTACAATAAATTTTTGGTATTACAGAAGAAGAAAAAAATGGTGAACCACTTCAATAGAACCGTCGACGGGTAGAACATTTTCTTATCGGTGTTTGAACAGGATTCTACCACTAGAAAGGTATTATTAGTACTAAGCAAGGACATGAGAACAATTCAACTCAAGTTGATATCAACCAGAGCCCCTATAAATAACGATCTAACTTATTGGTTTATCAATGACATTAGAACCATTTAACCCTATAATATCATCAGGTTGCCTGCTGAATCGTAGCGGTCGAGCTTTTTGCAATTTGTGGTCTTTCTAACGTATCTAAACTTGTTGTTACACAAGGTGCTCGAGGAGGAACCTGATGAAAGAGTTGAAAGATACACTAAAGGAAGAAAAAAAAAATGCAAATTGTTTCCAGTCAATACAACCCTTTCATTTTATACTTGACAAAGAAACCAATTCCATTTTACGATCTATATAAAGTACACATATAGTCTAATGGACGGCCTTTTGGTGCACGAAGTCATTATTATCCGCTTGACTTGACTCTGACTTGGATGGTAATACTCTAAAGTCATGTTAATTGTGGTTGTCTGTAAATGACTTCGAATGTATGTTAGGATTTCCAACTTGGAATGATAATTGGCAGTCACTCAATGGGGTGGTTTGCTTGCTCGTAGAATTTTAAAAAAATAAGACATTTAGATATAATTTTGGATTTTTTACGATTTTAGGGTTCTTTGCATTTTTATTTTATAACTTTGTGTTGGATTTTCGATATTATGTGTCTGCTAGCTGGATTTAGAAATAGATTTTATCATATTGAATTTATGGGTTAAATAAATGTTACAATTTGCTTTGGCGTAGCGAGATTATCCTTCGGCATGGATTCATATTATGGCTAGTCCTGCAAAATAGGTTAAAACTCAAAATAAACTTCTAGTATGGGGAACCCATAACTTCTAATGGGTTAACCTCTATCTTTAATTCTCTAAACCAAACTGGTTATAGGATTCATTATTTAATCTTAATAATAATAATTGATGGTTCTGATTCATCTGAATTTATGAAGTGGATCTAATAAGTGTGAAATTAGGCATATATCATACTCCAGCTGTACTGATGCGTTACGGCGTCGAGCTTTACAATTTATAAACTCGGTCATCAACAATGCTAACTACTCCAATATAGGACAAGTGCGCCCTAAATCGGTGAAGTAATGTATTGGTGGCCGAGGTCGTATACCTCTAGATCTATTACTACTCTCGACCTCGACTTACTATCTAGTCAAACGGAATGATTGATGGTTTAAGTATGAGCAAAACTAACAAAGAAACAAACAAAACTAAAGGGGATGGGATCGATAAATAAGAGATCGTGTCGGCTAGACTTCAAACTACCTTCAATGCTTGGTAAGGGTTAATGTTGTAAGGAATTGAATCAATCAATGGCGAGTGTGGTGCAAAGATCTCTAAGGTTGGATCAGTGCAATAATCATGCCTCCCGAACTACCTTCTAGCTCAGTCCAATGTCAATATAATTATGGATCCATATCTAATAACTATATATAGATATATATGGTGATATGTTTCTTCCCAAAATATTGTATATGTATTTTAAAAATTGCATTCAAGTATGATAATTTTTTCTCACACTGTAAAAATATATATGTACATATCTCCTCAGATGGTCTTGCCTTTTATGTTGTGTTTGTTAAACCATATCGCATCGGCAATTCAACCATAAAAATACCTACCAGTAGGCGATTTTTAACAATAAGAACCGCCAGAATTACGAACAATGGATTGACCTAGTGGTAATCTAGAACCTGGAAATCCCAGATTTGAATCCCTTATTTAGTACCTTAATGACAATAAAAAAAACCTATATCACCTTATATAAAAAAAAAACAGCTGAATTACAATTTCAGCGTAAAATACCCTCCACTAGTTTTTCCTATGCAGTTTCATAATCTTTGCCAAACTTATTTTCCTATGAACCCATGATCACATATTCAAATTTGTCCTATATGTCGACTTTGGAGGGTCACGAGGTCATCCTCTGTATTGTCCATGAGCAATGGTGAAGTCATCGCGGCTGCTTTTCTTTTCCGTCTATTCAGTCGCTGGCTGTCGGTGGAGAGAGCTTTACTGCTTGTGTCACTAAAGACTTCTGGTTTTTTCCACACACACACAAAAAAAAAAAAAAAAAAACTCGTTCGCTTTGATATATCGAATTCAATGAATAGCCACCGAAGGAACTAGGTTACTTGTCATTTTGCTAAACATCTTATTTCGAAAAGGATAAATTGACACAAACGAGGAAACAAAAAATGTTGAGCAAATTAATTAGGTGAAATTTGTGGGTGGTCCTTAATTATCTATATAATCCAGTTGAAATGAAGCCATTTCCTGAATTCGGCGGCCAAACAAAGGCTCAGCAATGGTAACTAGTTATTAGTTAATTATGTAAGACTAACTCCAATGAATTGCCAAAATGTCAAAGTGGGGGAAATTTCGGCTGAATTGGAATAGATGTAAGTAGAAGTAAAAAAGATTTATATTCTTCTTATCGAATAAATACTTCTCTCCTTTTCAAACTCGTGATCATGTGACAAATTACTCTCTTTTGAAATAGGCATAATAATATTTCAAAAGTCTATGGAGGGAATGTTTAGTGTATGAGAGATGCTCGAAATCTAAGGGATCGGAGGACATAAAATCCAAACTGGATGAGGAAAACAAGGAGCATACCCTAGTGGCTAAGCGAACATATATCATTTGCGACTTTACAAAACACAATGCTTCTAAAATTTCTTCCAGCATTGTATGACCAACCATTACGGATGTCAACTTCGTGCTATAGGTAGGCAGCATTCAAACCGTGCACAATATTTGCCAATTCAAAAGGAAAGGACGATGGTGATCGCGTCCGACATATCAGCAGTTTAGTAGAGCTGTTGATAAATGAAAAAAATACATATATATTTTAGGTGGAAATTAAATTATTTCATTGTGAGTTTGATGAAAATATCACTGGAAATTGGACCTATTAACTTTGGAATGACATAAGTGTGATTATCATTGTGTTCTATCAATTTGATAATTTAGTGAAAAATATGGAAAATAAAGTGCACAAACAAATTTCATATATAGAGGCTAAATGTAGAAGCAGGCCCGGCCAAGTTCCAACCCAAATGCAACCGCTCCAAACTTCAAAATACTGGCCCAGAAGATAAAACGTGACAAATAGCTCTTGGGGCTACAAGAATTCCTCATTTGTTTATTTAAGCCGAGTCCATAATTGGAATTAGAAAGGTGTAACAAACTAACAATTAAAAGTTTGATTATTTTATGACATTCCAAATAATAAAGGTTTTTTTTTATTAATCAGCATTTGCAGTTACATTATCCACTATAAGCAGCTCAATAAGGAAAGTTGGCGGTCTATCCAGCCAAACAATACTCCCATCCCAATTCGTCTCGGTGTGTGCCATGATATGGGCTACTTTATTAGCGTCCCTGTAAATGAACTTCCTTTAGCTCCTATCCATTTCTTCCAGTTTGCGGAGGATACTCCTGCAAAGCACTCCCTCCTCTGTTTGGACTTGCTCCGCCCTGTTCATTAACTGTATCAAGGTTTGGCTATCAGATTCCAGTATCGGCCGCGTCATTTGAAGTTGCCATGCCAGCTGCACTCCAAAATCAGCAGCAAAAGCTTCCGCCGTCAGCGCCGTCCACGTCCCTTTAACTTTCTTCGCAGATGCGAGGACAAAACGCCCGCTTCCATCTCTAATAACCACACCGAGTCCTGCTCCTCCTGTCGGGAATACCCCTGCGTTTGTGGTTATCGAGATGGACCCATCTCTTGGGCGCTCCCATCTCTTCGTCGCTTCAACAGCTGGGGTGTTCTAGCTATCGGTTCATTCCCCTGCTGTTGTCTATAGGTTGCAAGGTAAGTAGATGCTCGGGTCACAATCTCTTCTTCTGGCATCGTTTTCCCGTTGAACAACTGAGCGTTCCGCTCTTTCCATAAAGTCCACAACAACGAGCACCACTCCTCAAATGTCCCTCCAACCACCGTAGTCATTACCCGATGCGCCCACTCCAAACAATCGTCGCTCCTCCGTGCTTCAAAGTAACCTGAAAGTGTAGACTGCCCCCATAATCTTGTCATCCAGGGACGCTCCGCAAATAAGTGAATTTGGGTATCACGAATATCACAAAAGGGACATTTATCATTCCATCTCGTACTCTTCTCGCTAACACGATCTCCTGTAGGAAGGGCGTTCCTCTTGAATCTCCACATAAAGTTTTTAATCTTCGGCAGTATTGTCCTTCCCCACATATGCTTCCACGTGCTTTCGTCCCCTTGTATGACAAGGCCTTGTTCTACTTAAAGGTCTTCAGCCATTGGTTATAACCTTCCTTCACCACAAAGTCCCCATCCCGACTCCAATTCCAAATCAGTGTATCCTTCTCCCCCTGTCCCCTCAACGAGATTTGCTTAATCGTCTCGACTATAGCAGCCGGGAAACAGCTATCAAGGAGGTTGACGTCCCCCTGTTTCGTCTCTGGATGATAACTTTTTCTTAACTTCGAAATGCAAATTACTTAGGAGACGTTTGGATCAGGGATTGTTGGACAATATATGGTCACAATCCTTCACCTTCTCGGATTTGGTCACAATCCTATGTTTGGAAAGACTGAAAATATGAGAGATTTTAATTATGAGAGATTTTTAAAATATGTAAATGTAGGATTTCGAAATAGCTTATGGGGATAAGCTATTTCAAAATTCCTCACTATTTTAATTTTTCTTTCAACTACTACTCTTCCTAGTTCCTATCTGTTTCTTCTATCATCACCACACCACTGCCGACCTTCTTCCTCAACTCCCCCGACCACAACTTTTCTTCCACTGCGCCGGCTGGCAAACCCAGCGCCCAAGCAGATCCCTTGGCAATCAACCTAGGCGAATCCAAGCATAACCCAACTTGTCTTTTTCTTCCGAAGGTGACCCACGCGAACCGAAGTAGCTCGCCACTATAATCAACCGAGGCGAATCCAAGTAGAACCCAACTTGTCTTCTTCTGCCGACGGCGACCGAGGGAAACCCAAGCAGATTGCCACTGCGGTCAACCCAGGCTAGCCCCAACATCCATCGACTCTGCCACCATAAACAAACCCAACCCAATATGGGTTTTTAGGGTTTCAATATCTGGGTTTTGGGCGACTGTTTTGTGCTTGGTTTGCAGTTTCAATTTTAGGGTTTTCGAGATTCTGATTCGTGCTTGGTTTTGAAGTTCTACCTCAAACTCCTTCATTAAGAGTTCTAGGTATGTGTGCTTCTTCCTTCATCGTGGGTATGTCGACGGTCGTTTTTGTGCATGTCAATTTTCATCTTTGAGTACTTCACTTTTTTATTTTAATTTTGTGCCTGTCGCGATTGTTGCTCCATTTTCAGTAATATGCTTCACAGATTAGTGCTTGTTTTCGTTTGTGCTTGCTTACTGAGGAAGAAGAAGACAACGACAAAGAATCATAAGAATGACAGAAATATTTTTGTACTTCTAATTATCACTTACAAATACCTCATTCACATCCAAACAAGAAATTTTGATCAAATTACAGGTATAAATTTCCTGATTTTTCAAAAAAAAGATTTGAATTTCTACGTATTAATATTCTCCATCCAAACGAATTACTCGTTGATCATTAAGATACCCCATTTCTAGGGCTGGGAAACGGTGCGGTCTGGTCCAGACCAGACCATATATACGGTCTGCGGTCCAGACCGTGAGGGTAGAACAGAGACCATAGACCATACCATAACCTATACGGTCCAGACCAGACCACGCCTGTGCGGTGCGGTCCGGTACGGTCTGGACCGAGTAGACCATGTTCAACAAAACCTGTATTATCCAGAGCTAACTTTGTAACGAGCTCTTTTGCTAGCCTGAATAATAGGCAGAGACATATTAACTATTAAGCATTCTGGCCATTTAGTAACAGTTTGAATTGGGGAATGAAGAACAAACATAGGGGAATGGAAGAACAGTCAATCATTATTTCCATAATTTTGGTTCTCTGTTGCAGCGGCAGCAAACAATGGTGGAGTCAATGGAAGAATTGCAAACGTCGATGGCTATAGAGATAGATAGGTTCGATGGTGGTCGGCGGAGGTCAATGGCGGTCAGCGGAGGTTGATGGCAGTCGCCAGTCAGTGAAGGTCGATGGTGATGGAGCAGCCTGAGAAGAGAAGGATGGTGGAGGTCGATGGCTATGGTGGAAGGCGATGGAGACAAATAGCAACCGTGCAATGGAGCTGGATAGTCAACGACGAAGCTCCAAAGTCGGCGGTGGGGCGGATGATGGATAATCGGAGACGGGGAGGCGAGGGCGCGAGGCGACGATTGGGGTTGGGGCTGCAAAGTCGGTGAGACGAAGCTCCGTGCTAGCCTGCAAAGTCGACGATTGGGGTTCACCTTTCCGTTTTCCTTCTCCTTCTCCATTCTCACTTCGAGGCTCGAGCGAGTTGCGATGGGGAAGCACGGCGCACGCAGCAGCCGAATTGCTGGACAGCGGGAGGGTGGGGAAGCACGCAGGCACGCAGCTAGGGCTGTGGTGGGCTGTGGGCAATGAAATTGGGTTTTGGCCATTGAAATGTGTAAGGTTGGGGCTGCCTAGTTGGGCTCAGCCCATAGTTAATTTTTGTCACGGTCTGGACGGTTAACCACGGTCTAGACCAGACCAAACCGTTCCAGACCACAAGTGAAAGAAGCAAACCATGGACCAGACCAAATTGTATTCATGGTCTAACGGTCCAGACCAAATCATACGGTACGGTCTAAACCATGGGTTGTCATACGGTTTGGTCTACATTCCCAGCCCTACCCATTTCTACCCTTTCGCTTTCTGTTATTGCCCCAGCCCATCAAAGGAGGGGGAAAGAATGAAATTGATTAAAAAGAACCCAAAAACAAGCAGCAAAACCCCATTTCTACCCTCTAGTTTCCCAATCTCTATCTCTAATACTACTATACCACTACTCGCTTCCAATTCCAAAGCAGCCAGCCGCCTCCGCCGCAGACTTAATCCCGACGGAATCTAAGATCCTCGTACCTGTACACGCAACTCAGCGCCACCAAAACCTCCACGATCGCCGCCTCCGTTTTCTCCGTGTCCGAATAGTGCAGCGTCTGCACAAGCAGCACCGATCCCTTCGCTCTCCCGTCCAAGTCCACCGCCATCTGTCTCTCCAACTGCCGATCCGCCTGCCACTTCACCGTGTCGTGCGCCATCGGCGCCAGCCACTCCAATATCTTCCCCGCCGCCTCCCTCCACCCTTCCGCCAGCGCCACCTGGCACGCCGAACCCCCGATCTCCTCTCGATTCCACTGCCTCTCCAATTTCCTCTTCACCGCCGCCCTCAAACTCTCGGGCAGCATCTCGTACATTGCCGATCGCGCTTCGTCGTCTATGCTCGTCGTAAAGTGCAAGTATCTCTCCGCCAGTACGATTATCTCCGCGAGTCGCAGAGCCAGGCCCGACCCGCCCGCCGTGGATGGCGGCGTTATCGGTAGTCTCTGCCTGGTTTCTTCCCCGGGGTTTGCACGCCAGGTGTTCGATGAAAGTTCCTGACTGTAAAATCTGGGCGGAGTTGATGGTATTGAAGATTTCTGAATCGGGCCCGACGCGTACAGTTGGGCGTTCTTCGGCTTCGATTTCAAACCCAAATCGCTGCTCCTCGCCAGACATGGAAGGAAGGAGACGAAGGGTCCGAAGAGCTTACACATTCGGATGAAGATCACTCGGATCGCTTCGGCCATTAGGCGAACGCTCTTGTCGAACGTCACGTTCCAAAGGGAAGTTTCTCTGCAGCGTTTGATCTGTTTCCGTTGCGCCGCTATCCTCTGCCCGTCAATGCAGCCGTTGTTCGTGATGAACTTGGAGGGCTCCAGTTTCAGCTTCAGCATCTGAAACTTGCGCTCGGACGCTTCCATCTCCGCCAAACTTTCCAACCCCGCGTGCAGTTGGGTCGTTGCGGAGACGTACTTCTCCATCTTGCGGAAAATCTTGCTCCCGTTCCCTTGCTTCGAGTAGAATTCGACCCTGTCTCGAGCCACTACAATCCCCTGTTTCAAATCCTCGTAGTCGTAACTGCGGCATCTGAGACCCGGGTCGGAGCATCTCCGGCCTAGACGAGAGACGGTGAAGGCCGCTGAATCGAGCTCGTCGAGCTTCTCACAGCAGGCTAGACTAAGAAGGTGGAACTCGTCTTCGGAATTCAAGTACCTGACTCCTCTCGATCTCAACGGCCCATTTCGAAGCCTGGTGAATTCGTTCTCGGAGAGGAAGCTGTTGAGGGAAATGAGTCGGGACATTGTGCTGGCTACCTCGAAGGACAGGATGTCGAGAGTCTCCGGTGGGTCCGTCGGCAGCCGGATGTTTGGACTCTGGAGCCAGGGCAAGGTTGCAGCAGCGACCATGGCGTTGGATGATGTCAAAAGCTTCTCTGTTGTTGTTGCGGGAAATGGGTTTACCTTGGGATTCGATTATGATGGAGTGAGTAATGGGTATATAGAGGAGGAGGCGGTGTAGTTAGTTAGTTAGAGGCGTGGTGGGAACTGAAGAAATGGTGAGGTTTCGAGGCAGCTTCCTTTCCTTTGCGTATCTTCATGGTTGGGGAAGGAGGAGTAAGCAGGTGGTGAAGCAGCCTAATTCAATTAGGAATTGGTTCAGAAATAAACGCGTTGGGTTTGGGATGTCGATTTAAGGTAAGCTTCTCAATGTTGTGTGGATTTTGTGTATTTTTGGTCTGTCGACACTTGGCCACATCAGCAGATAGAGACCATTGTTTGCCACCTTACAACACAAGTTATGGAGCGGAGACCGACTCCAATTCCAAATTTCCAATCTTTCCCACCTGAGTACAAATAAGAGCCGGTTTCATTAGTTTAACTTTTTCCTCAACAGAATTCTCTATCAAATATTTGTTTTGGTTTTAGTTTATTGAGAAATTTACGACTTGGTAAGATAATATAGTGGATCCATCAGCATATGAAAGTGTTGTGGAAGTGAAGAATTTTGGGGGGTGACAAAAGTCACGAGAGATTCTGACAGTAGCAAAGTTTGGTCAATGTGGGCTGGGTATGGGTCGATGGAGTCCAAAATCGGACTAAATTATTCTAGGACCAAATCATAATTACACAAAATTGAAGTATCAAGGTGGAATATTCTTCCCCGATTCGATTCAGTTGTATAACATGAACTGATTCGATCCTAATCAGAACACTATGTTTTTTTCCAGATTCTCAGAATTATTATTCTCAGAAGCATAGTTAATCTCAACTTAAGAAGTTCAACCATTCCCCCACGCAAGATCTCAAACCTAATGATGGACCATCGTCGCCGCAAGGCGAGCTAAGGGGCAAGGTTCGAGTAAGGAGCGGTAATACAAAATTCTCCTATGAAACTGAATTTATAAGAGGTCAAGTTCTGTAATTGTGTGTGTACTGGTTTCACGATTCAGAGCTCACACAAGTTGACTTGTCTAGTTCCATTTTATACAATGGTAATATATTAAATAAGCAATGTAATTATATTTCGACCTATTAATTATGTTAAATTTACAGTTTTTGTTTGGATTCAACCAAATTAAAAAAAACAAAATCAAATCAAAATAGTAATAATTTCATTAGTCTGAAAAGTGAGCCAGTCCGATTCTATTCATTATTAATTGAATCGCTGTCCAGCTAAATTAAATCAAGGGATTATAATTCCCGTGAGAACACAGAACTATAAGGATTGAGCTTTTGTCAAACAAAATAATTGAATTCCCCTCTACATTGTTTTTCTTGCTATTTTAATCTTGTAGTCAAAATGGTCAACATAACTTTCTTATACGGCTTCAAGTCATTCCGTGTTTTCTTACTCCTTGGTTTTAGTTCTTTTTAGGCCGTCTTGTAAGTGTAAGTGAATTGGATTGGTCAGGTTGTATTCTCATTGGCGCACTTGGCATGAGATTGCTTTTGAACGGCGCCCAGTGAGTATGCAAACATAGAGATGGCAATCAGTAAAGTGCATATCAATTATTTTATTAAGAATAGTTTCGATTTTATTTGTATTCATATCAATGAATTTGAAACGGTGCATAACTTTGGTTATGCATAAATGCATAATTAGATATGAATTCTTAATTTTAAGTGAGCTCAGAAGGAAAGATTTGCAAAGATTTGCACAGAAAGGAAGTATTTCATCATGAGAAATTTTACGATGCTATATAGTATTGGTGCTATAGGTTTTTACCTTTATGGTACAACTTAAAATTGTACATTTACGTTATGGTACAACTTCAGATTGTACCTATACTTTTTGTACAAATTCTTTTATGGTACAACTTGAACTTGTACTTTTATGTAATGGTACAATTTTAAGTTGTAAAGTTGTACCATAACATAATGGTATAAATTGCTTTATGGTACAACCTAAACTTATACATTTAATGTTATGGTACAACTTTGAGTTGTACATTAAAGCACCAATGCTATATAGCATAGTAGGAGTGCTCATTTCATCATATGATCTATTAAATCTACAAATTTCTGGAAAAATTTTCCAGTACAAAAAATAACACCCTATACCACAATGGTATAGGATATATAGTAACTCGTGGTAGACGGTGATGAAAGATGATAATGATGAGTTTATTTTCGGTTTGGGGTTTTGGTATTTTTGGACTGAGTGTCTTTTCCTTTTCGTTGTAGTTTTCCTTTGGGTAGCAGAATAGGAGAAGGCGTTCGGGTAGGTTTAGGTTGCGTATTAAAATTTTCTAGCCCCCCTCTCTCTCTCTCTCTCTCTCTCTCTCTATATATATATATATATATATATATAAAAGTTCAACATTAGTTCCGGTTATCAAAAAATAAATCAAAGGTTTTTTGACACCAACGTCATTCTCTTGCTTGTGAGTTGCAAGCAAAACCCTTGAACTGTGAGTAACAGTTCATCAAATGGTATCAAAGCCTGGTAAAGCGTCCTACAGGGATGGTGGCTAAGCCGCGGAGCGATGTACCACGCTGGAGGCAATTGTCGAGGAGCTGCAGACTACGCTTCAAGGCAATACGGAGGCGGTGGAGGCGCTAGCAGTGCAGATGACGAATGTGGAAGGACTTCTGCAAACAATGATGGCCAAGCTGGACGTGATCATGCCGCAACGAGAAGCAAGGGCATGATGCCCAAGCTCGGTGGAGAGGAGAGCGCCGATGAGAAGGATGGTGAGAAGAGCGCAACCGGACCCATGGGCAACTGCAGCGCGCTACGACGGGTCTACGAATCATGGAAGCTGCGGCGGAAAGCCCTCTGCCGACTGGGGAGTTCGTAGCAACGAGGGCGAGACTTTCCTAGCAAAGCTTGCTTGGCTAGAATTCCTGAAGTTTGAAGAGGAAGATTCGAGCTTGTGGTTTCCCTACGTTGAGCAGTTCTTTGAGTATTAGGAGGTCCCGGAGGATCAGAAGGTGTCGCTGGCCTTGTTTCATCTGGAAGGATAGGCGAATCAATGGTGGCATTGGGTGAAGCGGACCTACAAGGATACCAAAGATCTGAATTCATGGGAGTTGTTCTCCCAGGCGCGGTTCGGTCCGACTGAAGGGGAGAGCTGTGATGAAGCCCTATCGTGGATTCGTTAGACGGGCCAATTTTTGTGGATGCGCTCAGGCCGCCTGCTCAGATTGGTGGCGGTTTGTCACTCCTCTGCCTGTTTCTGGGGTGTTCTATTGGTTTTTTTTGTTGGTGCAGGTGAAGCTTGGACAGGCTCTGGATTTGGTCCTCCCGGTCTTACTTGTTGTTGTCGTCCTTCCGCCAGCGGCCAATCTGTATGTTCAGGGGGTCCTCTCATGGCGAGAGAGGAGGAAAGCTTGAAGATAGGAACTGGGGGGGGGGGGGTGGAAATGGACAGTTGTGATGGAAAATTGAGGGAAATGGTATTGGTCATTATTGATTATGATTTAGAGTATCTTTCTGGAAAGATCATCCACCTCATTCCTCGTCACCAAAATCCCCAAAAAGTTCCAGAAGAAGCACAAGAACTGGGATTAGTGAACTAGGTAAGAGATTAGCGGTGGAGCAAGAGGTGGTCGAATCTGGAGAGGAAAGGTCGAGAAGTTGGAAGGTTTGGGTCGGTCGGGTCAAAGAGAGAAGAAGAAATGGGTTGGGGGTAGTTTTAATGACATGGCTGGTTGGATTTATTTTTGTTGGGCTAAATTCGGTTGACTAGGCAATTTTGTTTGCCACACCAGCACTTAACGGACTCTATTAACGGAGTTGGACTGAGACTAACGGAGAGTGACAAACATGACATGTTTTACTAAACTTAGTGACCATTATTGATATTAATTTTTTCTAGTGACTAAACATGACAAATTTTGGTAAACCCAGTGACCAAACGTGGCATTAACCCATGGGAGTTTCAACAGAAGAGGAACAGTTTCATTCCTTACATCGAGCATATTGCATAACCTCTATTTGTCATATCCAATTGGTTCTACACGAAAGGTATACCCTTTTATGATTGATGGAACCTTCATTTTTTTTAGGTTAATGTCTATTTTTTACATTAAACCTAGGATACTTTTATTGCTTAACCATCAACGTGGTTACAGTCCGCATCAAGCAACGGTAGTAAGAAAATGGGCGGCCTATCCTCCCAAATTTTTCTTGGTATCTCAGTTACAATAAGTAAGGGTCATTCCGTGGGCAGCTCTATTACAATCTTTCTTAACACCTACAGTGTCCTATACAAGTTTCACAACAATTATCTTTTGTCTTTCGAAAAAGATTGAAGTGACATTCAATCACCTTTTTCGTATTCGACTTTGCTCAAGTCAACTCTATTTGCAAAATTCCATTTTCTTTTCCATCTTTTTTCTCAAACAACATTAGCTCCCTTTTGTAGACACTTTTATGTCTACTTCATTATTGATGGGTGAATAAATAAAACAACCTAGGTCACCAACTTTCCACAGGCATCTGTATTTTGGCTTCACTCAAGCAGCTTTCGTTCCAAATTATATCGTCATTGCTTATCTAGGTTGGGTATTCACAATCTCTCATCTCTAATCAATTATAAATAGTAAAACTTTCTTTTCCAACAAATATACATCAATTAGTCTATGTCAGCCATCAACTATTTCATGTAAGTTGTTCGTTATAATGTCTATTAAGGAACTTTATTTCATAGGGTAAAGCTTGATTATTTGTAATTCTAATGATGATGTTCATAAACTATCATGAAGAACACTACAGCAATCACCACTGTTATTTTTATTGGATTTTTGGTTATTAAATTAATATTGTATGGTAATGAAAAGTTATTTTTATTGGATTTTTTATTATTAAATTAATAGTGTATGGTAATGAAAAGTGGATGATAGCTAACATTTTTATATGATTATTAAAACATTAAAGGTATTACACGATTATAGATGTATATATTGGTAGTATACGACTACAACTACACCTTAATTATATGATCATGATATGCAATTGTCTCCTATTTTCATTGATCTAAATCATGTTTATTTTTTATGTGTTTATTTATCAAATATGTGAATTTCACTCTTGGATCTCATCCAAGTACTTATTAGTGTTGTGTTGATCTCATGTAAAAAAACAAGTACATCCTAAGAAAAGAATTGTGCACAAAAAAGCTTCATTTTGTTGTCTTATACGACTTCAAATGAATTTAACACTTAACCTCTAACCGTGGTCTTTTTTACTTTATTGGCTGACATCTGAATCAATTTAAAAGTATTGACTCTAATTTCTACTATGTTTGCAAAATTTTATTTTATTTTCCATCTTTTTTCTCACACAACTTAAACTCCCTTTTTGTAGACATTTTTATGTTTACTTCATTATTGATCGATGAATGATTAAAATAACCTAGGTCACCACCTTTCCACAGACATCTGCATATTGACTTCACTCAAGCAAAGCAATCTTTGTTCCAAATTCTTTTGTCATTGCCTATCTAGGTTGGGTATTCACAATCTCATTTCTAATCAATTATAAATAGCAAAACTTTCTTTTCCAATAAATATACATCAATTAGTCTATGCCAGCCATCAACTAATTCATGTAGGTTGTTCATTATAATGTCTATTAGGGAACTCTATTCCATACGATAAAGCTTCATCATTTGTAGTTCTAATGATGAAGGACATAAACTATAAGGAAGAACACTGCAACTATCGCTACTGTTATTTTTATTGGATCTTTGGTTATAGAATTACTATTGTATCGTAATGAAAAGTGGAGGAGGAGTGTCTCTACTCTCTAGAGCTAAAATGGTAACGTTCAAGTGTACATAATGACCTATAATGGTATCATAGAGTTTAGTTCTATGAGTGGCAAGATTAGTCACATCTAAATTCCTAATGGTTTTGTTAGTGTGAGATATCAAAGTTGCAAAATAATTTTGAGATTACGTAAGTAGCTACAATGGTATCTTTTGACTTTAATTATATGAATGACAAGATGAATCATTATTTGAATGATGGGCAAGAGCTATACGTCTCAATTACCATTAGAGGTGGCAATTTCAATCCAATCCACCAATCCAATCCATCAATCCATTAAAAATATCCACCTAATCCAATCCATTTTATCCAAATCCAATTGGATTGGTGGATTCATGGATTGGATCCATGGATCATTGGCAAATTACGGTTTAGTACCTACAATTTTTATTTTTTACATTTTGGTACCTAAAATTTAATTTTTATACGAAAAATATCATTGGAAAATTACGTTTTGGTACCTAAAATTTTTCATTATGACATTTTAGTACCTAAACTTTTTACATTTTACATATTGGTCCTTGGTTGAGGATGTCATTTGGATTCATGGATTATCCACCAATCCACTTGATCCAATCCATGAATCCACCAATCCATTTGATCCAATCCATTTGATCCATGGATCCACCAATCCACCAATCCAATCCATTTGCCACCTCTAATTACCATCTATCGAACAACCTACTGCCACCAGATGTTCAACTTCTCAGTTAGTTAAGTTATACATTCAGAAAGGGAAAAATAAGTTGAAATGAATCTGATTCGATCATTACATATGATGATTTAAAATCATCATGTGCGTGAATATTTTTTTCACAAGGCTGAAAAATATTAGACTCTCGCAATCTTTGGCCCAAATCGTATAGATGCATCAGAGATCGTCGCTGTCTAGGCACCGATCCCTATATTCCTGCTTCGCCAAGAAGTCTGAGTTCATATCCGAAGTCAATTTTTTTGATGATCCAAGGAACAAGGGACTTTTCGCCTCTCAGATACTTCTCAATATAGAGCTTCAACTCTAGAACCCAAGTAATTAAGATACAATTTCAAAAAATCAGAACAATCTGCAAAATATATATAATTCCTCTCTCAAACTATATGCTTACAGGAATCATCCCATACAGATAAAAATCATACCAAAAGGAGACCGCCGATAATATTTTTTCACCTTCATGATTGACAAACCCGCGTTCGAATTTACCATATTTTTCACCCCTACGATAACATATTTCCCATCTGCTCTTCAAACTTCTAAATTTCCGAGTTCGACTCTCATCAAGAAACCACCAAATTTTCCTATAATTGTACGTCAATGAATCTTCATCGTATATCAATATCATCAATGGCAATGTATTTACATGTAACAATTATAGCAAACGCAGGCTAAAAAGATGCCAAAACGGCAGTAGAGTCTCTCTCTCTCTCTCTGTTGCACTATTGGAAAAATTGTGCTGTCTAATCAACACGCACTCAAACCAAATGTTTCCTGTTTCTCGTCTCCCTCTCCACTGGTCGATCAACGTTGACGTCGACCGGTCCATTTTTCTACGGCAAGGTCGCACTTTCAAACGGATTGCACCCCCTGACCTTGACTCGTACAACGCCGCCGTCCGCTCCATCGCCGCCGTCGATCACTTCGCAACACTGCCTTCGTGGCGCCTGCACATCAACCCACGTCGTTAGTCACTCGCAGTAAATTCCGCGGCAAAAACAACCACTTCTCCTCTTGTTCCGCATAATTCCCTTAAGTCGGGCCCCACTTTCCTAACTCCACAGCTACAAAAGAAGGCATCTAATTAATTAAAATCTACACAGTAAATTATTTATTTATTATTAATAGTCTCTCACCATAGTCCAAGTCTTTGGATCCATCGTCGCCGCGGCCACGTGGACGGCTCGGACGCCCGCAAGCACCCGATCACCAGCTTGTTGTTCACCTGTGTTGCGGACTTTCCCCTCGTCGAGCCCCGCCACGTGTCGCCTGTACGTGGTCAGGCTCTCCCCACCAACATTCTCACCAACACTATCAAGGAAATACAGAACCGGCGGCACCTCACGCGCGTTTGAACCGCTCTTCGCGGCGGCGGGCCGGGTGTTGAACGTGAACGGAGACTCCTTCCACGTCCTCCACGTCTTGAACGTCTGGATCGTCGCGTCCAGACGCTTCGCCGTCACCAGGGACGGGTACAGCTGCACCGTGTAACCCCACGACACCGACACCGTCCAGTTCCGCCGCAGGTCGTGGCAGAAGCTCCGCTGCAGGGCCCTGCTCGGGTCCCGCGCGTACGACTCCATCAGCTTCTGCAGAGCCTGTATCCTCGTCGTGTCCGGAAAAATCGGGCGGAGGTAGTCCAGGTGGTGCAGAGACACCAGCGGCGCCACCGGGTGCGCCGCCAGGAGGCCGTACGGGTTCCCCCTTATGTCCATCTGCAACAATTTTGGTACAAAGGCCAATATATTTATTTTGGTACAAACGTTATTGATACGTTGGCGTTAAAAGGATGATAATAATGAACCGTATAACGGTAGTTTTTTTTTTATGTTCACATTTTTACCTGGTGGAAGCCGAGCTCTTTGGTCAAGGGGATGCCGATCTCGGTCATGCATCCCTGGACCTTCTGATCGGACCCGTAAAACGACGCGTACCGATCGATGCAGCCGTCGAGGACCCTGACGAGCTCCCTGGCGAGAGGGTAGCTGACGGCGAACCCGCCGCCGCCGTAGGCCATGTCGTACGAGTGGATGACGTCCTGCTCCACGCTCTCGGAATTCGCGCCGACGTAGTACATCTGTTCGTGGTCGTACTTGGCGAGCACGGTGACAAGATTCTCGAGGAAGAAAACGGTGTCGTCGTCACCCATCACGAACCACCTGACGTCGTCTTGCTTCTTCTTCTCCTCCTCCGCGGCCGCCTCCAATAATTCGAAGCTCTCCTTGATGATCCTCGCGATCCGCACCGCCGACCGGGACCCGTACGTGCTGGTGTACTTGAATCTCGAGGTGTCCGCCGAGACTCTGTGCGGCGGAGGAGAAGACGCTGACGGGGAGGATTCGTTCAGGGGAGGTTCGGCGTCGAGCCAGGCGTGTCCCCGGGTGACGTTGGGGCGCCACCAGAGGGCGGAGTAGTGGCGGCGGAGGTTCCAGGAGCTGGCCGAGCCGGCGATGCCGAAGACGATGTGGGAAAGGTTCGTTGGTGGCGCCGCCGTGGCGACGTGGAGGCGGGAGACCGGGTTGGGTTTGTTGTGGAAATTGGGGGCGGGTCGGGTCGGGAAAGCGGAGTAGAGGAGGAGGGAAATTGAGACGAGGGCGCAGAAGGCGAGAGGGAGCTTGAGTTTGATGATGGAGGATCGGAGGGCGGCGGGGAAGGAAGTTCTCCAGCCTTTGAGGGGATCTCGCAACGTGTCCTTCATCGGATAATTCTCGTCCACCTTGGCCGGCCGGCGTATTTGATTGTCCGGAGGGTGAGATGATGCGTTACTGAGTTTTGGTGGACGTTTTAGTTTTAGTTTTAGTTTTTTTGGTGGGTTTTAATTTTTATACTGAGTTGAGAGTTTGGGGGGTAAGTTGCGAGTGAGGACGAAGCAGGGGATTTTAGGTAATCGCTGGCCGTGGCCGGATTGGATTGGGTTGGATTGAAGAGGAGAGAGCCCAATTGGGAGTTGATGTGAAGTGGGCTTTGTCTACAGAGATTTGGTATTCCATAGTCTTGTGGTTTGGGTTTATCGAAGAGGTCCGGTTTGGATGCTTTTCGTTTGGAAATATTAGTTGTGTTTTAGCACCCCAAGGCCGAACGCTGCCGGCTAGTCGTCCGTTTTGATCTCCGGGCGCGCGCGCGACACCTGGATTTTATGTCAAGCTGGATCCCTCTTGTTTTCATCTTTGGTAGACAAATGTTTATTTATTTATCACCGCTCTTTTTCTATCTCAACTTCTTGAATTCAGGTTTAACTTTTAAGTATTAAGCCTGTTTTTTTTTAATGAACTTTTAAAGCCTGATTTAAAATTTTGAATGCCAAGGATGAACATTGTTTTCACCTCTCCGTTCACTTTCTAACTAGGTTGGGATCACATTTGGTGGCGAAATGGTGAAAGTGCGTTGTCGTGATTTTTTATTGAGATTTGATTCTTTTTACAGTCGTGTATTTGTGATGGTAATTGTTTAGTGATAATCCTTTACTTGACATGTATGAATAGATTTGAATTTCATGGAAAGTTCTATTTCCAAAAGTAAAAATTGTGGTATTTGCTAGCAACAACATAATGGAGGCAATTAATCAATATAGATTGATCTGAAATCTGATTTAAATCCAATATAGCACCTATGAGCGAGAAGAAAAATCTATATAGAGAATCAGAAGGAATAAAAACTGAAACTCAATTTAAAACAAGCTACTATTAAGTGGATTTTTTTTTTTTTTTGCATTAACTTGGCATTCAACTAAAAAGTATTGTTTTTGAGGGAACTAAAAAGTATTGTTACTTGCTATAGACCGTTGGTGATTTGTTTAAATAACCATTTATATTTATAAATAACTATTGAGGGTATGATGAAGGCCCAAGTGAGAAGACCCAAAGTGTTAGCCCATTAAGGACAAAGCTCCGCCAATGGGGCATTTGCCAGCCTGGACGCGTAGGGCCAAAGTTCTGACAAGGGGCGCATGAGGACAATAAGACATAATGACTAGAAAACGTACGGAATGCTAAATAAGTGAGATCATGTGTCTAGAACCATTTTTTTATTTATTTATTTATTTTACAAAGGGAATACTTGCATTGCACTTTGAAAGATCAATTACAAGAGAGCCAACAAAGCAAACTAAAAATAGAACAAGGACAGAAAAACAAAAGCCCATAGATGCTCAATATGAGCTTCAGAAATACAACAAGAAGAGCACAAAACTTCAGAAATACCACTGAAAGTTGTGTTAGACGGTCATGGGGCATGGTAAGGGGAAAGCACAGTGATTTTATTATCGTGATGACGTGGGGCGAATTTGGGGGCAATGGTTGACGATTCTCTTGGTATAAATAGAAAAGTAGATAAATTTCATTTACTTAGTTTGGGATCTCTTACTAAACATCCTTCTCTTCAAAATCATGGTACTAACTTGATCGTCGAGATGTTAACAGGACCGCCTACGTCTGTTGTGCACCTTGTGTGCACGAGGAGCACTGGCGGATCCAGGGGGTGGCCACCCCAGGCCCCTGCCCAGCCCTCATCTGGATCCGTAGTTACTATAGTCCTTATGAAATTTTTTATTTTAGACATTCGACTCAGTGTTATTCTATGATAAGATTGGGTTTAACTAGAAAAATTATCAAGTTGAACATATTCAAATCACTATTCTAAATTTAGCCTCGAAATTTTAGCCCCAAAGATCATGCGTCTTAAAAAAACAATGAAACCTAAAATTCTAAAAAGTTTAAAACGTAAAAGACTAAAAGAAATATGAGGTTTGTTCCCTTACAAATTTACTAAAGTAGCTTGTGTGCAAGGATGGACACACAATGCAAATTGATTAGTCGATTGATTTATCTAGTGTTGATGCTGCTCGTTTCGACAGCTACTACGAAGATAACCTTTTTAACAATGAAACATGTGAGAACTGATTTGCTCAACAAAATGAGCGATGAATTTCTCGCCGATTGCTCAAGTATTTTATTTGAAACAGTCTATACTATTGGTATGGATGTAGACTTCATTATTGATGCATTCTCTAAATTAAAATACAGTCGTGTACAATTTACATTGCAAAAAACTATAATCATTATATTTTTTTACGGTTCTAATTTTTTAATGAAATGCGGCCCAGTGCTCTTCTATATTCTGGATCCGCCGCTGACGAGGAGGGCACCTTATGCTTGGAGAGTTGCTAAGAGGAAGTGCATAAAGAGGCGAGGGAGGGTCTTGGCAGAAACAATAACAATAAATATAAATATCATATACTAATTAGGATTGAATTAAAAAAAAAGGCAAAGACGAAAAAAAAATGAAAGACAACTGAGAAAGTAACAAAGATCATTTTGGTATTAGTTAGTTTTTATGTTATTCCTTAGTATAACAAAATACTTTTCTTGTCATCATTTCTTATTGTAATATAAGCAAAGCGGATAACAATAGTGCAAATTAACCGAAAATGGGTTTAGTTTTATACATAACTTGAAAATTTTGTAATTAACGTTTACATGCAAAACGAAATCGCTATATATTTATTTTGGATGGATAAAATTTCTTTTATCCCCGACAACAATGGATAAACTAATTAGAGCTTATGTCCACTATATTAAATAAAAAATGATTAGATGAGAGAACATACGAAAACGACCAAATTTTTAACTAGGACCGTCCATTCACATATGAAGGCTAGACTCTGTTCAGAAAATAACATGTGGCTAATGTTTTACTCATTGAATTTGACATTTTCTTATAAAAATATAAATTTGGGTATTATATAGTTAAATTAACTCATTAAATGTTTAAGAACTGAAGTAACAATTATCAATTTTAAAAGTATTCTTAGATAATTTTTTTTTTGTGTAGTGAGAGTTAAAATGGGCACATTTGAAGTTTAGAAGAAAAAATATTAAAATATTGAAGTGGAAGGAATAAATTGATATTTTAGTCAAGTTAAATTAAATAAATGGGTAGTAGAGTAATGAGAAGCTAAATTGACACTTGAAAGTTAAGAGCTAAATTTAAAGTGGAGGGCATATACCAGTATTTTACTGAAGTTTAATATGATAAATGGGTATGAAAAGATATTTGCTTTTTCGGTTACTTTCTATAAATACTCTTCATCACTCTAATATGTTGTTAGGTCAATCAGGTTATTTTGTTTGGTTTGTCTTTTCCGGAATTCGATTTGTAACATGTACTTTCCCCAAATTAGTCAAATTTGTTCTCCCCTGCTCGTGGATTAGCTAGTACACATACTGTTAGTAAATCACGTTAAGTTTGTGATCGTTTGTGTTGATTTGGATTATCAATTGCACACTTCTACTTTGACAAGTGTTATCAGAGCCGCGGTTGTCAGTTTGATCCATTGGCATGAATTGATTTGAAGTTGCAAGTCTCGACTACAACATTTATTTGAGTAGGACCGTAGGAGCATCATGCCATTTTTTTGGGATTTGCATGGTTGTCGACCTGGTTGATGATTGGATGGTATCGTGGTGACTGCTGGGCTATCAGTATACAGTGTAGAAGATATAAGAAGTTTGGGTGCTTAATTGTAATTGGCCATGTTAATATCTTCTCTCTTCCTCTTGGTTGTATATATGTAGAATAGTCAAATCTCTGTAAACCTAACGTAATAATATCAGAGAGCATATGCTTTTGTGCCGTGGATTAATCTCAACGATTCTCATTGAGGAAACCACTTAAATCTCGGTGTCATTCTATTTTCTGCATTCAGATTATTGCGTTTGACATGGTATCAGAGCCTCGTCTGTGATTTCCGATTTCTGCCCTTTTGTTATTCTCTGCGGCTCTTCGGTGGTTTCAGGTTTTCTTCCGGGTTCTTATTGGGGTTTCAGCTTCTTATTCCCTTCACTTTATTGGTTCCGCTCCTCTTCAGCTTTTGGGAATTCACCGCATCCTTTGTTTCCACTTCAGATTATTGGGTTTTGCTTCTCTTATGCTTTGGAGGACCTTGCCGCATCTCTTGAGGTTTGTTGCTCCTGCTTTGGTTCTTCCTTCTTCAGACTTCTGTTTTCTCTTCAGCTTTCGTGCTCCTTCTTGCATTATGGAGGCCTCAAAAATAGAATCAATGGTTGTCCGCTTCAACGACAAGAATTTTTCCGTGTGGGAGATGGATTTTCGTGTGTTTGTTCAGAGTCGTAGGATGCTTTCGATCCTTGATGGGACCTCACGCACTCCTGATGCTACGGCCTCTTGATGAGAAGGATGGTTCATCCCTTGTTTCTCCTTCAAGCTTGCCAGGTTGTTCGTCAGTTGTTATGTCAGAACAGAAGCGTGCAATCGATAATCCAAACCAGCACGAACGAACACAAATTTAACGTGGTTCACTAACACAATGTGTGCTAGCTAATCCACGGGCAGGGGAGAACAAATTTCACTAATTTGAGGAGAGTACAGGTTACAAACCAAATTCCGGACGGACAAACCAAACAAACTAACCTGACTGACCTCTCTACATACTAGGGCGATGAAGAGTATTTATAGAACTCTTCTCCTAATCCCAAACAGAAAACCAAACACCTTTTTCCAAACATACAAGGAAAAGGTCAAACAAAGCCCAAACACAAACCCAAACAAAATAGGCCCAAACACAAAACAAACCCAAATCAAATTCAAGTCATATTCTAACAATCTCCACCTTGACTTGAATTCTCTCTCAAATACCAGATGTACCAGACGCAACCAAAGTTGCCAGATGTACCAAACGCAACCAAAGTTGCCAGATGTACCCAGACGCGATACATATCGCCAGACGTATCCAAATGCGATCGAAAGCGCCAAACTCAAATGCAACCAAAATTTTCAGACACCAAACTCTTCAAATCTCCGAATTTGCCAGAACCTCCCCTGCCTCCAAATGACCCTAAGGGCGGTCAACAACTCAAACCATTCGGCAAGTCCAATCCATATTGAGACTTGCCATTCAGAACCAACTTGGTGCACTTATCACCAACAGAACATGTCAAAACAGAACCTTGTAGACTATACAAGGCACCCCGCTTGACACCTTTCAAAATCACCTTAGAACCCTTGTAGATAGACAACACTCCACCTTCACCTTTGAAACTGAAACCCTTGTCGTCTAGTAGACTCAAAGATATCAGATTCTTAGTCATCTCTGGAATATGTCTAACATTGTTCAAGGTGCGAACAGAACCATCATGTGTCCTCATTCTGACGGAGCCTCTTCCAACAATCTTACAGATAGCACCATTGGCCATAGAAACATGTCCTCCATCTATCTACTCATAAGTTGAAAAGCACTCCCTACTTGGACACATATGATAATCAGCTGCAGTATCCAAATACCACACATCCCGATGATGTACCTGTTCATTCACTGCTAAGGCTAAACCATCTTCAGAATTAGAGTTAGTTTCTTCCGCCACAGCAACGGATGATTCCTTCTTCTCCTGATATTTCTTTAGTTTAGGACAATCGAATTTCCAATGTCCCTTCTCCTTACAGTAATGACAGATATCATCCTTCAAACCAGCAGAATTCGAATTTGTATTCGCCTTCCTATTACCAGATTGTTGTCTCCTACTACTCGTAGCAGCCAACCAAGATGCCTGATTTTCCGAACATGAACCAGACGCCTTATGTCGAACCTCCCTAGTATGTAGAGCAGATCTGACATCTTCCAAAGACAAACTATCTTTCCCAGCAATAAAAGAATCCACAAAATTCTCATATGACTGTGGCAAAGATACTAACAGAATTAAGGCAGCATCCTCATCATCTATTTTAACATCAATATTCCGCAGATCTAGCAAGATAGTATTGAGTTGATCTAGATGATTCCTGAGAGACATACCTTCCTCCATACGCAAACTGAACAAACGTTGCTTCATATGCAACTTGTTGGTTAAAGACTTTGTCATGTATAGACTTTCAAGCTTCAACCACAAACCCGCAGCAGTCTTCTCAGCAGCAACCTCAGTGATGATTCATCAGCCAAACAAAGCAAGATTGTAGAGTGAGCGTTCTCCTCCAAAGTAATCCACTCTTCTTCATCTATGCTTTTCTTCTTCGATTTTTCAGACAACGAAGCCCACAACCCCTGTTGTTTCAACAATGCTTGCATCTTGATCTGCCACAAACTGAAACAGTTTCTTCCGGTAAACTTCTCAATCTTCATACTGATAGCAGCCATTCTTACTATCAAACAAACTCCAACCAAACTCCACAAAGCAAAACTTCAGTCCAGCGCCAAATTCCCAAAACCGCAACCAGGCTCTGATACCACTTGTCAGAACAGAAGCGTGCAATCGATAATCCAAACCAGCACGAACGAACACAAATTTAACGTGGTTCACTAACACAATGTGTGCTAGCTAATCCACGGGCAGGGGAGAACAAATTTCACTAATTTGAGGAGAGTACAGGTTACAAACCAAATTCACGGACAAACCAAACAAACTAACCTGACTGACCTCTCTACAGACTAGGGCGATTAAGAGTATTTATAGAACTCTTCTCCTAATCCAAACAGAAAACCAAACACCTTTTCCCAAACATACAAGGAAAAGGTCAAACAAAGCCCAAACACAAACCCAAACAAAATAGGCCCAAACACAAAACAAACCCAAATCAAATTCAAGTCATATTCTAACATGTTATCTCAGGATTTATGGCATTTTCAACTTGGTCACCCGTATCTAGACAAGCTGATTTTATTAAAGGAGCTTGTGGGTTGTAAAGTGGATTCTCGGAGTACTTTTCAATTGTAATCCTTGTTCTCGTTTTAAGCAAGCATGCAACCCTTTTCCTTTGAGTTCTATCAAGACTAGTAGTTGTTTTGTTCTCGTTGACCCATTCTCATGATTGTTGACGACTCCGATACCGAGCGGTAAATTTAATATTTTTTTGTGCATTGGCCCAGACTCAGTATGGGAAGCAGGTATGTTGTATTCAGGCAGATGACAGAATTGAGTTTCAGATTACTTCACTTCGTAGCAATTACGAAGAGCATGAGATCATTCTCCAAACCACGCGCACTGATACTTTCCAACAAAATGGTGTGGTGGAATGCAAACATCGCCATCTGTTGGACACAACTTGCGCTCTCATGTTCCATGCTGGTCTTCGACCTTCCTATTTGTTTTTGGGGTAAGTCTGTGCTCATAGAGGCTTATCTTATTAATCGTTTGCCTTCCATTCCAATTTCCCAGAAGACTTCTTTAGAAATCCCCTTGGACCGGGCTTCTACTTATGACCACCTGCGTCGTTTTGGCGGTTTTGTTTACGCCAAAAACACGCATCAAGGCTTGGACAAGTTCACAGCTTGAGGGCGTGCTAGTGTTCTTTTTGGTTATCCTGGGTAGTGCTACCATTGAAGTCTTGTGGCTTCGGTTCTTACTCCGTGAGCTACTTGATCCTCAACGTGGTCCCACTCATCTCTATTGCGACAGTCAAGCAGCCTTATACATCGCTGCTAATCCTCTCTTTCCCGAGCGTATCAAGCAGCCTTATTCTTCGGCAGAAGGTTGGTACCATTCAGATGCTCGCCGATATATTCACCAAAGCGCTGGGTACAATTAGTTTCACCATCTTTTGATTAAGTTTGGCATTGGTGACCTTCATGCTTTAGCTTGAGGGGGATATTGCACTGATTCGTACTGATTAAGTTCTTTGTATAGTATTCTGTGATTGGGCCACTTATACCTAGTTGCTTGTAAACGATAGAAGAATTGGTTGTCATCTTTTTTGTATATCATTCATGATTGAACCTCTCCCAACAACTCGAGTTATTGGGATCAACTAGTTCTTGACATGGTATCAAAGCCTTATGTGACAGAGAGGTCTTGTGTTCGAATCCCCACGACCCCCATTTGTTAAGCACATGGTATTCTTGTCTACAGACTCGTGCAAACTTCAAGCAATTGAAAGCCACTCACAAGGGCTTGAAATTTACACAGGTCTGAATACCATATGCTTAACAAATGGGGGTTACCAGGATTCGAACACAAATCCTCTCGATCATAGAAGGCTCTGATACCATGTCAAGAACCCGTTGATCCCAATAACTCGAGATCTTGAGAGTAGGTTATGCTGGATCTTATACCACTCTCTAACACACCCCCTCAAATGAAAGCCAACTCACAGGCTTGAAGTTTGCACAAGCCACTATACCTTGTGCTTTGATCAACTGTTAATATTGGGGGTCGTGGAGATTCGAACACACGACCACTTGTCAAACCAGCTCTGATACCATGTCAATAACCAGTTGATCCCAATAACTCGAGTTGTTGGGAGAGGTTCAATCGTGGATCTATACCATACAATAACACGCCACCTCAAAAGAAAGCCACTCACAAGGGCTTGAAATTTACACAGGTCCGAATACCATGTGCTTAACAAATGGGGGTTACCAGGATTTAAACACAAGATCTCTCGATCACAGAAGGCTTTGATACCATGTCAAGAACCAGTTGGTCCGAATAACTCGAGTTGTTGGGAGAGGTTCAATCGTGGATCATACACCATTCACTAACACACCCCCTCAAATGAAAGCCAGTCACCTCATAAGGGCTTTCATTTGCACAGGTCTGAATGCACGATACCATGTGCTTCACAAACGGGGTCACTGGGATTTGAACACAAGACTTTTCGGTCACATAACGCAAGAACCAGTTGATCTCAATAACTCGAATTGTTGAGAGAGGTTCAATCGTGGATCATATACCGTTATTAACCCTTGTAACTGAACACAGCTCTCCAAAAGCGATATAGTGAAAATCACACATAAATCATTGTCTTCTTCGTTTCTGCATTATTAACAAGACATTCCAAGTAATGGGCTTTTCTTCTTTCCTCACTTGGAAGGCTTATCACTTTTCTCTTTGCACTATTTCTCATTACATTTACTCTTCATCCTGTTCTTCATTCTTATTAGAAAACTAGTATTGATTAAACTAGGGCACAGACACAAGCTTATCAAGTAAGGTGAGGAAAAACACAGATATGGTTGAAACCGATCGACCTATATAAATATCGTTAACCTCAGATCAGTTACCTTTTTTTCTGAAGTAAGATCCGACTCGTTATTACTTCGATCAAGGATCCTTATACGTTAGTTCCATGGCGAGCTATTTACAAAAAGTAACATGAAAGGAGAGCCCAATATATAACGATCACAATAATTATGCATGATGAATTAGTTTTGATCATTCCTGATTCATAGTTGGCTACAAAATTAAGGTATAACAGAAAATAAAGAAGATTCGACAATCAACATGACTTCTTCCGTGTGATTTCATCCGATGATCTCTCGCCGAAAGGCCAAGCGTACGTGGTTGGAAAGAGAGAAGTAGCAAATACGAACTTCCACATCTTTCTTGTTATATGTATACATCCTCAAAGAGAGAAAAAAGGGTCACCAAGTAATTAACAAAAGTTTAGTTTTCTTACCTTGATCACCATAAAGAAGATCAAAATCCATCATCATGATCATCTTCATAGGAATAATCCTCTGGTGCTCGTCCCCCGGCGGCGATGATGTCGATGATAACGTTTCACACGTCGGTGGTGGTGGTGGGCGGCGGCGGCTCCGGTCCCAACCGCAGCTCAAGGTCCAACACCTGCTCCCTTTCCGTCTCCATCACCGGCTGGTCAACAAACACCGGCTGCGGCTGCGGCGGCGGCTGGGTAGTATTAATAATACCTAACGCATCCTCGGACGGAGGAGGAGACGTGGACGATGACGACGTGTCCCTGGAGATGTCTAGAGAGAGGAGGGTTTGGTTGCGGTAGAGATCCTCGGCGGCTTCTTTGAGCTTGGCCCTGTCTTTTCTATGGATGTTCATGTGCCCGCCTAGCGCCTGAGCGTTGGAGAACCCTCTCTTGCAGAAGGCGCACGTGTACGACTTTGTCGCGCCGCCGGCGGCGTCGTGGTGGTCGTCGACGGTCCATACTATGTGGGTGGGGTTGTCCGTGCCTGAATGTTGACCTAGGTTCATTTCCTGCAGGCCGGGGATGTTGATGAGGAAGAAGGAGCCGGAAGACATGTGGAACAATAGAAAGAGAGAGAGAGAGGAAGTGGGTTTTGCTTTGAGCTAGCTAGAGAGGATTTAGAGGGTTTTTGGTTTGATACGTACATCGACTAGGTCAATTGTTTCTTTTATGTGAATTGTCGGCCGGAGGGTTTACGAGATAGACTTGTTTATACGTGTGCTTTTGTTGCGTGGAAATAAGCTTTTGCGAAAAACCAAAGAGTGGAGCAATTTATTATATTAAGGGATAAAAAAACAGGCAAGGTATTCACGTCGAGGGGACAAGTTATTTGTGGACGGCAAAAACAAATTCAGTTTTTCCGCTTAAATTTGTGGGCTCTTTGTGATTGATTTTTGTTTAGAAATCATATGAAGCATCCTATCTAACAAACCTTAAGAAACGTTGAATAGTTGTCTGGTGAAGCCGTGAAGGGACTCCACATATATATTCCAGTCCCCTACGCCTAGTATTCCAAAAAGTCAGCCTATCGAATATATATACTGGCACAGGATGACAACAATATAGATGAGGGAGCGAGGGTTTTGAGCAGTGTTTTTAATGCTTAGTGGCTCGGCCCGACCGGTAAAATCGTCATCCGATCATAAAATTCGTTCGAAACAGTCTAAAAGCCGCTCCGATTTTATGTAGCGGTTGACGAGCGGCCAAGACGGTTAAAGTGGATCGCGGGACCAATCTTATTATGCAGTGAAGAGTTCAACTTGAAAAACAGTGATAGTACCAGAAGAGAAATGGTTGTTGCCTTCTTAGTTTTTGTTTGCTGATAGTCAGTGACGAATTCAGAAAATTTTCACAGGGGTGTCCTTTTCAAAAATTAAATTAAATTATATAATAAATTAAATAATTCCTATATTAAAAATATCATACTTGTATAATTTGTATAAATTTTTTATTAAATAATAAATTAAAATTCATATTTTGAAAAAATAATATAAATAAACTCTGTGTCTGCACTGTTCAAAAAAATCTACATATCCTACTAGACAATACTTCACGAACTTATCACATATTCGATTTCTAACCTTTTCTTAATGTAGCTCAAAGTAGAAAAGACTCTTTCAACACTTGCCGTGTAACCATAAAATCAATTCAAAATTAAGGGTAGCGCGTACGTAGTTGGGGATAAAGAAATAACGTTTTACTGTTGCATGATTTTTAAAATAGAATAACAAATGAGTAGCAACATAATTAGAATATGTTTGATAATAGTAGTGTCCTAGGTTGGAATAGCTCGGACTACCACTTATATTTTGTTAATCATAAACAAACTATTATCGAGGGTAGGATAATCATTTTTTCAAATGTTAGGGTGTCCCGGATTACCAATTATATTTTGTATACCCATACGAAACTACTATCGGAGGTTGGATAATCGTTTCCCCAAATTTTAGGGGTGTCCCGGGACACCCCTAGAGGCCCATGTATCCGCATTCCGCACCTGCTGATAGTAGGTTAGGATCACTCACTATCTATGTATTCACTTTGGTGGTTGTACAGAAATACAGCCTTGCTTGGACTGATCTTGAACTTAATAAATTTGATTTAACCATAATTTTCTTTTCAACAAAGTTAGCTGGATATAATTAATGGCGCATCATACTGATTCGAGTCTAGGAAGATAATGGCAGTTGGACCAAGAAGTTTCAATCTTCAAGCTTCGGTTCGAGGAATTGGACATGCATCTAGCTAAGCTAGTACATGAAAAAGGTTGCTTGTTTTACTGGGATACCCTTTCAAATCAAGGTAATTACCTCATGCGAACTCTATGAAGCACGCGTGAAAAAACAAGACTATAATAATATGTCTTCCTCTTTGTTGTTATTTTTTTTCCTTTCTTCTGTTAATTAATTCATAATAATATGTTTTCAATGTTTCATTGGCACTCGTCGCACCTTACTGTATCAATTCGATGGCTTTCCAAATGGAGCGAGGGGTGTTGCCTTCTGGATGGTATGAAAGATGACTGCAGATAGAAATACAAAACGTCCAGAGAAAGTAAAGGAAACAATAGTGGCATGAAACTGCATGATTGCACGAGTTAGAAATTTGAATGAGTGCTAAAAAAAATATATATGTTCTTAGGACTTGAATTATGATTATTAGTGGGAGCTAATGTCTTACCAACTAGTTTATCTTTGAAATTTGTTAATAAATTACCTGAACTTGAAAATGGAGAGGGGCTAAAGTCTCCCCTAAACTTAACCTGGCTACAACAATGTTGATCGTGTGTTATAAAGCTAATTTAATTAACAATATTTTTTTTACTAATGAAAAATCTTTGTTTATGATCTTGGGTCTTTGTGGGGAGGTGCTAATATCCCAACAATATATGCCACATAAAAAAAATTTAGTCTTTATGTATGAACACATACCATAGCTTGAAATCAAATAAAGAGAAGAAGATTGTAGCCTCTTTCAAACTATAGGTAACTCCACCAACTATTAATGTAACCCTAGATGCTTGTACGTTACGGTATGAAAAGGCTTCATCAATAATAATTCACTCTCTCTTCTCGTGGTTGTATTGTAAGCCTCACACAACATGAGGAAGAACCACGTAAATCAAAATCTCTCTTTAATTTCGTTGCTGTTTACAATTCTGAATTAGGATGAAAAATCCAACCCATCATATATTTAATGATGGAAAGTTATGATGAATAATCACTCACCGATTCATTGGTTGGTTCTTTCCTTTCTCTTCAGCTAATTACTTTAGGGTTAAAGGGGAAATAATTTAAATATGAAGAGTAAGGACTGCACAATTGCGTGGACAGACTATGACGAAATTGTATAATATACATTTTGAAGCAGAAAGAACAAGGATTTGCCCACCAACTAATCGCCATGCTGAGAAGTGCAAGTTCAACGAACCCTAGCCTAGCCATAGGTAATCGAAGTTGATGGTACTTCAACTACCAATGCCTCTCTAACAAATACATCGTTTTATTCTAACAAATAGTTTGTCTTTTGGCCGGGAATTAACTAGAAGTACTATGATTTAAGATATATTGGTTTGACTTAGAGGATGCGTGTATATTAATCAATTGAAACCCGAAGATAACAAAAAGGAATTTTATATGCTAGGTCAAACAAATTTTATAATAAACTTAGTGACAACATTCCGCTCATGAGCATAGTACACATTACTCATGTCATATACAATAACTCGAGTTACTGGGACCAGTTGGTTTATGACATGGTATTGGAGCTGGTTTGTATTTGAGATCGCGTGTTCAAGTCCTCATCATGACCCCAATATTAATCGTTGTCTTTAAAGTACATTGTATATCGGATCTGTGCAAACTTCAAATCCATGAGTTGGTTTTCGTTTGAAGAAACGTGTTAGGAAGTGGTTAAGTACCATATATGAATCTCTCCCACCAACTCGAATTATTGGGATCAACTGGTATATAAGGTACGGCGTTTTGTAGGTTCTACAGTTTTGAGTTTTGTACATCTTTTTCATAAATAAAAAAATTTCGATTAATTCGGGTCAACGAGAGAGGTGGCTATACGTAGCTCATCTAGATCCTAACATGTATAGCAGCTGCCTTCTTCTGTCTCAATCCCACTGTTTGGATTCACAGCATTGATTCGGTTGCCGGGTGTTTTAATGAATAAAAAATACGCAAGTGTCTACTTAACATTTCATCGTCAGGTTTGAGTATATTTTTATGATTTCTTGAAGACCTTTGAAAACTGTTTTTAATTGCTAGTTTGTCCTTCTGTGCAGACCCAAGGGGAGACATGCTTGTTGTAGGGTCCAATCAGCGGCTATTTGTCAAGTAACCTGACCACTTAATAGATCAACGGAGAAGACATTACTTTGTTTTTAAGGGCACTGGCCTGTATGTATTATTAGTTAATATGTTTACCCAAGCTAGAGAGCAGTTGGAATGCTAATATGTATGTATTGATATCTGTTGTGTATTATATACATGCGTAATGATTCATCTATGGAGCTAATCGAGGAAAGTATTTACAAGGGGAGAAGTAATTACAAGACTAAGTTTTAAATTTGTTTGACTACATTATCGTGTCAACGATTCCAATCATGGATAGAAGAAGAAGAAGAAAACGAGGACTGGACAAGGGCATGGTGAGAGCATCTGTTAACCGATGAACGGTGGCGATATGATGGACTCGGAGTCGGCCAGTCTGCACAAGTTGTCGAACAAAGTGGGAGTCGAGAGCCAAGTGCTTCGTACTAGAATGAAATACAGGATTTGCACTGAAGTATGTGGCTCCCAAATTGTCTGAATAGGAGCACTGGTGATGTGGTGTCGGGATTGTGATGTTCTTGAAGTAAATTTTGCACCCACTCTAGTTCTGCAGTGGCATGGGCAATGACACGTACTCAGCTTCGGTGCTAGATAGAAGTGTAGGTTCAAAAATCATGATTAGTCGTCCATTCAGAGTCAGCAAATGCAGATAAGTAAGTGGGGGTGACTGCCGGCGAATAGATAGACCATAGTGCATGGTGTCACAGATATACCGAAGGAGATGTTTTACACATTCTCAATGGTTGGTGGTAGGAGCATGCATAAATTGATAGAGCTTTTTTACCGAAAAGGCAATTTTTGGACGAGTATACACTAGATACTAAAGTGCTCCAAGCGCTTATCGATATTGAGTGCCATCGGCATGTAGGCTACCCACTAAAGAGAAAGAGTGATAATGACAAAGAGAGGAGTAGGAACAAGATTTTCATCAATATTTGGAACCTAAAGAGAATTTCATGCTTGTACTTGTGTTGAGAGAGAAGGAAGCCAGTAAAGTGGGTAGAACTTCGATGCCAAGAAAGTAGTTGATGTGACCCAAGTGTTTTAGGGAGGACTTGTGCAATAATTGACCATGAAAGGAAGCAATATTCTTGGCATCCTTCCCCATTAGTAATAAATCGTCAACATAGATGAGGAAATAGAGAGTGATACGATGTCGATGATAAACAAACAGGGACGCATCCGAGCTAGTTTTGTGAAAGACTTGGTCTGTAAGGAAGGAACTCAAAGTTGTATACTAGGCCCGTGGCGCTTGTTTGAGTCCATAGACAGCCCAATTAAGACGGCAAACATGGTTGGTGGTACCGGGTTGATGAAAGCCAGGTGGTTTACCATATATACTTCCTCTGGTAGTGTAGGACCTTGAAGAAAGGCATTATTAACATCATACTGAAATATGGGCCAGTTTTGAGAGAAAGCAAGGGTGAATATTGGTTGGATGATGACTGGTTTTACCACTGGGATGAATTAATCATGAAAATCCACTCTTGATCGCTGATGAAATCCCTTGTCCACCAAGCAAGTACTAAGTCCAAGCACTATTGGCTACCAATGCATCATGTTTATATCGAAGAGTAGCATCCAATTCAGGATAATAAAGGGCTTTCATGACAAA